TATAATTATTGCAAAAGAAACTGAATATTCATTTGCACTACGGCTTATGGTAGTTTACTAACGAGTTAACAAACTTAAATTCTGCTTTTTGTGTCTAAGAATACAACAATATTTTAGATATTTACAAATAAAATATTAAATTGGAGATTTAATTGGAGCCTCACCAGTTGCCTAACATTGGAAGATTGTTAAATACCAATTGTTTGTTGCGAAGTCTAACCCAGGCTGCATGGTTGGTTTTCGTAGTTTTCTAGGTTAGCTTTACAAAGGTTCTTTCTAAAGGCTCTCTCTTTCAAATAGTTCCCATGTTCTTTCTATGTTCAAATAACCAACTAGCCTAGTTTAAGCGCGATTTCCAAGTGAAGTTACTAGCAAAACCCGAATACTCATTAAAAATCATGTAGCTTGCCAATCGGGAGTAACATGAAAGATACGGCGCCAATAATTGAATTGCTGTTACGGTACGCTGTTTGTAAACTTAGATGGTCATTCCTTAATTAAATAGCCCACTAGAGGCCGAGCGGTAAAGACGCTGAACACTGGTAGTTCGGTCCGAGGTTCGAATCCCGCGAACGGGCTGGCCGCATTGGCGTTTTCGTGGTTTTCCCCATGTGTAACGTGTATACGAGCCAGTTTCCCTTAGAAAAACCTCCACGAAGGCATCCCTCCTTTTAGGCAGATAGCCCTCGTGTTCTTTGTCACAATTAAATAATCCAATCCAATCCTTAATTAAATATAATTGATTTGTAACTTCTTCTAAAACTGACGGTAAGAATTGAAGTGCAAATAAATAATATCCTGTGCAATCTTGATTAATATAAAATTTAAAATATTTGCATTCAGACAGAAAGTTTTTTGAAATATTTGCAATTACTTTATAAGAATGATTTATTAATAACCGTAATAATTACTTATTATATTACTGATGATCAGGATTCAGTTCTTGACAATTACATTCTAAATTAGAATTTTAAGGATATAATGAAAATACGCTACGCACAAAAATACATTTTAGGATAAAAAATTAATTAGTTGAATTTTTATGTTTTAAAACTTCTTAAATTTATTTAATAAACATCGTATCCTCGTTGTTAATTGAATCCAGAATGTTTGGTGTCGTTTATATAAATATTCTTACTTGTCTACAGAACCTGCTGATTTATCCAGCGATTAAGTAGCTGCAGATCATTTCTACTCGTACATAACCATTGAACTTCTATTAATTAAGTCTCTAGAGGGTTGTATGTTTGTATCATAATTTGACTTATATAAAAATGATTATTCTAAATCTTATGTTTCTATAAAAATATACTGTGCTTTAAAAATATGGATGATAGTATCAGCCGCTCTTTCAGCCACTTCAAAAAGCAACAGTTTGTTTAGAAATAAATTATGCAGTTAATGTCATAAAATTGAATAAAAATCAAACGAAAATCTCTCAGTTTAGACAATTCGATTTAAACGAAGTAAAGTAGCAGACGATAAAACGCCGAAGGTAAAAATTTACTCTTATTTAAAAAAAAAAAAAAAAAAAAAAAAAAAAAAAAAGATAGAGAGAAATTTAAAAAAAAATAGCTTTTCATATAGTATTAATAAACATTTATTACGCATGATTAAGGGGAAAAATGTCATGTAATTAATTCTCCGTAAAATTTTACTTGAAATTTAAGGTTAAAAGTAGCTGTGGCAATTCACCGTAACAAAAATCCATAGACCACATTTGGCGTCATTATCGCTCAAAAAAAAGATGCCAAATTTCAAAACGCGAAAATATGTTAATTCGTGTATATCTTAGAAAATTTTGAATAAAAAAGTCTAATTTTTTGCAGATATGCTTAAAAATACACCTACTTTAAGATGATGGTAAAAATTTTATAGGTTAGAAATCAAAATTTTTTTCGAAAAAAAAATTTATAAAAATTATTTAAAAAATAGAAATTTAAAAAATAAAACACAAAAATGGGTAAATTTTATTTGGAATGAACCTAAATTTCGAAATGTGAGAGAAAAATCAAAAAAGTTTAATAAAAAAAGAGATATTAAATATTTGCCAAATTGAATTAACATTGAGGAGGTAAAATTTTGAGAGCTAATATTTTAAAAACTACTCGCTCGATTTTTACGAAACTTGGTATTCTGGCATAATTTGAGTCGTAGAATCGAAATATCGAAAAAAATTGGTATGTTATTTCAGAAAAAGTCCGATTTTGTGCCAAAATACCTATGTTAGAATAGTGCTACATATAAATCTAATATATATCCTAAGTTGCGCTTTCGAGACATAAAAAACGCAGTTTGAATTTTGTCAATCGGCCCAGTAGAACGGGAGATGTCCCTTTTTTTTTTTTTTTTTTTTTTTTTTTTTGAAAATTATCATGCGTGACTTAGGTCGAAAACTCAGAGTCAAACTTGTACACTTTTTTTGAGCAGTGTACAAGTTTGACTCTGAGTTTTCGACCTAAGTCACGCATGATAATTTTCATAAAGATTAGAAATCATTATTGATGATCATCTTTTTTTAATGTATGCTGCACCTGAGTCTGTGTTCCGACATTTCCGTTAGCGCTTAGTTTAACTTGTTGATGGATATATTTACATCGTCTTTGCCCAACTAGAGCAGAACTTTTCAACTTCAGCAGTTTTTGTATCCTTGAGGTCTGTTGCTTTTACACTTTAATTATCTTTAAACTGAGGATATTGGCTGTTCTTCTGATTCGAAATCTGGATTTTGTGGAACCTGTTTTGTTTCATATCTGCATAGTTGTAAAGAAATTCGTAGAATATCATTAATCTCTGTTTTTATTCAAAAGGGCGATGCAGAGTAAAGATCAGTCTTAGACTTTATGTGCAAAGGTGATGATTAAAACTCAGCCAAAATTAAATGAAATTAAAACTAACCCAAACGAAGACCATGAAACGAAAGTTAAGATGAAAACGAGAGGAAACGCTTAAACGTAACGGCAAACTACGAGTTTAAAAATCATTACATAATTGCGATTAAAATATGATAATTACATGATTGCAAATAACATATGATAATTATATGTTTGTGATGTATCAGTATCACCATGTGTATGAGTATAGCATACACATGTATCTATGAAAATATCATACACAAGCAAGCATAAATCTGACGGTGTCCGCCGAAAACATCGCGGATGAAAACGTCGCGAAGAAAACAACGCAAGGCGAAAACATCGTGGCACAAAACATCGGAGAAAATAAAGTAAAGAGAAAACATCGCAGTTCTAAAAAATCGTGGTACAAAATATCGAAATGATTGAAAATAAAGCGGTTCAAAAACTTCGCAGTTTAAAAACATCGTAAAAAATAAAGTTCCTACAAATCATCGCATGACGATAACATCCCAGACGTGCTTTTTTCAGGCTTTAATAATTGTAAAAGTATACTCGCATAATGATTTGTGAGCAGAAGATGGAAAGAAGCATGATTTTTACTTTCGTGTTTTCATTAACTAATACTTTTTGCTGAAAATGTAAAATGGAAACTTAAGCATAGAAAATTAATGCAACTTATATTAACAATTAATAGAATTTTAAGCTGACATAGTTAACTAACAAAGGTCATTTAATGAATTATTTTTAATAAGTTTTACTGGTAATTTTTCATGAAAAGTTGAATCTAAAAAAGATTCGAAAAAGGAAGATAAGTAACTGCATGCCGTTATCTATAAAAATATTGCTGAGTTAAATTGTGAGATTATTTTCTTCACTTTTGTTAATTTGATACTCTTATAGTGAAAATTATTTCTTGTTTTGTTTCAATTTCTTGTTTTGTTTTTTTATAAATTTATTAGTTAATAAAAAATATGAAAGTAAAAATTATCCTTCTTTCCATATTGTGCTCATAAATTATTATGCGAGTATCCTTTTACAATTATTAAAGCCTAAAAAACGCATGTCTGCGATGTTATCGTCATGCGATGATTTGTACGTACTTTGTATTTACTAGGATATTTTCGACGACGATATTTTTAAACTGCAAAGTTTTTGAACAGCTTTATTTTCGATGACGATATTTTGTACCACAATGTTTCAGAACTGCCATGTTTTCTCTTTGCTTTATTTTCTTCCCCACGATGTTTTGTACCACGACGTTTTCCCCTTGCGTTGTCTTCTCCGCTACGGTTTCATTCGCGATATTTTTGCCGCGATATTTTCGGCTGTAACCAATCTGACAGCGCCAGGAAAGGTAAATTCAGAGAAAGGAAGTCAAAATATTCTTCAAATTTTTTAAAATTTTAAATATTCTGTTTGGTTTCTAACTCCTGCGAGAGTCCTCTAAATTTCTTCAAAATAAAAACTGAAAGTAACTACTTTTACTATAAATTAAAATGTATATTTAATTAATCCAGAAGAAAGAAGCATGGATAAAATGTTGTAAGTTTAATACTAGTTGCAACCTGTTCTCATTTGTGGTTATTCGCAAATGATTTAATGCTGCAGAAACTCAAAAACGTTTGGAATAAAAAACGGTTTATAAAGCTATTGTTCCTATTGCTTTTAGGAAACCCGAGAACGGGCTGACCCTCCTCTTAAGCAGGGAGCCTTCGCGTGCTTTGCTATAATCAAATTAATTAAATCAAACTATTGCTTTTAGCTGTACATTTTTATATCACTCTTCCATATGTATAGATGTGTATTTTATATGTACATGCTTTTAGCAAGTTTCGCGTTGAATTTGGATTATTGTGTGTATAAGAGTAAAACATAACCTTTAGGGTTAATTTGTTTTCTAAATAGTAGATAAATAAAACTATAGTTTGCATACATAGTGTAAAAATAATGTAAGATAAGGCTATTTTGGGAATTTACGTAAATAAGTTTAAATAATAATAATAGTTTTTAGCTGTGAGTTGTAGTATTACTATCAGTAATGATCAAATTTCACGAAATAGTCAAAATGATAATAAGGTGAAATCGAGGAGAGGCAGTCATTGCGCGTTTCTTTTAGTTTATATAATAAAACATTTTTTACAGTGAAGAGACATCGGGCTGAAGTTGCTCTACGTCGTAAAGTGAAGAAAGAGGATGAAGTGATAATCTCAGAAGAGGAGGAGGAGGAAAAGAAACAGAAAGGCATCGATGTAAAAATACGTTCTGCTTCTCGCGATACTAATGGGGAACTAAAGACAGTTTTAACACGAACAACTGAAAATGAAACCGACATAAGGGACGCGGAAATAGATATTGACTTGACATCTAAAATAACAACACCGATTGATGTGCGTTCTTCAAAAGTCGACAAACGCACTTCGATTCTCAAAGTTACAAAAAAGGGAAAGCGGGTAGATTTGATCGAAGAAACGGATTTGTATAAAACAGGCATTGAGTTCGATAGAGAATATGAATCTACTATAAGGATAAAAGAAAAGCCCGAAGAGGAAATAGTTGTTGAATTGGTTGAAGATAAGAAAATACCTGAAGAAGATCTGAAGAAAACTTCTGCGAAACTGGAGAAAACTCGAAAATTAGAAATAACTGAATTGGATACCGAAGAAGAGAAACCAGTTCCAAAGAAACCATTGTCTATCGACACAATAAGTAAACGAAGTGTCACTGAGGAAATTGAAGTAGTTTTGCAACCAGACGAAAAATCGGAACTCTATCGGGATAGCATAAGATTAGAGAAAGATAAGAAGCCTGAATTTGAAGCACGAGTGTCGTTGCAAGAAATCTCAGAAACTGAGAGTCTTAAAAAAACCAAACCAAAAGATAAGGAAAAAGCGAAGATTGAGACCAAAAAGAAATCACGACCTGAAAAATCTGAAGACCATCTGGAAATGAAACTTGAAGACGAGGACAGACCAGAAGAAACGTCGCTTAAAATAAAAAAGAAACCTCGTGATAAATTCGAAGAAGAAGCTCGTCTCGAAATAAAGCCTGATGATAAAGATACAACAGAAAAGGTATCGCTTAAGACGAAAAAGAAACCTCTTGAGAAGTCTGAAGATGAAATTTATCTGGATATTAAACCTCAAGATAAAGATGTAGTAGAAAAGAAGACAGTTAAGAAGAAGCGTCGAGTAGAAGTTGAAGAAGTTCATGTAGAAATGAAGCCTGAAGATAAGGATAAAATAGAAAAAATATCGTTTGAGATTGAAAAGAAGCCTCATGAAAAGTTGGAAGAAGAAGTCTGTGTGGAAATTAAACCTGAATACAAGGATAAAACAGACAAAATATCGCTTGAGATGAAAAAGAAATCTCGTGAAACTTTTGTAGAAGAAAGTCACGTAGGGAAGAAGCCTGAAGACAAGGATATAGCAGAAAAGGTTTCCCTCGAGGTGATAAAGAAGCCTCATGAGATGTTTGAAGAAGAAGTCCATTTGGATATGAAACCTGAGGATAAAGAAAAAACAGAAAAGGTGTCGCTTAAAATGAAAAAGAAACCTTGTGATAAGATTGAAGAAGTGCATGTGGAAATAAAACCAAAAGAGAAAGATAAAACAGAAAAGGTATCGCTAAAATGAAAAAGAAACCTCGTGATAACCTTAAAGAAGTCCATCTGGATATGAAACCTGAACATAAAAATGAAATAGAGATTTCTAAAGTTTCAGTTACCCTAGCGAAAGAAGAGCATCCTGAGGAGACTGAGAGCATAATTATAGAAAAGAAAAAGAAACCGGATCAGGAAATCAAGATTGATGCTAAAGCAAAAAGCGAAAAAGTGTCTACAGTAATAGATCTAGAAAAAGAGTTTTTAAGCCGAACAAAACTAGATATTTCTCCAGCGGAAACTGATAAATCAGAAGAAAATATCGTTCTTTTTGAAGCGGAAGTTGTAGAAAATGTTCCCGAAGAACATTTAGCTAAACCCGATATCGCTAAAGTTTCTTTTGTAACTCACAGTCCGTTAACTGTTACTGCTGTTATGTCCGAAAGTAGAGAAGTAACTTCTCAACATATTACTCCAGAAGCAAAAACTGCTTTGTCAAGTTTGCTCGAACAAAGTGCTTTAATAGTTTCTGTGACGAAACCAGAAACAAAAGAAGAAGCTTTTTCAAAGAAACCAGAGTTACACAGAAAAGCAGATATGGAATTTTTAGCTGAAAATTATATTACTGTAACTGAAACAAAACCTTCGGATGTGGAAGATGAATTAAAAATAGATAGTGTTGTTAAGTCTCTTGCGAAATGTCTGATATCACCTGCAAAGCATATGACAATAGATGAGATAAATATTCAAGGAATGGTTTCGAAACTTAAGTTAGAAGAAGGACCTAAACATCAAGCATTTTATAACATTCAGACATCTCAACCTATATCTGTCGAAGAAATTATTTCAGGCACAAAGGAATTACCACTCTCTCTTGAGCGACTGGATGCCCATAAAGCGATATCAGAAATCAGTCCTTTAAGACATCTCGAAATATCAGAGACTCATTCAGAAAGTCACTCTGTTGATCTCAAACAACCATTCCATGTAGCACAAAAAGCAACACAAAAAATAACAACACAAGATGCTATGATTGTGGAGGAAATTGATGTATCTGGTATTGGCAGTGATATGCAGGTTCACGAGGCAAAAGCAAAAAATGCAATCGAGAGGGTTATTTTAGGCCAGGGACTTTCAATCACTGAAGTATTACCAGAAGTAAAGGAAACAAGCATAAGCCCTGTTATGTTGCCCAAACCAGTGACAGCATCCGAAACTATGCCGATCGATTCATCTATAGAAGTATATGACACTTTTCTTCTTAGTAACGTAAAAGAAATGCCTCAACACGTACCTTCTTTAAACACTGCTGATGTTAATTTCGTTGCGAATGAAAATATTTCTGTCATGGAAACAACACTAGCTCAACAAGAAGGAAATCTTGAAATGCCTCACAAAATTTCAGAAGTGTTTCCCAATTTGATACTTACAACTGGCCAAAGTGTGCTAGTATCGCAGATCTACCCTCATGACAAAGAATCAACTTATAGTCCAATTAAAACAGCAGCCCTTAGTGTAAAACCTAAGTTTATTAAAAGTGAAGCTATTGATATAACAGAAGTTTCTCTTAGTGACAAGGAGATAAATCTATCAATACCTACAACCAAAGCAGAGTTGACAGCCACAAGTTCTGTGTCATTAGCAGAGGCTGTCATTGTAACTGACACTCAAGTTCAGTCCAAAGAAAGGCCTGGGGTAGTTGTAGAATATGAGGTTAAAAAAGCATCTGAAGCATCCATGCCTTCAAAGTTTGCGGTAACAATCACAGAAACTGAAATTTCTGAAAGCAGTGATATTTTACCAAAACCGAAAACATATACAGAACGTCTTCAGACTCGCTTCATTGCAGAAGATGCTGTGTTAGTAGAAGAAGTTTGCTTAGAGGATAAAGAAGGCGCAATGAAACCTGAAGCAAAACCCAATCCCAAACATATAGCTTCCTCCTTTGTTCCCGAACGCGCTCTGGATATTAGTATTGGAGAAACGTTCGATAAAGAAACAATATTCGAAGAAAGATCATCCAAATCATTTTGTGCAACAGAGACTTTGCAAACAACAGATGGTGCAATACAAGTATATTCTGAAAATTACCAAAAAGATGATCGACTGGAGACGATAGAAGAGGATGTTACAAAACGTTTCGCTGCTGCTGAGTATTCAACTCATTCAGCCATCTCTGTTTTCGAAGCCGGCACCCAAATGCGTGAAGAAATTTTAGAGGAAGATATAAAGCCACTTGAATCTGCGGTAGCGAAAGAAAGCTTGCCAGCGCAGAAATCAGCACTTGAAATTTTGGAAACTCAGAGCGTAGATCAAGAAGGAGCGTGGTCTAAGGATTGGCGACCTGAAGGGAAGTATGCAGAGAGAGAATTACAGACTGAAGAAGCTTGCACAGTTTCTGTTACAGAAACAAATGTTGCAGAAGAGAGTTTAGAAATAGACACGAAACCAATGTTAAGAACTCCGCGTTTTAACGTGATATCGCAAGAAGCGGTATCAGTATCAGAAACTACGACCCATATGAAGGAAGGTGGAATAGAAACTCATATAATGCCTCGAGGAACAATAGCAACGAAGAGCTTAATGGAAGAGGTGGCGCTAGAAATCTTAGAAACAGAACTTGGTTTGAAAGAAAGTGATTACAAACCTCTTCCATTACCAGTCGGTAATAAACTGACGCCTCGTGTCGAATACAAACCAGAGAAAGCAGTAAGTGTTACCGAAATGCAACCTAATGTAATGGAAGGATTATTGGAAAAGCAAGTCTTTAAAACAGATAAAGTAAACATTTCTCTAGGAGAAAAAGAAGCAATATTCATCGAACAAATTTCGCACATGGGACAAGTAGATGAGCTACGTGACATGCATCCTGAGTCGAAACATCTTCAAGTCCAAATGGCACCCCAAGAGGCCTTAGAAGTATCGGATGTGAAGACAGAACATAAAGAAAGCAATCTGCTAATCGAAGATAAATCAACCCTTTATAATGCAGATGTGAGTATTATTCCTCGAGAAGCGTTATCGGTTATCGAAATCAAATCAGCTTTGCGTGAAGAAGATTTTCTAGAAACTCTTACACCTGCATATAAGAAAGCATCGCCTTCTTTGCAAATAGAACAAGCTCTAGCTGTTGAAGAAGTCGAAACTGCATCTTCAGAGAATGATCTAAAACAGCAAGCGAAGCCTTTTTCATCCCAAGCTAATATTTCTGTTATTGCAGAAAAAGCTGTAGAAGTATCTGAAGTTCAGTTGAGTCATGTTAGTGATGATATAACAGATACCAAGTTACCTGATATAAAGACTGCATCTAAATCTTTAGAAACAGGAGCTAGCTTGATTGTTCAAGAGATTACTTTAGCAGAAATCACTGAAACTTGTGAAGCACGATTAGATTTCTCAAGCTCAAAATCTGCAAACCTGTCATTGGAGCAACACGAAACTGTTTCAGTTTCCCAGGTGGAATCTATGCTTGGTGAAACTCATATGCCTGACTTCCGTTTACCTCGACCAAATCAAATATCCGCTTCCCTTGCAACAGTTGAACCGCTGGAAGTGAGCTCTGTACATGTTTCGGAGGGAGGAAAGGAAATGAAAATTTCCGCCAAACCCGAAAGTGACAAGGCCGGGTTTTCGTTTCCGCAAATTGAAACATATACTGTATGCTCCGTGCAAACAGGTGATACTGTAGCGGATACTCCTGTCTTACCTCATCCAGACACTGCCGAAGGTAGCCTCAGTGTAGTATGTAATCAGTCGGTGGGAATTTCTGAAGTTCTTACCAATACTAGGGAGGTATCGTTAGAAGTAGAAAAAATGAAATTACCTGTTTCAGCAGATATATCATATAGTGCCCCACACGTACCATTAACAGTTTCTGATGTTCATGTAAAATCTGAAACACATGATTTAGGTATGATGGCACCCATCACACATAAGGCCGATGAATATGTATCAGTGAAAGAAAGTGTTGAGATTTCGGACGTAACAATATCAGAAAGTACACACGAAGCTGGGGCTACAGACATACCACAGCGAAAAGCGGCGCTTTTAACACTAATTCCAAAACACACATACACTTTTTCAGAACATGAAACGTTAGGTTCAGAGACAACACTAATACCAGAAAAGTTAAATATTTCTAAAACTTCACCGTCCTTAGTTCCCCATGAAACCGTAGAAATAAATATTTCAAAATATGCTATCAAAGAAAGTCAACTTCTTCCAGATGTTTTTCCAAAAAATCAAACTGCAAAACAAATTGTTTCTCCTTTCGACCACTTGGTCATAGAGGAAGCTTTAACACAGCAAATACCAGGAATGTATGAACAACAGCTACGGCCGGAGGAAAAAGAAGCTATAAAAAGTTTTGTCTGCTACAGTCATCTGGCAACGTCTTTCCAGCAAACGTCAGGCACATGCGAGAGTGAGCTTATCCTTGAAAGTAAAGCTCAAACTCATACTGCCGATATTCATATCACACCAAATCAGCCGATTGAAGTTTCTCTTACACAACCGGAAACAAAGGAAAGTACTTTTACTTCAAAAATTTTAACTTCCAAAACTGCAAAATCAAGTGTTCCTTTTGCTGAAGCAGTAATTACTGAAGAAGTCACGCTTTCTGCGGGTACCGGAGAGTATGTCGTAGTCCAGCCTTCCAAAGATGTCGCAAAAGTCGACTTTACGAATGTTGTATGCCCTTCTGTTTTAGAAGTTAGCACAGGGGAAGTAGAATCTATGCTTAATATACCTACGTTACCTAAACAACATTCCCTAGATTTTCAAGTAACTTCACAAGAATCTTTAACCGTTGCATTTGTTCAAGCAGATGATACTTCAGATATCCTGGAAGGTGATTCTATGCCATCAACAAAATCTATGACAGCTGTTCTTCTGCCAATGCAACCCTGCGTGGTAGAAGAAGTCACTACCGCTTCTAAAGAAGCTGAATTGTCGGTAGAACATAAGCTACGGCCAGAAGAAGCCTCAGAGGCCTTCCTTGCCCATGAAGCAACTTCCGTTTCTGAAATCGTAACTCATTACAAAGAAGACGCTTTGCATCCACGAGCTAGGATACCCAGTGCAGCCGCTGACGTTTCTGTTTCTCGGCAGTTTGGCATAGAAGTCTCCAGTACTATTGCATCTGAACAAGAAATTTGTTTAAAAGATATCCCTATTCCAAAAGAGCAGCATGCAGAAAGGGAGCTGTCTTCAGTATTTGCAATGAGTGTTGGAGAACATGTAGTCTCGGAATTAACATCTCCTGCCACTTTACCCTTAACTTCAGTACTAGAAGAAATTGCCGATGTCCAGGTAGCATCTAATTATCCAGTTTCTATTTCAGAAACGGCGTCAGAACTCCATGAAACAGATCTCAAAGAAACAGTGATGGCATCAAAGGTAGCGGCAGTATCACTTTTAGAAAATGTAACAGCATCAGTAGAACAGATATCTGTTTGTGATACATCTTCTGACCTAAAACCGGATATCAAACCTGCCACCCACAAAGCAGATACAGTACTTATACCTCAAAAGTCTATTATTGTGAAAGAAACACAATGGGATCAGAAAGAAACTCTATTCGAGCGGGAGAAACTACCTCTTCAAGATGCTAAACAGCACATATCCCTGACAAGAGCCGTAGAGATATCAGAATATTCTTCTCAGACCAAAGAGGAGGCGTTAGCTCCTCAGATTATGCCACAGACTCACGAAGTTGAAGTTATCGTGCCAGCGGAGGAAGCATTAAGTGTTACAGAAATAAACGTGGATGATATAACTGGTAAACTTTCTCTGAAGAATATACCAAAAGAAGATTTTGCTTCATTACAGTTGTCTTTACATGAAACTGTCTTAGTTGAAGAACAAAAACAAGCAGAAAAAGAAGCTGATATTAAAATAAAAGAATTACCTGCGTCTAAAATCGCCTTACCAATTTTACCGCTTAAGAAGCATTTACATGTATCTGAAGTTACAGCTGGCACTACATTTGAGCAGTTGATTGTGCAGGAAACTCCAAAGGAAATCACAGCCGATGTGCTGCTTTCAACTCAGCAGAGTATTGTAGTTTCAGAGACGACATCTGGGATTAGAGAAGACACCTTAATCCAGCCACAAGCACCAAAAGAACACAGAGTGGAGCCTGAATTTTCAGAAATTCAACCTTTGTATACTTCGGTAACAGAAACAGAAACAAGAGAACAGGAAATGCTTCCAGAAAAGAAACCCATGGAAGGCCAAGCTATGATAAGCGTAAGGCCTGAAGATAGTGTACAGATTTCTGAAGTACAAACTCATTTGAAAGAAGGAGTATTTATACCATCTGGCCCTACTGGTGAGGTTCTTGTACCATTTTCTTTACCAACTGAGGAGCATATAACGGTTTCAGAAGTGCAGATATCTAATAAAGAAGGCGATTTAAAACCTTCAGAAAAACCAAAATTATTCAGTGCCGATGTTTCGGTATCCCAGGTTAAGCATCTGACAGTTTCTCAAGTAGAAACACAATTAAAAGAAGATGAATTCATTCCTGTAAAAATTCCCGATATGTTAAGCGCTGGAATGACAATACCAAGCAAAGAACACGTAGTAATAACTCAAGTTGATTCTGAAATGAAAGAAAGTATACTGAAAACCAAAGAAATGCCTGCTGGCACGGTAGCTGATGTACAAATGCCAACAGCGGAACATATTGTCATAAGTGATGTTATTTCAGAAGATAAAGAAGGAACGCTGAATGTTTTGAAAACACCAAAATCCATATCGGCTAAATTTACTCTTCCCGTCGAAGAACCTATTCACGTTTCTGATATTATGGTTTCCCAAAAGGAAGGACTCCTAGAAGAATTGAAAATACCTGATACAGCAACAGCTCCTTTTACTATACCGACAGAGAAACATGTCACTATTTCACAGACTGAAACATCTGTCATGGAAGAAAAATTAGTAGTAGATAAAATGCCAAATACCGTTACTGCAGGAATGTCTGTTCCTCTTGAAGAACATATCGTGGTCAGTGAAACTCCTTCGGGTGAATTTGAAGAAACTCTCGATATTCAAAAACTTCCTCGAGCACTTACAGCAGATTTTACAGTTCCAACTAAAGAGCACATAATTGTTAGTGAAGTTCTAACTCCAGTATCTGAGGACACACTAGCACCCGATAAGAAACCTTTACAATACTCAGCAGATCAAAATTTAATATTTGAAGAACATATTACAGTATCAGAAGTTGAAACCGCAAGCAAAGAAGCCGTGCTTGAAGAAAAAACGAAACCAAAAACTGACGCAGCTGGCGTAAGCGTACGCACGGATGAACATGTGGTCGTATTTTCTGTGCAACCTAATATTGGAGAAGCAGAATATATTGCAGCCCCTATTGGACAAAATGCTGAAATGAACGTGCCCGCTGAAGAACATGTAACAGTGCTTGAAATTACATCAAATGTATCGGAGCAAGAACTTAAAGAAGAAATGAAGCCATCTACCGCCAAAGCTGGTTTCAGTTTTCTTACTGAAGAACATGTTTTCACATCTGTTGTTGAAACTAGTTTAAAGGAGGATGTTTTCATGAAAGATAAACTTCCTGCAACAGTAAAGGCAAAAGCTACTTTGCCAGCAGAAACACACGTAATTATTTCTGCTGTAGAAACAGAAGACAAGGAAGGGGATCTTCAAACTAGAAGAATTCCTGATGAAGTCCAAGCTGGCTTCTCTTTAACTACTTTAGAACATGTAACCGTCGGAGAGATTCAGAGCCAGTCCTCTGAGAAGGAACTTGCTCCTGAAAGATTACCTTCCACCGTTGTTGCAGATATGTCTGTGTTAAAGAAAGAGCATATAACAGTATCTGAAGTTTTATTGGACATGAAAGAGGGTGAAGTCTCTGCGTTTAAAGCACCAGCAAGTGTTAAAACAGATTATTCTATAAAAACTGAAGAACATGTTATTGTTGGAAAAGTTGATGTTCAGTCTAAAGAAAAAGAATTGATACCAGAAAAACTACCAGCGTCATCTAGAGCAGACTTGAGCGTATCTACTCAAGAACATTTAGAAATTATAGAAACACCCATTCAAATGAAGGAAAGTGAACTTGCACCAGACAAAATACCGCTAAGCGCGTCAGCAAAACTTACAATACCATCTCAAGAACATGTATCCATATCCGATGTCCAGGAAACAACTCAGACGCAAGAACTAACACTTGGACCATATGCCATTCCTGCAGAAGCTGAAATCAAAGTATCCCCTGAAGATCATCTTATAATTTCAGAAATGGTAGTTAGTCAAAAAGAAGGAGAAGTGCTTGCATTAAAGAAGCCACAAGAAGTTCAGGCTGGCTTTACGGTTCCAACCGCTGAGCACATCGTCGTTTCTAAAGTAGTTGCGGAAAGTAGAGAAAGCGATCTAGCGAAAGATGAGCTTCCTTCTCAAGTGAAAGCAGATTTCTGTGTACCAGGAGTTGAGCATGTTACTGTTTCTGAAGTTTTATTAGATATGAAAGAAGGTGAAGTTGAAATATTCAAAAAGCCTGCAACTGTCAATCTAGATTACTCTCTAAAAACTGAAGAACATGTTATTGTAGGGAAAGTAGACGTTCAGTCAAAAGAAAAAGAATTCGCGCCATCGAAGTTGCCTCTGTTTTCTACAGCAGACTTTAGTGTATCTACTCAAGAGCATTTAGAAGTTACAGAAACACCCATTCAAATGAAAGAAAGCGCACTTGCACCAGATAAATCACCTCAAAGTGCATCCGCAAAATTGACGATACCACCTCAAGAGCATGTGTCAGTTTCCGATGTACAAGACACAGTTCAAACTCAAGAATTACTGGTTGCGCCATCTGTCGCTCCTGCTGAAGCTGAAATCAAAATATCCCCAGAAGATCACCTCATAGTTTCAGAAATGGTAGTCAGTCAAAAGGAAGGCGAAGTTGCTGAATTAAAGAAACCACAAGAAATGCATGCAGGCTTTACGGTACCAACTGCTGAACATGTTATTGTTTCCAAAGTGGTTGCGGAAAGTCGAGAAAGTGATTTAGTCAGAGATGAGCTTCCATCTCAAGTCACAGCTCATTTCCGAGTACCAAGTGTTGAGCATGTTACCGTTTCTGAAGTTTTACTAGATACGAAAGAAGGGCAGGTTGAAGCATTCAAAAAACCGGCAACTGTCAATCTAGATTATTCCATAAAAACTGAAGAGCATATTATTGTAGGGAAAGTAGATGTGCAGTCGAAAGAGAAAGAATTTGTACCAGCAAAGCTGCCTATTTCTTCTTCAGCAGACTTAAGTATATCTACTCTAGAGCATTTAGAAATTTCAGAGACGCCCATTCAAATGAAGGAAAGCGAACTTGCACCAGACAAATCACCACAAAGTGTATCTGCAAAGCTGACAATTCCATCTCAAGAACATGTATCGGTCTCCGATATCCAAGAAACGACTCAGACGCAAGAATTAACTCTTGCACCATCTGCTATTCCTGCTGAAGCTGAAATTAAAGTATCCCCTGAAGATCATCTGATAGTTTCCGAAATGGTAGTTAGCCAAAAGGAAGGAGAAGTTGCTGAGTTAAAGAAACCTCAGGAAAGGCATGCAGGCTTCACCGTACCAACAGCCGAACATATTATTGTTTCGAAAATAGTAGCAGAAACCCGAGAAGGGGATTTAGCCAGAGATGTACTTCCATCTCATGTAACTGCCGATTTCCGAGTGCCAGGCATGGAGCATATTATTGTTTCACAGGTTGAAGCTGGGACCGCTGAGGAAGAACTCAAAGAGGAATCTAAACCTCTATCAGTGAAAGCAGAGTTTACTCTTCCGACGTCAGAGCATGTAGTCGTATCAGAAACAGACCTGAATGTGAAAGAGAGCGAAATGGCTGCGTTCGCAAAACCCAAAGTGTCTAAAGTTGACGTTACGTTGCCATCAGAGAAACACATTGAAATTAGTGAAGTAGAGATCGACGTAAAAGAGAAAGCATTTGCTCCTGACAAAGCACCATTAACTGCTCAAGCATCGTTTACTATACCAACTGATGAGCATGTCATTGTTGTGGAAACTGCTACCCATCAAAAGGAGAATACGTTAGCAGCAGATCGCAGGCCTTCAGAAGCAAGTGCTGATGTGACTGTATCATTTAAAAAGCATGTGCTTGTTTCGGAAGTGCAAACTGAAACTAAAGAAGATGTATTTGATGAGCTGGCACCTAAAAGAGTGGTTGCTGATTTGACTGTTTCTCCTGAGGAGCATGTCATTATAATCGAAACGCAGTCGCAGACAAGAGAAGAAACTTTACAACCTGAGAAAGCACCAAAGGCAGTAACTGCTGGTTATACCGTACCAACAGCAGAGCATGTAGAAATATCGCAGGTTGAGACAGAAACTCGTGAAATCGAACTAAAAGTACAAGAAAAGCCTAAAGAGGTAACAGCAGGTTTCACAATTCCAACTGAAGTGCACTTTGAAGTGTCAGAAATTGAGTCTCATATTAAAACGGAAGAAATGAAACCAGAAAAAATTCCATCTGCATCTAAAGCTGATGTTTCAGTGCCAACTAAAGAACATGTAATCGTTAGTGAGACAGAAAGTAATCTTCAAGTTAAGGAGTTTTCTGTTGGCTTGCCTCATCCAGATAGAGCTAAACAAACTTTGGCTGTCAAAGAACCAATAAAAATTGATGAAGCGCCTGCAGAAGTTAGCATTGAAGAGCAAGTGACTCTTCCCGAAAGGAAACAACGGCCAATTACAGAAAAGAAAGATGCAACACAAAGTTTCATTGATATTGTTCTCGAGGAAGCAGCTGAATTCGTTGTTCAGAAACGTGAAGAAATAGTTTTAGAGTCTTCTGAAGTTGCTCTTTCTTTGATTGCTGATATATCCGAAGAAATACCAACAAGAAAAGAACCGGTATTAGAGCAATTTTCTCCTTTCACAGTAACACTTCCAGAAGAACAGGATGTCACAGAAGAAATGAAAGAATCTTCAATAATGAAAAAGCGAACTGTTAAAACTGTTCACAAAAAAACAAAAGATGGTAAAATCATTGAAGTGAAAGAAGTTTTTGAAACATTTACGTCAGAGCCCATTATGTCTAAACCAACAATCGAAGATGTGACAGAATTTGAGGTGGAGACACTTGAACCTACTCCTGAACAACAGCCTGTCATCGAAGAGATAGAGGAATTGACCCCATTAAGTCAGGAAATATCTGAGAAACCAGAAGAATTACTTGCCACAGTTGAAGAAGTTGTGCCTGATTCGAAGCGAGAAGAAACTAGCATCACTTTGAAAAAGAAACCTAAACGAAAAACAGACATGGAACCTGTTGTACGAACTGACGAAGAACCAGAGGAAGTGGAGGAAACTGTTATAACCATAAAGAGAAAAGAATCGGTTATCGAAGAAATTGAAACAATTCCTGCGCCGAAAGAGGACGTTCGATTACCAACAGAGGAGCAGATTATCTCCATACCTCATGTTGAAACTGTAGAAGAAGGCGTAGAGATTCTCATTGAAGGCTCCGAGGATATTTTGCCTAAAGCAGAAGCCAAAGTAAAGAGGGAAGGACCAGAGGTATTCGTGTCTGAAATCAGCGAAACTAAAGCGGAGTATGCTAAGGAGGACAAAATACCTGAAAAGAAAACAGTAGAAAAAGTAACAATAAAGAAACAAAAATCTGGAAAAGTACCAGATGAAGAAAAGGAAATTCCTGCAGAAGTTACGCCAGAAAAGAAAGAAGATGTAGAAACAGCGAAAATAAAGCTGAAACCAAAGCCAAAGGTAAAAGACGATGAAGTAGAAATAGCAAAAGTAAAATTGAAACCAAAGAAAAAACCCGAGGAGGAAGAAGAAATAGTTAAAGTGTCATTAGAAGTACCCGAAGAAAAAGCCGAGAAACCAGAAAGTGTCGATATATCATTTAAGAAGGAAGTGGAGAAAATAACTGTGCCAGAAGAGAAAACAACCGGCGTTGAAGAATCAAAAGTAATCCTGAAAAAGCGAAAAAAGAGTTTGCCAAAAGCGGAAGAAGAAAAGGTTATACTGCCCGATGTAGAGGAGAAAGCTGAAGTAACTCTAAAACGTAAACCATCGGAGGAAACTGAAAAACCTGCTGAAGAAGGTAAAATTGAAGAAATTTCGTTCGTCTTAAAGCCTACAAAATTAACAAGCGATGAACAAAGTCAGAAGCCTGAAGTAGCTGAAATCGTTGATCAACCTACTGTAAGCGAAGCAGAAAAAACTGTTACTCTAAAAAAGAAGCCTAAGAAACTAGAAGAGAAAAAAGAAGTAACTGTGATCGAAGGGGAAACCAAAAAAGTTGAGAAGTCTTCAGAAGAAATAATTACTTTTGATATAAAGAGGAAGCCTTCTGTTTCTGGTAAGTAGGAAACTTATTATTTAAAGTAGCTATTTTCCATATGAAATATTAATTAATTAATTAATTAATTTTGCATAAATTTAATTATGAGAACGTATTTCGTTCTTACTTAATTTGAGGGACGTCTTGTGCACTTTAACTACATGTTCGTGAAAATAACCTTTGTATTTGTTTTGCAGAGTTTAACAAGCATTTACGCTTTGCGGAGTCTCGGGACACCAAGCTGTCTCTACTACATAATGCTTTGGATAATCTTCACTTAACGGCTGAACTAAGATTTTTCTCTAATATTTAATTAACATTTGGCTGAATAAATACTACAGACACATATATAATCATGTAATAAATACATTTTTCAGAATTCAAAAATTCGGAATTAGGATATATGTAGATTTAAAAGTTGTGAACAATCAAATAATTTATCTGACCTTATAATTAAAGTGTAAATTTAAATATTAATTTACATAATTAAGTAAAGCTTAGCTCACAAGACTAAAACTTAAATAACTAATAGCATTTTATTTGCATCAGCAGACATTTTAAACTTTCAGGTGAGCAGACTAATGTGAGTATAAAAGTGCAGCGTGTTTTGAACTATTTTGCATGATCTGTGAATTTATCACCTCTACTAACAAATAAAATTTATTTTTTTGTGTGCGTGTTAGTCTTCTTATGTGATAATTATACGTAATATATGTTTCGTCTGATACCTCCAAAATTATTTTGTCATTGAAAGCTGTGTTAAAGATTTTAGCATGCTACTTTATACAAATTTTTGTTCTTTCCTGCTACTGAAAAGTTTAAAAAAAATTTTGAAACTTTTCAAAATTTTTTTTAACTTCTGAAGTCATTAAGTTTTTTAATGATGCTAACACGTCAAAATTAGTTCAATTAAGAATAGTTCCAAACAGCTTCGCATAGAAACTCATAATCTACTTTCCGTTTATAGAAAAGGCTCCGGCACCAGTTGTTCTCGAAGAGATTGAAGCCAAAGAAGAGGAAATTATCGAACATGCGGAAATTAAAATAAAGAAGAAACCAAAGGAAGAAGCGCCTGAAGAAGTTACTGTTGTAAAGGAGCCTTCAGTAGAAGAACGAAAAGAAGAAGTTATAGAACAAGCAGTTTTAAAAGTAAAGAAAAAGCCTAAGAAAGAAGAAAAACCAGACGTAGAGCAAGTACAAGTAATCTTAAAACCAAAAGAAAAAGAATTAGAAGAAATACCGGTAGAAGTTACAGTTCAACGCAGACCTTCTAAACCTGAAGAAACAAAAGAAGTTGAAAGTGCAGTTATAAAGTTAAAGAAAGAAGAGAAAAAACCAGAAGAAATCATTGAGGAAAAGAAGATTTTGATTAAAGAAGATAAACCAGTTGAAGATGTTACTGATCAGGCTGTTGTGAAACTAAAAAAGAAGCCAAAAGAGGAGAAACCCTCAGAAATAGTCAAACGTAAACTGTCTGTGAAGGAAGAAATGCCAGACAAAACAGCAGTTGCCGTAATGACAATCAAAACGAAACCTGTAGAGGAAAGTGTTGAGGAAATTAGTGTTACACAAAAAGTACCGATTAAGCAAGAAACCATTGAAACAGTTGAAGAGACAAAAGTTATTAAAATATTGGAAGAAGAAAAACCAAAGCAAGCAGAAGAACGGGTTACTTTAAAAGTGAAAAGGAAAACATCAATTAAAAAAGCAGAAGAAAAGGAAGAGGAAACTGAAGATGTTCCGGCTTTCAAAACAGAGCCTACAATTACTGATTCAGCAACTCAAACGTTAGTAGAGTCTAAAGCTGTGGATACCGTTCATAAAATAACGACAGTAACAATTTTAAAATCTGAAGAAAAGCCTCAACCAGAGGAAAAACCTCAGCCCGAGGAAAAATCTGTGAAGATTCCTCTAAAAAAGAAGGTTGTAGTTAAAGAAGAGACAGTGGCCGAAGATATTAAAATCCCTTTAAAGCCGGAAGAGAAACCTGTCGAGGAAGATAAAGAAGAAATCATTACTGTACAATTAGAACAAAAAACAAAGGAAGAAAAACCTGTTACTGAAGAAGCAGAAGTAATAATTCCTAAACCTGTGGAAGTGAAGGATACAACTGAAGAACAAGCAGTTGTTTTGACAATTAAGAAAGGACCAGAGGTCGAAGAACAAGTAAAAGTCAAGCGAAAACCGAAAAAGAAAGAAGAACCAGCCTCAGAGGAGATAACGATGATAAAGAAACCGGAAAAACCTGAAGAGAAAACTTTGCAGGAGGAAGAAGCTGTTTTCAAGATAGATTTGAAGCCTGCGGAGAAAAAGGATACAAAAGAAGAGGAAACTGTGAAAAAAATTATTATAGAAGAAACTAAAGTTACTAAATATGATGTTCATGAAGAAAAGGCAGAAATTACAGTTAAAAAGATTGAAGAAATAGAAAAGGGAGTTGAACAAGAAGTGCCTAAGGTGAAAAAAGAGGAGACGATTCCTGAACAGCTTGAAAAGGAGATACCAAAGATTCCTAAAAAACCGGAAGAAGTTGTTGAGGAAAAAGTGAAAATAAAGAAAAAGCCGAAGAAAAAAGAAGAGGTGAAACCTGAAGAAGTCATTGTTAAAAAGGTTGAAGAAAAGGCTCCAGAAACTGAAGAAGAAATAATTAGTGTTGATGTTCCTGTTAAACCTATTCAAAAAGCAATTGTTGAAGAAGCAGCTGTAAAGTTAGATGTTAGTGAAATTAAAGAACAAGTAGCTAAAGTAGAAGAAGTAGTGACAACAGTAGTGAAAAAAGAAGAAGAAAAGCCTGAAGATGTCGATACGCAAGTCACATTCATAAAAAAGAAAAAAATAAAAAAGCCCGAAGAGGAAATTGTTCAGTTGAAAGTAGAAAAACCGGAAGAAAAAGCGCCAGAAAAACCAGAGGAGGTTGAAAGTGTTTTCGAAATTCGTCCCAAACTTAAAGAAGTACCTGCACCTTCTGTAGAAGAAGAAATAGCAGAAGTGGTTACTCTTAAAGAAGAAGTGAAGCCATTTAAGGTAACAGAAGAAAAGGCAGAAGTGAGTGTAGTAAAAGAGCAGGTTGAAGAAAAAACTGAAGCTACAATTATAAAGAAAAAGAAACGACCTAAACCGGCAGAGAGCCCTGAAGTAGAATTCAAAGTAACCTTAGAAAAGGAAAAACCAGAAGAGAAACCAAAAGATACAGAAGAAGAATTTGTAATTAAAGCACGGATAAAAGAAGAAAAACCGGTCATTGCGGAAGAAATCGAAGAAGTTATGAAACTGCCAACTGTTACTAAGGAAGAAAAATTTACGGTAACCGAAGAAAGTGTTGAAGTTACTGTTAAAAAGGAGGTCATCGAAGAGGATGTCGAAGAAGTAAAAATTGTTCCGAAAAAGAAAAAACCCAAGAAAAAAGAAGAGGAAGAAACAGTTTTCAAAATTCCTCTGGAAGAAGCGAAACCTCAAAAGCCAGAGGAAATCTCTCCAGAAGATGTTGAGGAATCGTTTGCCGTTAAAATACCGAAGAAGGAACCGATTAAGGAGACAGAAACAGTTTCAGATGTTGTTAGTATTGTACCTCAGCCAGAAAAGAAAGAGGAAATTGAAGAAGTTGAGATAACAGTGAAAAGGGTAACCGAAAAGGAGGAAAAACCTTCAGAGGAAGAAATTCAACCAGCAGTAGCAGTCATTAAGAGAAAGAAAAAACCAGAAAGGAAGAAATCTGAATCTCCTGTTGAAGAAACATTTGTTGTACCTCAAGTCAAGGAAAAAGAACCTTCACCAGAAGAAGTTTCTGTTGAAGAGAAATTCTCTGTTGAGATTAAGAAACCAGAAAAACCAAAACCAGTTGAAGTGATAGAAGAGACTCTAAAATTCACACTAGAAAAAGCTGAAATCAAAGAATACAAAGCAGAAGAAGCTGAAGCAGAAATTACGGTGAAGAAAGAAGTTGTGGTAGAGGAGGATGTTAGTAAACCTCAAAAGAAAGAAGAGCCAGAGGTGACGAAAAAATTAAAACTTAAAAAGAAACCTGAAACGAAAGTTGAATCAACTGAAGAAACTTTCTCTATACCGCTACCAAAAGAGGAAGCCGAATTGCCGGAGGAAGAGAAAGCCCCTGTAGAGGAAGCTTTTTCTGTTAAGCTGCCCGAGAAACCAAAGGAGCCCACAAAAGTGACAGTGGAAGAATCTGTTACAGTTGAACTTGAAGAGGAAAAACCAAAGCCAGTTGTAGAGGAGGCTGCAGAAGAGGCAACTGTACTTTTGAAACAAGAGGAGCCAGAAAAGAAAGCGCCTGTGAAAGTTGAAGAGGAACAAAAAGCAACTTTAAAATTGAAACCTAAAAAGCGGGACGTCAAAGCAGACAAACCCGTTCAGGAAGAGCCGAAAGAAACATTCGAAATACCTTTATCGAAGCCTGTTGAAAAAAAAGAGAAGGAAGAAGTATTTGAAGTTTCCCTGCCAAAGAAAGAGAAGCCTAAGCAGGAAATTGAAGAAGAAACTACACTTGTCATACCAGCAGAGGAAAAGCCGGAATACAAAGTCACAGAAGAACATGAAAAAGTAACTGTGAAGAAAGAAGTAGAAGAAAAAGTTACAATCAAGAGGCGCAAAGATGAAAAGAAAAAGAAAGAAGAAATATCTGAAGAAGTAACAATTCCAAAGAAGCCCGAAGAAAAAGTTCCCGGACAGCCAGAACCTGCAGAATTCAAAGTAGATTTGCCAAAGAAGCCATCAACAGAACCCAAAGAGGTTCCAACCGAAGAAGACACATTGAAAATTACTATTCCAGAAGAAAAGAAGAAAGAATTAACGGAGGAGAGTGCAGAGATTACTGTCAAAAAAGTAGTTAAGGAGGAGGCTGAAGAGAAAGTTTCAATTAAAAGGCGTAAAGATGAGAAGAAAAAGAAAGAAGAAGTATCTGAAAAGATCACTATCGTCAAAAAACCAGAAGAAAAAGCTCCTGAAGAAAAAGCGCCTGAAGAAGCTGCGGAATTTAAAGTAGGTTCACCGAAAAAGCCAATGAAAGAAACAAAAGAAGCTCCAATAGTGGAAGAGACTTTGAAGATTACCATACCGGAAGAAAAACCAAAGGAAATAACAGAGGAAAGTGCTGAAATCACAGTTAAAAAAGTAGTTACGGAAGAAGCCGAGGAGAAAGTTTCCATAAAGAGACGTAAAGACGAAAAGAAGAAGAAAGAAGAAATATCTGAAAAGATTACTATAGTTAAAAAGCCTGAAGAAAAAGTTCCTGAGGAAGAAACTCCAGAAGAAACAGCAGAATTTAAAGTAGGTTTGCCAAAAAAGCCCTCAAAAAAACCAGATGAAACTCCAGTCGAAGAAGAGACTTTGAAGATTACCATACCAGAAGTAAAACCAAAGGAAGTAACAGAGGAAAGGGCTGAGATTACAGTTAAAAAAGTAGTTACGGAAGAGGCCGAGGAGAAAGTTTCCATAAAGAGACGTAAAGACGAAAAGAAGAAGAAAGAAGAAATATCTGAAAAGATTACTATAATTAAAAAGCCTGAAGAAAAAGTTCCTGAGGAAGAAACTCCAGAAGAAACTGCAGAATTTAAAGTAGGTTTGCCAAAAAAGCCTTCAAAAAAACCAGAAGAAACTCCAGTCGAAGAAGAGACTTTGAAGATTACCATACCGGAAGAAAAACCAAAGGAAGTAACAGAGGAAAGTGTTGAGATTACAGTTAAAAAAGTAGTTACGGAAGAGGCCGAGGAGAAAGTTTCCATAAAGAGACGTAAAGACGAAAAGAAGAAGAAAGAAGAAATATCTGAAAAGATTACTATAGTTAAAAAGCCTGAAGAAAAGGTTCCTGAGGAAGAAATTCCAGAAGAAACTGCAGAATTTAAAGTAGGTTTGCCAAAAAAGCTTTTAAAAAAACCAGAAGAAACTCCAGTCGAAGAAGAGACTTTGAAGATTACCATACCGGAAGAAAAACCAAAGGAAGTAACAGAGGAAAGTGCTGAGATTACAATTAAAAAAGTAGTTACGGAAGAGGCTGAAGAGAAGGTTTCCATAAAGAGACGTAAAGACGAAAGGAAGAAGAAAGAAGAAGTATCTGAAAAGATTACTATTGCCAAAAAGCCTGAAGAAAAGGTTCCTGAGGAAGAAGCTCCAGAAGAAACTGCAGAATTTAAGGTAGGTTTGCCGAAAAAGCCATCGAAAAAACCGAAAGAAGTGCCGACACAAGAAGATTCTTTCAAACTCACCATACCTGAAGAAAGAAAACCTGAGGTGACAGAAGAAATTGCAGAAATAACAGTTAAGAAACCAGCTCCCGAAAAGACAGAAGTGGAAGAACGAATCTCTATTCGCAAACCTAAAAAGAAAGCTAAATCTGAAGAAGAAGAAATAAAAGAATCTTTTACCGTCGCACGCAGAAAATCAGAACAGGAAATTAAGACTGAAGATGTAGAGGAGACCTTCGAAATCAAGGCTGCTCCAAAGAAGAAGCCAAAGAAGCCACAGGTAGTTTCCGACGAAGAAGAGTCACTTAGCATTTCCCTACCATCCGAGAAACCAGAATTCAAGACTGAGGAAGTTTCTGGTGAGTGAGAGCTTTTTTCTTTAAATTTTTTTAAAAAATAATTTATGAGTCGAAGCAGTCTAAAATTAGAGACAAAGTTGAAACTATCTTAAATTTTGATGCTTTTCTTTTTTCTTTTTCTTTTTGGTCTGAAAATATTTTTAGTATTTCATGGAACCTTTGAAGGATCCGTAGGTAAAAAATTGGTTTAAAATTTAATCGTTATTCGGCGGTATTCTTAATAAAATGACTTCGGTACATTTCTTTTCATGATTCCATCTTTCTCAGGAACTAAACCTTGAAAACTCTTTTTATTGCTGAATATGGGGAATCTTCAATTCACTCTATTGAAATAAATGAAATATCCTAACTCCAAATTAGAGTAACATTTTGTTTTAGGTTGGTCTCATCCTTGTCGCTTTGCGCGTTATCTATTTTGAACTAGAAATGCAGATGAAATCAAAATCTTTCAAATAATTCATGAACAGGTGATCGCGAATGAGGGAACAAGCTTAAATAAATATGGAACATATTGCAAACAAGAAATAGTTAAATGAATTTTAAAATTATTATTTAATACAAAGAAGCCATCAACAGAAAGTATTTTTGCAAAATTTTAATAAAATTTATTGAATTAAAATTATTTCTTTCATAATTTCTCACTTAATTTATTAAAAAATGTAATTTCGGAATCTGTAAGTCCTGAACTATGAATTAAAAAAATACAAAGTCTCATGCAAGTTTCAAGCCAAATTTATCATAAAATTACTATTGTAAAACATTTAACAACTATGGTAATCCTGCTTCAAAACTGAATGTAACAGGTACTTTTCAAATCATGCTTGATTCATTGTTATTTTTAATTACTCTAAGAAGATATTTAAGCTTATTAATAAAGCATAACAAACATCATACGTTTTTCAGAAGAGACCAAAGTTACTCTACGGAAGCCATCAAAGACAGAAGGTGAGTCTTTCATTAAATATTCATTTATTTAAAATTGCTTTCATTTAAATTTACTAAGCCATTAAAATAATAAAAGATACTGTGGATCTTAAGATCTTTTTTTTTTTTTTTTTTTTTTTTAAATAACTTTGGGTTAGCTTTTGTGAAACCATTAACACATCGCGCTGTTAGAGTCCGTGCGATACATAAAAATGTTTACTATTAAATTAATTACGAGTTTAAGCATAAGCTTTAAATTTGCTTTATGTTGATTAACCCCTTTTCTATGAAACGGAAAATTAAGTTTATCAGGTTCAGTGTTTCTTCTAACCTTCTTCGGAAACATACAATGACCTGACTAGAACAGAGAGCTTACTAAAGCTATGTTCACTAATTGTAGTAAGTAGACAGGATACAGACGAAGGGTATACAAAACCCTTTATTTTTTCTTTATATACAATGACTTCCGTACTTCGGAATACAATGACCCTCCACTCGGGGTCTAACTTAAAAGATATCAAAATAAAACTAAAACTCTAATTTAACTTTAGAATAAGATTGGCCTTATAATAACAGAAGCGTATGTAGCACAGAGACTGTGAACACTACAATACGTTTAATTTATCAAGAGGATTAAAACCTCTGGCCTGGAAGGCAAAGTAGCAACTGCGTAACTTCTAAGGTAAGCGGCCTGCTTCGAACTCACGGCTTCCTCCCTTCTGCTTGGCAAAAAGGCCACACTTAAATACTTGGCGTTCGCCAGACAACTTTGCATAAACTCCTTCACGCTTATAATTCTGGCCGGAAGTAGAAAATAAGAAGTGATAGTAAAGATTTAAAATAAAATAAACGTTAGTAAAACTTAAGATCCTTACATACTTCCCGCCAGAGTTAATTAGTTTGAAACTGAGGTCTAAAACGACCTTGTTGAAAACTTTTAGCTCTAGAAACTAACGCGAGGCCAAACTTTTACAAACATAACTTAGCTAGAAACTAGAAAATTTTAAAAGAAAGAAATTTGTTACAATAGCAGCTCCCGGAATATACAACAATCTTTTTTCTTTTTCATCTGTACTGCATCAAAACAGGAGCTTTATTCAATTCTGGTTCCTTCCAGAGATCTGGAAGGAAAACTAGTTTAATGAAATGTTACAGAATGACATTGCAAATAACATGTAGAATATACTTTTCTTAACATTCTTATTTCATTCATGACTATTTTAATTATCTCTCTCCCCGTGCTCTCTGACATGTGTTGTAAAAACACCAAACACGAATGTGTTTCTGTCTATGTGTCAACACTTCCTCCTACAATCAAAACACTAACGTGTTAAAATTCAACATACGAGACCTCTTAACACACCCTAATTTCAACTCTAGACCCTGAGGTACTATTCTGAAAGTGGCTAACTCTAAAGTGTAGCGTCAGAGAGCCTAACTACATCATTCAACCTTTAACACATATTCACCATGATTTAATCTTTACAGTCACACGAATAACAAATTTTTAACATTACTTTCACTTTTACCATATCACGGTATTTCTAAACATTCAAATAACAGTTCACATGTATACAGAAACATATCAAGATGCCGTTAATTTTACACATTTGAAAACATACATTAGTAGTACATTGTTAACTTCTATTCTTTTCAAAGCAAGTGCCAATTCTTTCTACATTGAAATAATACTACATTTCAAAAAGTCTTTCAGACTAAAACTTCTTTCTTGTTAGAATGTTTTTTAAATAAAATTTATACAATAACTTTTTACAATATTTAAGTCTTTACACAACGCTATTATACATCAACTTTAGTTTTACGCGCGAGTAATTGAAAAACATAATAAGAAAATCGGTCACAACTCATTTCTCGCCCTTTTGGCGATAAAGGTAGACCTCGCATGAGGTAAAACTTCTTGAAATCTGCCACTTGCAGTAAGAATGAAAGATTAACTTAAGTTTGTAAAGTAACATAAAATTTTACTTATCTTTGTAATATTCAGACATCCTTTTTCTGGGCCCAGTCTTTAAAGGTGCTGCAGACCGTAGCTTGGTTGATCCTCCTTCTTGTACGGGCTCGCCCTTCAGTGCTTTCCTCTGGAAGCTTCCGTTTTTCACCACTACGGCCACCCTTGAACATCTTCCTTCTGTCCTCTGCTTGTGGTCTTGGCCGTTTGAAGGCAGCTGGTCTTGGTGGAACCGGGAAACTTCTGTCGTGATCCTGCTTGGGATCGTCGTGTTGGCCGTTCAAATTTTTCTTGTTTTCTTGTACTTTTCCTCCGCCGCTGATGGCCCTTCCGCAGTTCGGCGACTTTTGCTGCGGAGAGTTCTGTCGGATGAGTCAATCTTCCGTTTCACAGCCGGGTTATAGTTGCCGTCCTTTCTCCCGGTCTTTTCCACATACGTCGTCCCTTCTCCCTTCATTCTGGGGGTGTTCGTGAACTCTGTTTTTTGGACGGTGGAACGGCTTCTTTTTCTTTGTACCTTCAATTTTTCCGCGGGGCAATTTTTCTTTCACTTGCTTCTGTCTCTCATTGGCTTGCCCTTGTACTTGTCGTTTTCCCACCTCTGGAACTTGTACCTGCGGTGTCTGCCGTACCGGATCCTGCAAAAGATCTGAAAAGATTTGCATTTTATTACGGTCATAGAATGGTTTTTATCTGATCAATGTTTGCGGAACAGGTTTCATTTCACCATTTCTTGCCTTTAAAACACTACAACAGCGTGAGTTATTTTTTCTATAACATATGGTCCTTCAAAGCGTGGAAAAAATTTGGCAGTTTTATCTTCTGGTGCTGAAGAAAGTGAATGCTTAATTTTTAGTACTTCATCCCCTACTTTATAAGTTACTCCCCCATCGTTTCAAGTCATAATACAATTTTTGTTTTCTTTGTGCTACTTACTTCCGTATTCTTTTTTTGCTTCTTTTATTAGTTTTTTTCTATATCACCCATTTTAAATTCTGGGGCTCTTTGTTGCACATAAAATAGTTTATCTAACGGTGTTATAACCTTTCTGCCTAGAAATAACTCAGCAGGAGTTTTTTGCCCGTTGTATCATGTTTTGCGGTCCTAAGGGCGAAAGCAAATTCATTGACATAGTTATCCCAGCTTTTATGAAAATTTTTAACATAACTACGGATAATTTTTCACTATATTTCTGTTGACCCGTTCCGCTATATTTGATTGCGGCCGATACGGGACCATTTTTTAAATGACGTATGCCCAGTTTTTTGGCACATGTCTTCAAATATATTACTTACAAATTGAGGACCATTATCCGATATAACTTTTAGGGGCGCCCCGTATTTTAAAATATATTTATTTAAAATAGAATCGGTAACTAATTTCGCGGAGGCTCGTTTTAAGGGAACAATTTCGGTCCATTTACTAAAATGATCAACTATAACAAGGAGATAGCGACTTTTGTTTAACTGACTTTTTGGGAAAGGGCCCAATAAATCGATGCCGATTATTTCATTTGGAAATTCGGATTTAATACTATTTAGAAACCCGGCCGGGCGGAAATTAATATAATTAACGGCTTGACATGTTGGGCAGGACTGGACATACGCCCTTGTTAACTTTTGCAGTTCAGGAAAGTAGACTGCCCTCGCGTACGCGTTGAGTAGTTTTTCGAATACCAGCATGAGAAGCTAAAGGGCTGTCATGGAGCTCTTGCAGGATATTTAATCTAAGACTAGCTGGGATAACAGGTCGAAATTCGTTGTTGGAATTCGTAGTTTTTGTATAAAATAATAGACCATCTATTAGTTCGTAATGGGGGGGCCGCCCTATTTCTTATCGCCACAATATCTTGGTGGCTAAAATTTTCAGGATCCTTCAAATACTCATAAATACTTCCAAACTCAGGATCCTTACCCAGTTCGGTTATTACAGTTTTCTCGGGAATTTATTGTACACGCTGTCAGCATTGCAACTTTTACGGTATTACCCTGTTCGTCTAATTTAATTCGTGACAGGGCATCTGCTACGATATTTTCCTTTCCGGGGGTATGCTTGATTACCAGATTATATTCTTGCAGCTTGAGTGCCCATCTTATTAACCTTGGGGATAAATTTTTTCCAGAGTACAATCTAGTTACCGCCGCATGATCAGAATATACTGTTATCGGCGCCTTTCCAAAATAGACTCGGAACTTTTGCACTGCTAACAGAACTGCAAGTGCCTCTCTCTCGGTCGCGGAATAGTTTCTTTTGTGTTTGATTTAAAGTTCGGCTAAAAAATGCCACTGGCTGCTGATTTTGCGAAAGTACCGCTCCTACCGCATAATCCGAAGCATCCGCTGAAATTTCTAAATTTTTCATCCTTTTCAGGAAATTTCAAACACAGGGGCTTGCGTTAATGCTTGTTTTAATTTTTCGAAAGCACTATTGGCTTCGGCCGTCCACGAGAATCTTGCCGTTTTTTCCTTTTTAATTTAAACAATGGCTCAGCGATAGCCGCAAAATCTTTTATAAAGGACCTATAATATGAACAAAGTCCTAGAAAAGAAGAGAGCTTCTTTGCCGTGTTTTGGAGTCGGATACTTTTGTACAGCGATTATTTTTGATTCATCTGTCTCGATCCCTTTTTGCGATATTTTGTAACCTAAATATTTTAATTCAGGGGCTGCAAATTTGCATTTTTCGACATTAACTTTTAGACCGGCCTCATTTAATAAAGAAAACACCTGTCTTAAATCCTGTACATGTTGGTCTAGATTATCACTAGTAATAATGATATCGTCTAAATAGATAAATGTGGACTTTCCGAGAACAGGTCTTAACACAATGTCCATGCATCGCTGAAATGTTGCTGGGGCGCCTGAAAGGCCAAACGGCATTCGCAAAAATAAGTGCCAGACTTGGTTATAAAAGCAGTCTTAGGCACGTCCTCAGGCCTGATCCCTATTTGAAAATAACCATTCGTTAAGTCTAAAGTTGTCATAAATTTGGTTGATTTTATGTTCCTTAAAATTTCTTCTATAATCGGTAACGGATATACCGGATATTTCGTTATGGAATTTAATTTACGGTAATCAATAGCGAATCTCCACCTTTTTGGATGCTCCAAAGGATAATCATTATTTTTCTTACATAAAACCACCGGACTAGCATAACTACTTGAGATAGGCGTTACGATCTTTTTACGTAGCATATCGGTAATATGCCATTCTATAATAATTTTTCCTTATTCTTATCATACCGGTATGGTTTTTTGACGAACCGGCAATGCATCTCCGGTGTCAATACTATGGTTAGTAACCTGGGTAAATCCTGGAATATCACTAAATAAGGAAGCAAATTCACTTACCACTTGTCGGATTCTATCTTGCTCGTCATTAGGCAGGTGGTCGAGATTTAACCTTGGCGGTTCAACCTTTTCTACACGCACTGGTTTCATCGTCAGCTTAAGAGACGCTTCATTAAAATCCAGTGTAGCTTGTGCGTCTGAAAGAAAGTCTATTCCTAGTATTAAGTGTGCTTGCAAATTCTTTACTATAAAAAAACATCACCTTTACTTGTTCGTCCTTGATACGGATGTACAAAGGTACTTTACCTACGCACTTACATTGTTTCTCCTTGCGGCCGCTAATACTGTTGTATTATCCGCATTATATATGCGGTATTTGCGAAAATACTTTCTAAAAAAGACTTCTGCCACACAGGAACACTGCGCGCCGGTATCCAGGAGTGCGGTGGCCGGGATATTATTTACCAAGACTTCAATCTTCGGAAGAGTTAAATTTTTCACCATTACTGTATTTAACTTGTAGGAAGAGGGATTTTCGTGGCCTTCGGATTTCCGCACCCTCTCGTCAGCAGAAATCCGTTTTAGTTTAAATTATTTTTCCTTTCGGTGCTTTCCTTCTTTCTCCACTGGCCTTGAGACTTTTTTTTCCTGGGTTGCTATTGAACTGTCGACGTTCGCCGGCTGTTTTTGAATGCTCGGGTTTCCTTGCCCACTGATTCGCTTTTTCTCCGTAGCCATGTGCTTGAGTTTTGCTGTAGTCTTGGCGTACCAAATTGGTTTCGCTGTTGATATTTGCGTCTTCTTTCGACGTCCGCCGTTCTTCTACTTTCAAACTGGATTGCTAGCTCAAATAATTTTTCCAGTGTAGTCGGATTTCTCAATTCAATAAAGTCTTGCACTTGGGGTAGTAACCTCGGCAAAATCACTTGAATTATTTCAGGATCCGGACGGTTTCCATACAAGAGCTTGAAAACGTGAATTTTTCTTAAAATAAAACTCGAGTTTTTTTCCATTCTTTGTTGATATATACTGAAAAGTTCTGTTTCTAATTTCGCACGATCCCTTACAAACAGGGAAGGCTTTTAGTAGGGGCAGTCTTGAAATTTTCGTAGGTATAGGTGGGACTTCCTGCTTGACCCAAGAGACTTCTGCCGATACATTTGAACCAGTTAAGCGCTTGGGCCCCTCAAAGCGCTGGTAGGTAAGGTAACTTTTTGAAACTCGTGCACGGGGTAGAGCATGAAGTGGTCATCCAATTTTTCCAAAAAACTGGTTACCTGTGAGTTTCCATTAAACGTTGCTTCTGGTTTCATCGAAGCGCGCATGGTCTGGACAATATACCCAAATCCTTCCAGGGCGGCAGCTGGCATTTCTGGATTCTGAGCTGTTTCTGCAGGCAGCACAGGTTCTTCTTGAAACTCGGCCATGGTTATTCTTCGTCGGGCGCCACTATCAGGTTCAATGTTTCTTCTAACCTTCTTCGGAAACATACAATGACCTGACTAGAACAGAGAGCTTACTAAAGCTATGTTCACTAATTGTAGTAAGTAGACAGGATACAGACGAAGGGTATACAAAACCCTTTATTTTTTCTTTATATACAATGACTTCCGTACTTCGGAATACAATGACCCTCCACTCGGGGTCTAACTTAAAAGATATCAAAATAAAACTAAAACTCTAATTTAACTTTAGAATAAGATTGGCCTTATAATAACAGAAAGCGTATGTAGCACAGAGACTGTGAACACTACAATACGTTTAATTTATCAAGAGGATTAAAACCTCTGGCCTGGAAGGCAAAGTAGCAACTGCGTAACTTCTAAGGTAAGCGGCCTGCTTCGAACTCACGGCTTCCTCCCTTCTGCTTGGCAAAAAGGCCACACTTAAATACTTGGCGTTCGCCAGACAACTTTGCATAAACTCCTTCACGCTTATAATTCTGGCCGGAAGTAGAAAAATAAGAAGTGATAGTAAAGATTTAAAATAAAATAAACGTTAGTAAAACTTAAGATCCTTACAAGTTTCACTGAAATTCTAATTTTAAGTCCCATTTTAAATCTACATTTCCCATCCACTCTTTAAAAATAAAGTTTTAAGGGCTTGAAATATAAAAGAATTTAACTTTTATTGTATACTTAAAGACTAACGCCTCATGCATGAAAAGATTAATTAAATTTGCATAAAACAGACTTAGGAGCTGTGCACAGTAAATATTATTAAAACATTTTAGGGTTCCTCACTCAAAATAAAATAAATACTAAACTATAGCGACTAAAAGAATTAGTTGAAGCTAAACAAGTATCTAACGTAGTTGGCCTTGAGTTTAAACTAGCCGGCAAATATCAAAGACACGTAACAATACGGCCGAGCTTAACAGCTTCAAGAGAGACTTAGCCCGAAGGCAAACATGCATTGCTCAGGATTCCTAGCTCTCTCTAACGAAGCTTTGATCGTTTGGTTGCATATTCTGGTTTACAGCTGGAATTAATTCCGCTGTTGTCAAAGATTATCACGGAATCCCACGGGGGGACTCACACATAAGGGGTTCATCGAATTATTCCACCATAAAGGTACAACCTTAAGCTATAACTCTCTTTAATGAAGTAAGTTGAACCTTCCTTAAATACTACGTCTAAATAATTTGGATTAAAATAACTATTAAATTAAAATATGTCTTACAAATCTATTAAGTTTATTTTAATTTTCTCTAGTTTTTCACAAAATCATTTTTTACTAAAGATTCATTCAGTAAGTCGCTATTCTTGTTTAATGACTGCGTTAAAATTTATGAAGTAATTTAACATAAAAGGAATTCTACAGTTTTTTTTTTTTTATATATATCTGTGCATGATAATTGCATTCCCAGAAGATTAATGTACAATTTTTTTTTTCTTTTGCAGCTGAGGAAATTTTGGAAATTTTGGTAAGAGAATATTGCAATTTCTTTTTACAATTTTTCCCCTTTTACATAATGCAAGAAATGGCTAATTTTTAATATTTCTATTTGTGACTGTTATGCTTTATATATTTGGCAAGAAAGGGCTAAAATATTTATTGGACTGTTAATATTAAATTTTAAATTAGGCTAATATAAACAATTATTCACATATGAAGTACACTTTTCTGCTTACCTTCTAGAGCAGCATAAGATTTCAAACTTTTAAATAATTTTGCATAAATTAACATCGAATTAAATAAACTTTCATTTTAATTATATTTAATTTATAACTTTTTTGTATTAAACAGTGCCAAATTCAGAAATAATTCACAATAATAATTAATGAAATCCTTATTTGAAAGGACTTCTCATGTTCGTAGATTATTTACATTTGACTTACAAGTTACTAGCATATGGAATTGGCTAGCCACCGCTTGAATTTTATTAAAATATCCAATTGTTTAAAATAGTTTAAATTTTCTGTTCTCATTTAGTATAATTTAACATGCCTCGTAAGTCCAGTATAATGAGGATTGCTTAACATATTTCCTTTAAACGATAATCTCCTTACATAAAAACGGGTATACTTCACAGAAAGGGCTGCGTCAGCGGCCGGCAAGTTAAAGTTTGTTGAATACTGGTAATTCGTCGTGGGTTCGAGCTTAGGTGAACAGGTTGGACTCATTATTGTTTTTCGTGGATTTTTCTTTTGTTTTGTTTTGCGTGTGTGTGTATGTATATTGAAACATTGTACATATGTATTTGTTTCCCTTACACATTCCTTCCGCGAAGACATCTCACTTCTTCGGCAGAATTTATTCGCATGAAAAAAGGGTCATAAATTAATTTAAAAGCGTACGTGGACTATATGAGTACATGGAACATTAAATAATACCTGTTGTAAATTATTCTAGTTTCATAAAATGCTAAATGAATATGTTTCATTTTATCGAACTGTTGGATGATGTTTTAAATACATGTCAAGATTTAGGTCATCTTTAAATTGACACTTTTTTAATATTTATGAATATATAGTATATTATCTACTGCAGATGTTATATTCTGCCGTTAAAACGTATTTACGTTTTGTTTCGGCAGCGAGATTCTTTCATTATCCATAACTGAGATGCTTATGTTTGTTTGAATGAATTCTTCTAAAGTTTTATAATCTGTCAGCTTTATGAACTTTTGCTCTTTTTTCAAAATTTGTGTTACTAATATAATTATGTTCCTATGCTAGAAATTAATTGTTTTACGATCGTATTAATAGTATTGAAGTCTACTAATAATGCTGAACTTCTTATCGTTCTATACTTAGTTTTCATAAAACGGTCACAATTACCGAAAGGTAATACTAATATCATACGAAAAAGTTGTTATAATTCATTATTAAGGTGTCCGCACATGTTTGGAACTCTTCAGAACATAATGTGCAAATATCTTAATCGCATTTTAAGCTTTAGTTTACATAAACATTAAAGGTACACTGTCAACATTTGAAATAAATCATTATTATTTTATAAAAATATTAATTAAGTATCAAACATTTTTCAAAACTTTCAAAAATGTAAAATGCGAAACATTGAAACATACACTGGTGTGCAAAAGTTAAGGACGAAGTCGAAAAATTAGCATATCAGCTGAACGAAGAGGCAGAGCGGACAGAAAGACCAATCAGGAGATTAAGTAAGGTGATGTACGGTAGCACATGCGCAGATATGCAGGTAGACGTAATGGGGGAGTGTCTGAGTAGTATAAAGCATGTTTTCGGTGTAAGATCAGTATTTCTGGCAAAGAGATTTCACGCTGTATAGCAGTTAAAATCACACCGAGTTGCTGCCTCAGCGAGAAATGGCGAATAATCATCTGTTAGACGACATCTGGATGCTTTTACCCGAGGCCGAATCATTGGGAAGTTGGAGGAAGGCCGCAGTGTGACAAGTGTGGCTGCAGTTCGGAATTGCTCACAGCATCGTTCACACGACTTTGAGACAATTTCAAACTACAGAAACAGCTATCCGGGGGTTTAGTAGTGGTCGTCCACGAGGAACCACACCCGCAGATGACCGGTATATTGCCTTACAGGCCAGAAGAAACAGGTGGCAGACAGCGGGAGAAATCGCTAGACACACGACACAGGCGACTGGACGATCGATATCCGATATCGCGTTGTACCGTGACCAGAAGACTGCACGGTGGTGGTCTGTTTGCACGACGCCCTGTACGGTGCAAACAGACGCCTGCCCATCTAACGCCTGCCCATCGGAGAAGGCGTTCTCTGTGGTGCCGGGAACACCGGAATTGGAGAGACAATGAATGGGGACGAGTACTCTTTACAGATGAGAGCAGATTCAGTCTGAGTAGCGATTCTCATCGCATACTCATCTGGAGAGAGCGGGGAAGCCGCAATCTTTTCTCGAACATCATTGAAAGGGACAGGTATGGGGTGGCGGTGTTCTTCGTTGGGGAGGCATCATGCTTGGTAGTCGTACAGACCTTCACATCTTCGACGCAGGTTCAGTCAACGGGACCCATTATTGTAACGAGATTCTTCTTCCATATGTGCGTCTTTTTAGAGGCGCTATGGGTCCGCAGTTCCTTTTCATGGACGACAATGCACCATGTCATCGCACAGTAACTGCCGAACAGCTCTTAGAGAGTGAGGATATTGAACGTATGGATTGGCCGGCAAGATCTCTGGATCTCAATCCCATCGAGCATGTATGGGATTTTCTAGGCAGACGCTTGGCAGCTCGTACCTTACCACCAGTAACGATTCCGGAGCTTCGATTGGCGCTGCAAGACGAATGAGCAGCAATGCCTCAACAACTCATTGACACCCTCATTCTCAGCATGGGCAGACGCTGTGAAACCTACCTAGCAGTCAGGGGAGATCATATCCCCTGTTAAAGACCGGATGTTTCTTGCTGGAAACCCATCACAGGGATGTTTCGGCCTTCAGTCTCATTGCGCCCCATGCTACTTTGTAGGGTTTATATTTAGTTTAACTAACATTTATTTTAAGTTTAAACTATCTTTCCTGTCAAGCCTTACTTTCCCCTGGAATTGCCAATGCCAGAGTATGTAAATTTTAGTAGAACGCGCAAGGATTCAAATTATCAATGGAAGTATTCTGAGTTAAATAGAAAGGAAACGAGTTCGAAAGGGTGCTTTCTTGCTTCACGAGTGTGGAGGTGGCTAGTTAGAAATTGAAGAACCACGCGTTTCGGCCTGTGTGCTTGCCTCGGCAAATTGTTAATCTTTCAACGTAATATTCAGAGTTTGCTGAATTATCAGCGGTATTTTAGAACGCGGTGAGGTCAGTCACGTTTAGAGAGCCTCGTAGTTAGTCACTTGTTATTATCTCTTTTTAGATTTTTATTTTTATTTTACCACCGGGTCGGCGTAGTTTGTGAGCGTCAAGAGCACGCATTTGTAATTTCTAAAGTTGAATAAAAAGGGATTTAAACCCTTCTCAAGACTTTGGTCTATTTCCAGCTCTCAGCAGTCACCACTTTATTGCGTGCAGGTTGGAAGCGCGCAACTTTACAACTTTTTCAATAAAGCTTCCTTTTATCCCTCTGATTTCTCTTTTAGTAAGTGTTGCTTACATTACTCATGTCCTTACGTATTGGGGATCTTACGGTATTAAATGTGTTGATTTGGAAAGCTTTTGTACAAAGTTATATTGAAAAGACCGTCTCGTCCTTAATTTTTGCACACAAGTGTTGTTTGACAGGCAGTAGCAATACAATAAACTACACGCTTTCTTCTGGCGCTTGTACTATTGCTTAATATATTATAATTAATAAACATTTTAGAGATTGCTGAAGAATAATCACAAAAATTTCGGGCATATTTACCTTGTTATAATTCAAAACGAATGCCATTATTAGAAAAGTTCTCACGTATTCTAATTTCTTTTGGTATATGCACTGAAAAATAATATAAAAACAAAGCATGCAAAATTTCTTAAAAATTGGGTCATAGAATCTTGGGTTATCATTGTAAGTACCTAAAAACTGGCTTTGAGGAAAGATATATGTTATTTTCTTCCTTCGGTACGTTCGTTACGGGTTTTTGTGGATTTGGAGTGAATTACGACGACACTACTTGATGCAGTATCGAAACACACTTTATTGCCGGTATTAATCAGGACAGCTCCAAAATCACGTTTTACAGTCGTCAAAGATCTACTATAAACGCGCTGGAACAATCAGCGACACAGCCTTCACACTGTCAGGCAATAACGGTGGAGACAGCTTCACTGCAAAGCACCAGAGTACAGTTCGGTCGTTCTCGGAACTCCACGTACTCTCGAGACTCTCCACGCTACAATTCGCGATGCACTCGACGACACACAGATCACAGCTCCTGACTCTTCGGGTTCAGTCGTTCCCGGAGCTTAAAACACTCTCTCGACGATGCACTAACCGCGACTCTTCGATGTTAGTGCATCGTCACTAAAAGACTCTTCGATGCACTCGACGACCCACTCGGCGCCTAGACTTCGAGACACTCGCTCAATGACTGACTATCAGCTCGCTAGACGAAGCACACTAACTGACTGCGGACCAGCAGGTTTATATAGCTTTCGGCTTGTGTTCGAGTGTTGGACTAAATCGGTAAGAATTCGTTCAAAAAGGTTCTCCATCCGTCCATGGCATATCGCCAATTTTCTCGCCAAATGTGGCAACACTGCCTTCCCTTGTCATTTTATGGCAACCCTAAACTTGCTTTGCGGGGAAGCTACCTTACCGCACCGTGACATTTCGTAACAATATTTTAATTTTAAATTGCTACATTTATGTTAAAAATTATATTAGCTTCTATAAAGCTGTCCATATTCATATGTTAAACCCTCCGCGTGATCATATTTAATCAATCAATTTTTTTCCCTGAAATTATTATCTCTAATGAAGGACACCAGAATTCGCTAATTCGTTCCTCTTCCAGCTCCGGATTCTTCTTTCATTGTATAAGCGCCAGAATAAGCGTGGATACCTTTAAGAAAGCCTAATAACTCTTTAAATTTTTTTGAATTGTAGGACAGCCGTTATGCTCATCAGTATAAATATTAATTCATTGTTCAGGGTCTGGAACTTTCATAGAATATCATTGTATCTCTTCATTGCATTTAGTATTCTCTTGTAGAAATATTTCAGTAATAAATTTAAATAACACAATTCCTTATATATATGTTTAATTGCGATCATCACGTTTTTACCTCTTTTGGCTTCATTCCTAAATTTTGTGTTGTTGCAGAAACTTTTTGAAGTTGGCAATAGCTGTCGAGGCTGATGGATTTTAAGCAAACAGATTCCCATCCTTTAAAAGCTCGCTTTCTGAGATTTGAATGTTCACATCTAGATCTCTTTTTTCATAAAATCTTCAGTACCTTCTTTTCTTTCTATCAATCCAGAAGTGAAAACAAACTTGTTTCGTTAAGCTAACCGTATGCTTTAAATGTAATAATACAATAAAACTGGGATGTTTAACCAAAATTGGTTATTTCAGTATGTGAAGGTTATCTTAAAATCATTTTGTCATAAACACGTGATGTCACAGCTAATATTAGAATGCCAACTTCTGTAATGATGTATATATATATATTGTTGCGTTCTTTTTTCTTTTCTGACACCAGTTGTTACGTTATTTTCTTCCTTCACGTTCGTGCGGGGTTTGTAGATTTGGAGTGAATAACGACGACACTTGATGAAGTATCGAAACACACTTTATTAGCCAGTATTGTCAGGACAGCTCCAAAACACGTTTTACAGTCGTCGATGAACTACTATAAACACGCTGACACAATCAGCGACACAGCTTTCAGGTTATCAGGCTATCACGGTGGCGACAGCTTCCTGCAAAGCACCCGACTCTGCTTTCCGGAGTACAGCTCCCGACTCTGCTTGGTCGTTCTTGGAACTCCACGTACTCTCGAGACTGTTCACGCTACAACTCGCGATGCACTCGAAGACACACGAGCACAGCTCCCAACTCTTCGGTTCAGTCGTTCCCGGAGCTCAACACGCTCTCTCGACGATGCACTAACCGCGATACACTAACAGACTCCTTCGGTGCACTCGACGACCCACTCGGCACTTGCTGCCCGGCTGTCAACTCGATCGACTCAGGGATTGACTCGCTAGATGAGACACCAACTCGATACTGACTATCTCGCACTCTAGACGAGGCACTCTCACTCGCCCTCTCGACGAGGCACACTCACTCGCCCTCTCGACGAGGCACACTCTGACAGTGGACCAGCAGGGTTTATATAGCTTTCGGCTTGTGTTCGAGAACATTCTGGTCTAAACCGGTAAGAATTCGTTCCAGAAGGTTCTTCATCCGTTCATGGCATATCGCCAATTTTGTCGCCAATTGGGCTATTTCTCGCCAAATGTGGAAACACTGCCTTCCCTTGCCATTTTATGGCAACCCTAAAACTGCTTTGTGGGGAAGCTATCTCACCGCTCCTGTACATTTTGTAACAGTATATATATATATATTTAAATATATATATTGTGTTGATTCGATGATTGGCAATATTCCTAAATACTTCATTAATGCGAGAATAACATTAATTATCATCCTAGTGTATTATCCAAATACTACGTGAGAAACCTGAGAGATACTTCATGTTTGTCTTGTAAATTATCAGCCAAATATTGTCGAAGTACTGAAGTTAATAATGCATGTGAAAAACCAAATGCTGTTTTACCTTAGATAAAATGTTGATTTTTTATTACTAAGTACGTACATTGATATTAAACAAGTTATGCATATTTTCTGTAACAGGAAACAACAGAATATGTGGCTATATCTTCATTTGTTTCGGAGAAAGCGGATTCGATCAGCCTTGTAGAAGGGGAGCGCGTCCATGTCATTGAAAAAACTAGTCAGGAATGGTGGTTCGTCCGTAAAGTGGTCACGAATGAGAAAGGTTTCGTGCCCCCTGATGTACTCCAAGATTCGGATACCTACACTCACTACATGAAGGACACACTAAGCAAGAAAATAGAGAAATTACCTGTCCTACGAAGTGAGTGTTTCAAAAACCTAATTAGATTATTCGACGTTGGAGTTAATCTTCATTCTGTGATAAAATAACATATGGCTATAAAATTTTCTGCTTTGGAAATCAATAAACTCCCTTGTTTAATTATCCCGAGCCGAATTCTGAATTATTTTTTGTCTTTCAGAACCTAAACCGGGTGAAAAATTAACAGCTCCAAAATTTGTGAAGAAATTAACTCCTTTGAATGTGCTTGATGGACAGACGGCTGAAATGTCTTGCCAAGTGAGTGGAAATCCCAGGCCTACAATAACTTGGTTCAAGCAGACACAGATCATTAAGCCGTCTATGGAATTCCAGGTTAGTATATTTGTTTTGTATTTTACAAAGCTGACAAAATATCAGCCAGAAATAATTTTTAGTTTAATAAATAACACAAAAAAATTTTTAAAACGCTCAAAAAATCATCTTAGTGAAATTGTTTTAGCGCCCTACCTGGGTTCAACGTCACACTGGAGCTCGAAAGAAAATTTTCATCTTTCAATTTATTATCCACACTGATCTTTTCCATTAATCGGCTTCGAGTCGCCTTAGTTCAATAACCTGTGAAATTAATGTTATGTTATATGTAACTGAAGTAACATATTCTTTAATTTATTAACAGTTTTGTTCTTTTATTTCATGTGAATGCTAATTTAATGTTCTGTTACTAATGAAAATTCTAAAATCAAAGGAATGAATTTGATTGGTAAGGAATGTTAAGTGTATTTTTAAGATTTAAAAGCATCAAGCATATAACTTACATTAATAATGCTTTTAAATAAACTGCTAACTGATTTAAACTGCTCAGTGCGAAGATTTATATCTGCTAAACGATTGTATATTATTATCTGAAAATCTGTCTGTGCAGAAAATTCCTGTGCTTCAAACGCATCCAGGCCATCACTGTTAAAACATATCTGCGTTTAAAAATGCTTTTCACTAAGTAGAAGATGAGACAACTTTCTAATAAAATAAATAACTAATGGTCGTAAATGTTAAGCTTTTGAAATTTTCTTAGACTAAAATTTGTTACTAAATTCTCAGGTTATAGTAATGATTTTACGTTCACTGCTGTGTTCATCAGTGTTTTTTTTAATGGGTTTGGATATTTACGCTTTAGTGTTACAAATTTCTAAAAAATGACATTTTTACAGATCTTTTACGATGAAGATAATGTGACAACTCTTATTATTCGAGAAATTTTCCCCGAAGACGCTGGTACATATACAGTGGTTGCCAAGAACGCTGCAGGATTTGCATCTTGTTCGGCAGAACTCATTGTTGAAGGTATTTATCCTTGTTTTTATCCTAATGGTAATAACAGTGCATGATTGCATAAACTGTATGCTATTCCACCTACGCCAAATGTACTCTAGATCAGGGGTGCTCAACCGGTAGTATGCGTACCACCAGTGGTACGCAAGAGAAAACTAGGTGATGCGCAAAGAAGCAAAGTATTTTTAGCTATTAAATTCAAAAATTAAAACCCCAACATTCTGATTGACTTTTTTCTCTCACACTCATAAATTTATGCGATGTGAGCTTTGTTCAAGGGTGCTGGTGGCAGTAGTACTTTGTAGTGGTGGTACTAAAGGTTTTCAATTTTTATTTAGATGGTACGCATTAGTCAAAAGAACCGCTGCTCTGGATCATTATTTAAAATTTTGACATGCGCTTTATCAGTTATGAGAATCCAAGCTAGTATGTATCTGCTATATCTGGTATGTAGAATGTCAAGCCATAGAATTTAAGCTGAAAATATTTATGAAGGTAATCAAATTTGAATTAATTCTTCGGATATTGTATTCCAATAAATTTCCATCCTACAGGCGAATTCAAAATTCTGATATTCACTAAATGTTTTATGAAAGTTTTCAGAAAATTATATGTTTGACTAATTTTTATGATGGTACAAATTTACTAAATTTTCTCTCTTCAAGAATTAAGTGTTTTAATTTTAACACGACTCAAGCTTTTTTATGATTTTGTCGCATTTTAATTTGTTTTTGGATTGCTATTTCATTAGTAAGTATGAAAATTATAGCCGCTTATTTCCTGATATGACTGGATACTGTGATTAGGTTTTGATTAGGAAATATTTTTATGGTTCAGTGATATAAATGCTAATGGCTGATCATCATTTCAGGAATTATGTTAGTGTATTATCAGTCGTACAACCATGCTTGCATTTGGTAGCTATCAAAACAGAATTAAGTGTGGCAAAGATTTAACTACGAAAGCAAGATTTTAAGATAGTATTTTTTCAGCATAATATATGTAATGAATATTTTGTTAAACAGATATAACTGTCGGAGCTTCTTTGCAAGTTGTCGATGAGGAATTCATGCTCAGAATAGTTGTTTTTTTTTTTTTTTTTTTTTTTTTAACGTTTCAAAGAATCAAAATTTTGTAGTTAACATATCCTGGAAGTCAATCTTCGAATTTATGTTCATGTATGGCAGGTTCGATTTTAATTTAAACTTGTAGATCTTAATTTCTATATGTGGAATTTAGCCCGAAATTCATTCATGTCTGGATTTATTTCAGCTCCACTGTCTGACCATGGTAGTGACCTTTTCCCATCCTCTCGCCTTAGTCTATCTAGGCAGTCATCGCTCACAGACATCCTGGAAGGCGTACCTCCGGTATTTTCTGAGAAACCAAAGGACAAAAAGGTAGAAGAAGGAAAACCAGTTGAACTTGTTTGCAAAGTTACCGGAATTCCTGAACCAAAGGTATAACTGAAATATTCTTTTTAAATCCATCAGAATATAAGATTTAAGTCTACTTGTTCTTGTTGTTTAAGAACATATTTATATTAATTTAGAAGTAAAACAACAAAAATCAGCGTTATATTTTCAAATTTTCACAGGACTAGTTTCGATAGTTTCACCGAACCATCATCCTCAGCTGCACAGTTTAATTTGCAGCTGAAGATAATGGTTCGGTAAAACTAGTCATGTGAAAATTTGAAAATATAACGCTGATTTTTGTTGTCTGACTTCTGAATTAGTATTTGTTCGGCAAGTTATTGTATCTTAATTATTGAACATATTTATAGTTTAGAATTTATTTTTTATATTTATTCTTGCATTATTTTAAAATGCAATTTGTGAAATAATAAAATTAATTGAATTAAATGATCTTGAAACAAGAAATTAGCACATAGTCTGTCCATTGTGTAATTGCTTATCCTGAGAAAAGTTTTACTGGCATCACGGAAAGTCGCCACTCAAGAATTTTGCTATCAGTCAAAGGAAAGTAGACAAGTATCATTAAATACCGCATAATGCCCATTATATTATACTTTTCGAATAATTGAATTTAAATTTTTTAACATTTAAATAATTGCAATACAGGACATTAACCTTTGAATATAAAAGCTGTTGAATTTAGTTGTACGAATTTGCCTTTTATTAATTGTAACTTGTGACTAATCCTCAACAAGACTTTAAGCTTTTTACAACAAGACCTTTTTTTTTTTTTTTTTTTTTTTTTTTTTTTACTTATCGCTATGTCTAAAGATGAAAACGTAAACGTAAGAAGAGTGTATGAGACTCTTTTATTTAAAACTAAGTAAGTTAAACAGAAGGCACATCCTGTGCTTACAAATAAGCCAGCATTTATAGCACGAACTCAAAGTAGAAAATTAATTGCAAAACGCAGCAATATTGCTGTCTACGCAGAATAACTTAACCGCGGAAGTTGACTCTTAAGTTTACACAAGCGTGAAAGGACTATCGGCAAGAATAAAGCAATGCCGAAGACAGGATCTCTTATCTTAGAATAGCAAACTAGTAGCGTGACCTTCAACAGGCAGAACACGCTCTCAACAGGCAAACTCAAACCCTCAATTAAATACAAGCGAGCTAATTTGCATTCTTGCAGCAAAACGTAAAGAGAGAAATGATAGTACAGATTTTTTAACATAACTGGTTAAGTAAATTAAAATAAACTTTACATAGTAAATACAACACACATTAAGACATAAATGTTTCTATATACGTATGTTAAGAAAATTATTTTTTAAATGTTATAATATATATTATATTCATGTAAGTTATAAAAATGAATTAACGAATTTATTAGAATTGTTTCTTAGAAAATGCATAAGTAAATAAGTAAGTTTAATTACTTATTCTTCCAGTACTACAATATCCATACAGCATAGTATTTTATCATCTTTCTCAGGTTATTATTAATGGAAAATACATTGAATTCTATATTATGAGAACCAGAAATTATGCCAACATGAAGCTAGCATACTTGGAGGCAATTAAAATTTCTAATTCTTGATCTGTATGTAAATGTTAACAACACCAAGAAAATCTTGGATAAAATCCACATTTTTAATTTAATTTAATTTATTACTTTTTATGATAAGTTAACTTTTTTCTTATATGATGAGAGTTGTTCACTAGTACAGGGAGATTTAACTCTTAAGCTGTTACAACTCCCTACTTATTCTCTAATACTAAGACATACCCGAAGATTGAAAAGAAAGGTAGGTACTAAAAACGCTGCATTTTTTTAAATTTCAGATTACCTGGCTGCGTAATCAGAAGCCTTTGAAAGAATCAGACCGCATCACAGTCACGACAGTGACAGAAGATCTGGACATCACGAAAGTAACAGTGACAATTAAGCAGTCCAAAATAGAAGATGCCGGCACTTATGAAATTATAGCTGAAAACAGAGAAGGAAAATCTGTTACTTCCCTTATCTTGAACGTCACTGGTAAGCGTTTACTCTAACGAATAATCATGCCTTACAATTTGTGTTTAAAGGGAAAAGACTTGAAACTGTAAAAATGGCTCGAATAAACGTATATAATACCTTTAACTTGCTCAAAGTATAAATATTATAATAAATATTCCTTATTACATTCAAGTGTTTTTTTTCCTCAGAAAAACCGAAGCCGAAGGAAGAACCTCCATCCTTTACGCAGACATATACAGACCAAACTTGCACGGAGAAAGATACCGTTTGTCTGACTGTAAAAATCCAGGGTAATCCTCCACCTGAAGTGACTTGGTATAAGTAAGTTGAACAATTTTTCTTCGAAATCAATACGTTTGTAACCGTTGGTAAATTTTTTTAAAAGTAAATTGTATTTAAAAACAAGAATTTTTGGTCCATTGCCTAAATTCTTAGGTCTGGGACGGAGTATCAGTCAGTTTGACATTGGCTAAGAGAAACTGTCATTTTTACTCGTACTTTTTAAGGAAAAAAACTTTGTCCTATTTCCTAAACAGAAACTGCAATATATACCTTTTAAGGAAAAAAAAAAAAAACTTTGTCATCTTGCCTAACTACGTATAACTATTAAATTTTTTCCTTTAATTGTGTCACATTAGCTAGCTTCTTATGCCAGTCCCATTAAACGAAAAGGTTTTTCCATGACGCTATGAGCTCCATTAATCCATTAATTGAATCCATTAATGATAAAAAGTCTATGTATTTTTAATAACTTCTGATTGCCGTTTTAGACGCAGTCGAAACAATACCATATTACATTTTTCACTTTTTTGTATTTATTTTCATAGTCAGTATAACACATATTTTTCTGTCTGTTATTTTCGCTTCTCTCGTTTACAATTTTTTCAAGGTTTCATTTTATCACAGTCCGTAAGCGAACGTTAGCAGAAAATTGCAGCAGAGGCTTCTGGTACCAATGAGGAGGGAAGAACTTTTGTATAATTTAATTGTATAATTTAATTTTGTATAATTTAATTGTGCTTTCTGGAAATCGGATTAGTTTTTGCAACTTAATTTCCTCGAATTCTAGTAGCTGCTTTTGATAGCTGAGATTCTTATAGTCAATACATCTGTAATATTTTGTTAAATTTTTACAGAGATGGAAAGCCGTTGAAGCCCTCAAAGAACGTTGAACAGACGACCAACAAAGATGTTCATACACTCACCGTTAAAGACACAAAGACGCCGGATACAGGAGAATATAAATGTGTCGCCAAAAACAAGAAAGGAACTGTGGAGCATGTAGCCAAAGTAACAGTTCAAAGTAAGCTACTACATTTGATTGCTTTATGAAATAGTTCATATTCTAAATGTGTGAAATCATATAAAATATATATTATAAGTGTGTAAATATAAATGAAAAAGTTTATTATATTTTATAAACCGTTTTTTATATGGATACAGTACAGCTTTAATTAGACTAAATTTGCTCTCATTTTGTAATTTTTAACTGTTCGAGGACTTCTTATTCTAAATGATTTCGAGGGTAACTATTATTTTTTACCTTTGTTAAACAACTCTGAGTTTTTATATAACAGCTATGTTTGTATTTTTAGAAACGGGTGTAGATTTCGTAGAGAAGCTTTACGATGTTGAAGTAAAAGAAAGTGAATCTGCTCTCTTCGTTACCAAAGTTTCTCATCCTGATGCACAAGTAAGTTATTTTTAACGAAGTTATATGCTTCTAGCACTGAAGCAAAGTTTTAGTTCTGTTCAATAATCCATCATATCTAAAGCAATGAGGAATTAGAAACATGCATCCCCCTTTTCGACTTCGAACGAGAATACCGTTCTCTCTTTATATCTTTTGTTCCTAGACTCATAATGTTTTCTACTTAGTTTATTTTTACCAATACTAAGACTTTATAGCAAACTTTTAATTTGCACCAAAAGAAGGTTTTAACTCTTGACTTATTCTTAATTTTATCATCTCATAAATGATTTATTTTACAAGCCGTGATGGTTTTGTACATTTTTGGAGCCTGTAAACACGGAAAGCATACCTCTCAGTATGCTTTCCGTGTTTTTAAAAAAAATGATAGTTCTCAATTCAAGTACCCAACTCTCAGCATCTCTAGAGTAGAAGAATGAAAATCTGACAATGCATATTTGTAATCAAATTATTTCTGTACCTGTACTTTAGTTTTGTGGATAATCGTAGCCTTAGAATTAATGCCAAACCGTCATGTTACGTATAGACTTTCTATGTCGTTATTTTAAATAATTTTTTTTATTCTACTACTATTATACATCATCCCAAATCATTATTTGATTCTGTTGGACTCTGCCATACATGTTTATCCCAAACTGCAACAACGCTTGGTTATTTGTCTCCAAGCGATGCATGATTCTGCCTCTGCTGCAGGTTATCTTATATAGCTTACAAATGTGACTTGTGAGCAAGCATCTACAAATAACATGGTTTTTCTTAAACAGAAGGAGATAAATGGAGAAACTTCCCTAAAATAAAGGATCCCTATAACACTGTTTTTTATGTCCTAAAAAGGAAAATTAACATTGTGAAAAACCTTAAATTTGAATCATTCATCTTTTAGAAATTTGAATCATTCATGCACCGCAAGTCACATTTAAAAGAGCTGTTGTTTTAGTCTGTATAGTGGTGATGAAGAAAACTGAGGAAGATTATTTAACATATGTAGTGTGTGTTATCATTGTTCATTTTTAGCAAACATATTTGTCATACCTGCCATATTTATGAATGCAAAATAACATATTCATGATATTTTCTAGAACCCAGTTCTATTTTTGTGCTATTTTTTAGTTCATTATATTACTATGTAACATGAGACAGGAGGAATTCAGGAAATCTAAACTTACTTTCCAGCTGTACTGTTACTTAGGTATTCTAGATTACATCCGGTCTTATTAGCTAGAAAACTTAAGCATTATCCGTCTAGTTAAATGAAAGGAAAATTTTCAATTCTTTAGGCCAAAAACGCTTTTAATTTTTCTGTTTATTTTACGTTTGTAAATGATTGTACCATTTTGTTTTGATTTACCTAACGTAAATTGGATTGGATTATATTACATTATTTTTAAATTTCTTTAAACTTAGGTCACTTGGCATAAGGATGGAGAGCAGCTGAAACCTACTAACAGATTGAAGTTTGTTGAAGATGGCTGCGTAAGGAAGTTAATCATAGAAGACGCGAATGTTAACGACGAGGGCGAATACACCTGCGTACTCGGAGAAAAAGAATGCACAGCCGAGCTGATTGTTGTTGGTGAGCTTTTTTTTTTAATCTGAACTTTTCTGACAAAAATATTCAAAACTTCATGAACAATATTCGAGGAAAGAAGCTACTAAAACCTCAAAAGCAATAAGTTAAGTTTTCTAATCAATGCGATGAAAGCATTTTGGAAGCTGAGCATTGCATATGATCAGCTCAGGTGTGCAATTGTAAGCAATCTTTATGTGTTAGCACTTACTGAAGACTACATTTTCCATCGATAGTATTTACATTTCCTAATATCCTACATACTTGTTCAACTAGAAGAAACTTCTGACATTTTCAGTTGCTAAATGTAAGTAATATTGCGGAATATGAAGATAAATACCCTTCAACAAAGGCATATATATAATTAAACGTTTTAATCGCTTGTTATATAGAATCCAAGAAGGTTGTATTCCATCTTCCCTTACCCCAAACTTTCGAATGCATTTTCAAATTTTCGTATTTAAATGCTCGCATTCTGCGATCACAGTAGAGCCCCGGGATGTGAACCCCAGCTCATTATCACGTGCAGGTAGCCTCCGCTAATCGCTGTGCCTTCTAAAGTGGCTTTATGCTACGGAATTTTAATACATTTAAGTATAAACTACTTAAATGCTGAAAAAAGATTCTTCTACAGCATATGTATTATGCATGCTATTTACAATTTCGCATGCTTATTCCTTAAATCATTATCAATGCTTATTTAATTGATATCTTAATGTGCCTTTTATTTAATATGTGACTATTTGTTCTGCAGAGCTTCCTCCTGACTTCAAAGGTGATATGAAGGATGTTACTGTGGCAAATAAACAGAGTGCTGCATTCCAAGTAGAACTGACTAAAGGCGACGCTAGAGCTCGCTGGTTTAAAGATAGTAAGGAAATAGGATTATTTTTATATGTTCTACAAACACACAACAAAAACCAAATTGAAATTTCTGATGCATTATATCATGTTTTATTTGCTGAATTAAATAATTACAATTTCTAAAATAAGAAACTTTATGTAGGAAATATATGAAAAGAAGTTCATTGTCTTCTTATGTCGGAAATATATGAAAAAAGTTCATTGTCTTCTAGTTACTTCCTTGTACGTTTGCAATCGGTCGCACCAAACGTATATACTAAATATACTGTTATATATATACACTCTGTTACCCGGCTCAGTGATCTCAGTTTCTTTGCTCTGATATGTTTGTAAATTGTGCATTTTTTGCTTTAAAAATGATTGAATTATGTTGTTCTTATTTTCCGGTTAAGGTTTTTATGCCTTTAGTAAATCTGCAAGCATATTTGTAGGGAATTATCAACAATTTTAACCTAATTTTTTAATAACATGGTGGACATTTTGTTTACACTTGAAACAGCAGATATAAGATTGTTGCCAATCTAGAGAGACTAAGCTTCGCACCAACAAAGATAACGCCTTCATTTATTATTGCGAATTAAATCATGCTTAATCCTTTCTGGGATTTTTTTCGAGGAAATAAGTGTTTAAGATTTATTTCGTAATTTTTAATATAGAAATTTCGAGTTTTCATATATGTTTGCTTTCTCGCGATGTGAGAACTGAATTAATTGAATGAGAAATACTGAATCGTCTGTGAAAAACTGTTTCTTTTTTGTTTTGTTTGCTTAATTTCTTTTATACATCGTTCTAGATTTATTATTGTATTTGAATAGAACATGTGGCAACGATTAAATAATTCTTCAAATGATATAAATTTTGTGCATTCTGAGTTATAATCTGAACGAAATATAACGCTGTTAAGTGAACCTAGCGCCAGAGTGTCGCTGTGGTAACCAAATATACTGATTTTTAAAGAGTGCATTTATTCTATTGTGGTTTATACGCTATCGACAAAGATTTTATTCAATACAATAAGTTTAAAGGAAATGCAATAAAAATGCGTATAATTTAATATTCCGTACAAGCAAATCATGTGGTGTACACATCAGATTTTTTATACTTTTGCTAACTTTCAAAGAATTTTCTTTTTGATATTACGCATATGCAATGGCTAATGATCAGTGACAAATTTATTAATAATACTGACATCATAAGCTAAAAATGCATGTGTTGTGGCTGATTGAATGCTGTACAGAGAATACAGAATTAAACTCACAAAAAAGCTTCCAATTACAGATGATGACACCAACGATTATAAAGAATTTCTTATGTGAGACATTTTCTGGAAAGCCAATGACAGCTCAGAGAACTTCTTAATTACCAAATTACATTTTACTGAAATATATTTCTTTTTGGCCTATTTAAAAAATGTTACCTATTCGATCAAGATGAATGTTACCTATTCGATCAATGTTAAGATAATAAGATCAATGTTACCTATAATCAATGTTAATAAATCAATGTTACCTATAATCAATGTTAATAATAAGATCAATGTTACCTATTCGATCAAGATGATGCTTGGCTGAGCAGTGTTTAATTGGAATTTCAACTACTAAAATCCCCCGGGCTTTCCTAACCATACAGAGAAGCAGTGTTTTATATTTTGTTTGAAAACTGGGATTTTTTAAACCTTCAGTTTTTTCTTATTTTTATTCATAAACTTTTCAGATAAGGAGATAGAATTCAGTGAACATGTCATGCTTAAAATAGATGGCAAACGCCAAAAATTGATCATCTACAGTGCCACTTTTGAAGATGCGGGAACTTACACTTGTGTGGTTGGAAATAAGAAGAAGAGTGCAAAATTACCGAAACGGATTCTTAGCTTACGCTGTGTCTGTAAATACATAAATAATGCTTTAATTTAGACTGAGTTCAACTTCTGTCAACCTGTTTGTAATGCTATCAACGATATGAAACGAAATTCGTCGAGGCAATAATAAAAACTGTCAGTTTTCTTTCATATGATAGTATAAGTTAAGAATATTTTAATATATATTTTCCGAGGCATAATTTTATTATTTTATATATTATTTATTCAAAAGTACTATATATTGTTACTTTAGTTCTCTGAGTACTCGGGTTCTATTATCAGAGTTTATACTATTTCTTCTTTTTTTAGCTTTATCGTGATTAATATATCAAATATAAAATTTTACTTATATATTTTTCAAAATGTTTCAGATTAATAAATTATAGTTGTATTCGTTTTTTAAATCGCAATATAAATATTATAATTAACGGTATTATTATATTGTAGAAAATTTGAAAATTTCTAGGAAAATTAAATTTTTATGTACTAAGTACATTAATAGAAAGAAGGAGGAAGGTTCCAAATTTCTGCTAATTTAGGTCCAATAAAAGATGCGAGTAAATGACAACATAATTTTCTTTCTGAGTAATCATGAAAATAAAGTAAATGAAGTTCATAAATATTCCTAAATTCATAAATATGCTATGCAAAAATTGTTGTTAAACTCTTTAAAATTATTTTCAGTAGCATAAAAAATCAGTGGAATATATAAATCAGATCTCTAATAAAATACGAATTAAACAACAGAAACATTTTTCACAGGAAATTATTTGACTGTACTAATTATTATCCACACTAAATATGTGAATGGATTAAAATGTAGAAAGCAATATTTTTTCATTTAATAAAAAATAAATTCTGTTATAAAATTAGGAACAGTAATTCAAGTAAACATTTTCTCTTAAAAGGCTTGGCTGAGCAGTGTTTAATTGAAATTTCAACTACTAAAATCCCCCGGGCTTTCCTAACCATACAGAGAAGCAGTGTTTTATATTTTGTCTGAAAACTGGGATTTTTTAAACCCTTCAGTTTTCTTATTTTTTATTCATAAACTTTTCAGATAAGGAGATAGAATTCAGTGAACATGTCATGCTTAAAATAGATGGCAAACGCCAAAAATTGATCATCTACAGTGCCACTTTTGAAGATGCGGGAACTTACACTTGTGTGGTTGGAAATAAGAAGAAGAGTGCAAAATTAAAAGTTGAAGGTGAGGCTTTTACATTTTTTTGTTCTTGACTAAACTCGTATTTCTTTACATTCGTTTCAGTTAAAATTTTACTACTTTCAATATATAGAACACTTTACTTACTATACACTTATTTTATATATAGAACAATTTTATTTATTATACACTTATTTTACATAGAGAACACATTATATATTTTAAAGTATTTATGTATTTAGCACCAACGGTTGAGTTCACAGCCAAACTGCCAGAAAAGATGGTTGTTCCTCAAGACACGGACGTCAGTTTTACTGTTGAGTTGTCTCGTCCTGATGTTCCGGTGCAATGGTTAAAGAATGGTGAACCTGTACCAGAAAAGGATAAATTCCAGTTCATTAAGGAAAGAAATGTCTATAAAATGATCATGCCGAGAGCACAGAAAGATGACGCAGCTGAATACAGTTGTATTGCCGGGAATGTGAAAACAACCACCAAATTACAAGTTCAAGGTACGCTACTTTTGAAAAGAACGTTCGATAAAAAGCAAAATTACGATACAAATACGATATTTTTTATATAATAAATTGTTTGTTTGAAATGGAATTATTTTTTACTTAATTGGTTGTGATGTCACTTTATATGGTTTAGATCAACAAAAAGCAGAAAAAAGTGAATGTAAAATAGTGTAACCTATTTTTGTTTGAAGACTTGCAGAATAATTTTGTACATATAAAAACAATAACAAAAACAAAAAAAACTAATGATATGTATTCAACTAAAATGTATACTTTAGAGTTGTTAAATTAATGAAGATAATTAAAGTGAAATCTTGAAATATCCTATTTATAATTATTTTAGAGGCCCATGCCGAATTCACACTGAAACTTCGTGATGTTATTGTTCGTGAAAGTGATACTGCTACTCTTCTTGTGGAAGTGACGCGAGAAACCTTTGAAGTAAGGTGGATGAAGGATGGTCAAACATTGAAACCAACGGAGAGAGTCGTTATGGAAAAGGAAGGCTGCAGACGGCGACTGATAATCAAAGACACAACCTTAGAAGATAGGGGCATGTATACCTGTGTACTCGAAGAAAAAACATGTTCATCTACTCTCACAGTTGAAGGTAGGTTTATCATTCAAACAAAGATAAACTACTTTCATTATACGTATCTATAAAGAATTTTTTCCAAATTTTTAATTTTTTCTGCTAATGAAATGTAAAAGTATGCTTTCAAATGAGTCCAGCATTTCGGTACCTTAATATCAAGGTCCAAAAACTGGATGGTCACCAAATACTGAATTCTGAAGTCCAAATGTAACAGTATTTTCACTTTGTGGTGTGATCTTATTCCAAGACTAGTGGTCCGAAGCATCTGGAATACACATTCTTATTGTCTTTTTAGCCTCCTTTCATCGAAGTGTATAATTTAAATTACAGCATCAGCTGAATTTTCACGTTGTAAACAAGAGGATTCATCGTCCTTAGACCTTTTTAACATTTGTTACAAGGAATTTATTGGATACACTATGAATGCTGTTTCACATGAATGTGAAATTGTTTTGAGTGTGAAACTTACATATTATTTATTTCTCTTTTAGCGGCCCCCCGTGTCGTTTCTGAGAAACGGCATTTCAAAGGTAAACGGGGAGGAAATGTCATAGTGGATGTCGAATTCGCAGGAATGCCACAACCTAAAATTGAGTGGTTCTACAAGGACAAGAGTATTACTCCCGACAAAAAGCGTTCCGTGGAAAATTATGGCAACAAAACGGTTCTTACTATCAAAAAATTGGAGGATCCAGACGTTGGAAACTACGTTCTCAAGTTGACGAACAAAGTAGATGAATGTAAAACAGAATTCACAGTTTCTATCATCGGTAAGAATTGCCAAGAGTCTAAAGGCATATAAATAATTCTTAAAGGAAATAAGTGATAAAATTTTAACAGTATCAAAACATAAGTAAATAATAACATTAAGATTAATAATGTAAAATAATTGCTGTTATAAACAACATGAAGGTTATTAAATATTAGATGATAATAAATTGTAGAAATATTATAAAGAAACTATTTTATTCATTAATCAACAAAAAAAAAAAATACTGTTAAACTTACAGATATGAGAGTTAAATTTCTGTCTGAGTATACTTTAAAATATATATTAAAATCTTTTCCTTTTACTCGTATAAGATTATACCAATTAATCATCGAATTACATAGCTTGCCTTATCTTTCTTCTATTGTTTAGATTACACATATCTAAATATTGTTATATTTGCTTATCAAGGAAATCCTATTGATATAGTTTGTTTTTGTTACTTTTAGATAAACCGAAACCTCCTGGCATGCCTAATGCATCTGAGATCGCATCTAATTCCTTGACACTGAGTTGGAAAGTACCAGAGAGTGACGGAGGATCTCCGATTATAAATTACATAATCGAATATCATGACAGAAATACTCTTCGATGGTCCACTTATAATGAGAAATTTACAATCGAACAACCCTTTACCAAAGGTAATCTTAATTAAACTCTAATTTACACTGTCTCTTAATAATTTCAGTAATTCCGCTGATAATGGTAAAGGCACAGTAAATGCTTTTCTTAAAGTATGAACTCAATTTTATAGTCAGCTCTCATTAGCTTGATCTAGAGATCACTGTCCAGAACTTTCCATCATCTAACTAAAAAGTTTGCTAAATAATAATCTTTTGGGCATCTTGCATCGCTTGGGCCATATAGAAACCTGAGTTGTTTTCTAGAGTATAAAAACCTGCTCTATGTCGATACTTAGATACATTATCAGTTTGGCCAACCACATTACATACAAGTTACTGTTAGTTTCATATTACACTCAAAATAATTATTTACGCATCCGCTTTTCAATGGATAGTTCGTCTGAGCAAGTACACCAAAAAGTAATTGCTGTTAGCAGAATACTGCTTGTTATTTAGCAGAATACTACTTAAAATGATAGAAACAGGAGATAAACATATTACCAAAGTATAAGTTTTCTTTTTTTATTACATTTTGGGTTAAAATAAGTTAAATTTCAGCATTACTAAATTACGTTCCGATAAAAATATTTATTTAATATTTTACTTTTATATTTGTTACTTGTATTTATTAAGGTATAAGGTATTAAATTGAGTAAGATCTAATGATAAAGTAAAATTTCTATTAAATATACATATTTGAGTACATGCACTAACTGTTTTTCGAGAAATTTCTCTCTTTTCATTTAAAAAATTGTCTGAAAAAAATTTTAGATATGTACATAAATCTAAAATTCAATTCAAAATATTTCATACTTCTACGAAGCATAACATCGGTACATATTTCGTGGAAAGTCTCACAAAATTATTATATTAATATTTTAAGTTAAGGTATTTTTTCGTAACCGAAAAGTTGAAAAAAAAATCAAGTTTTTCAATAAATAAGTTTAATGTCATACGAACACAAACAGATGGAAAAGAAAAGGTTGCCAATGTATGAAAATTAAATTGCAAAACTAATTGTTCCCCATCTTTTGAACATCGTTAAAAGTATTCAAATAAAAAATTCTCATTTTAAATTTATTTAAAGTAGTCTGTGTACCTTTAAACATCAGCTTCCAGGTTAAACAGAAACAAGGGGGCATGACACAGAACAAGAATTGCGATAATTCTGCTTCTAACGACCGGACAAACAAAATAAAAATAGTTTTAGGAAGCTTAATGTAAAAGCGCCTAAAACAAAGTAATTGATTTTTTAAAATTTCATCAAGATTGTTGGTTAGAATATAATCGGATACCTTAAACGAAAAAAAAAAAGGTATTGTTAATATAAACAAAGAGCAAATATATAACGTTTTACAAAAAAATACTAAAAAGCATCTGAAAAGAGGCTTAAAAATGTCACTTCAGCGTACTTGGAATTAAACTTGATTTTTAACAAAAGTAGAATTTGATTTTCTTTTAATTTATTTGTTGTTTTTTATGCATGTGTATTATTTATGTATTATATTATTTGTGTATATGTATTTTTTATCTATTATTTTATTTCTATATTTTGTACGTTCAAAATATTTACTTCGTATGGAAAAAATCTTTCTTAGTGGACAACCTGAAGCAAGGCGAAGAATACATGTTCCGGGTAATTGCAGTGAACGAAGTTGGTAAAAGTGATCCTTCACCTGGCACGAAATACATTCTTGTACAAGAACTCAAAGGTATGGAAATAACGCTGTATATTAATTATCATCGTATTTCGTACTCTAGCATGAGGTGAATCTACTTAACTATACATGAAAATGTAGTTTAGATAAAATTTAAATGAAAATATTAATATTGAAAGTATTTAAAATGTTAATTAGAACTCAAAATATCGATTTTCAGATGAAAATTAAGTGTTTTTGTATAATTATTCAGATCATTTGAACTATTTCTCATTACTTCAAATGAACAACTTGGATGCTGAGCAGCAAATATGTAAAATTTATTAGAATGCTAATATTCTCCTGATAGCTTGCAGTTAGTTAGCTCTCTTGGTAAAAGTCGAAATAAATTTGTTTAAGCGAATTAAAAACTAGAATGTGGCAATATCGTTAAACTTGTTGTTAAGTGTAAAATAAAGTAACATTCCATCGTATTCTATGATTTATAATATATTTTTGTAAGGGTGTAGTTGCTTAATAATTTATTTTTAATTAGCTGGAGAGCCACCTGCAATTATAGAGCATTTGCAACCTACTACTTGTGGCCTGAAGAAACCGGCACAGATGAGCTGCAGAATCAGTGGGCAACCACCACCTACCATCAAATGGTAAATAACATTTGATATTGTTTCTCGAAATTTCTTCTTACAAAGTAAAATATGGATATCCATTAAGGTTGAAAATCAAGTCCAGCAATTATGAATGATGTATGATAAGTGTTCAATAAGTTCAAAGCCTGAAAATGTTTTTTAAAGAACTTCTGCCAATTATTTTTCTACCTCTGTGTCATGAATAACAGTATATTTAGTTTATATCTTAAAACTTTTCTCTGATTTCTGTAGAGATAGTTTTGTCACGTCGTTCAAAATAACCTTCCTTCACCGCTTTATCATTTTAATTAGGTATCCTTACAAGTGCTTTGGTAGATTCAAAATCTTATCCAGGTCACAAAATGTTCATAAAACCCTTTTCTCTGGCATTCAGCTTGGCAGAAATTTTATGGAGAAGACTTTATACTAATCCTTAGTTTTGCTGCAGTCATATGACTGTATTCATATCTTTGACTTTTAATGTCATCTTCCATAGAATATTCAACAATTTAAACAAGTTAATCCACCTCTGAACGGTCGCCATATGAAGAAAAAGTTTATTTCGTAAATATTTTTTCCTTTAATGGATATTAGCCCTAAAACATCATTTGCCCTTATGAAAAGTTTTAAAACAGCGTAATGTTCGATATCTTTTCTCTTAGATATTCTTTGTCTTACATAAAGTGTTACAAAATTAAAGAATTCAGATAGTTGCGTGACCGGTGCTCTAATAGAGAACAATGATAGAATATTCACGCAAACGTCTCAATCGTACCTGATGGTTTAATATTTAAGATTAAAACTTAATGAACGTCCTTTGTGCAATTAAGATTTCATTTATAATTAAAATATTGTTAATAGATGTTGCATGTTAACAGGATGTTATGAATTTGTTTCAAAACATATTTCTTTTCCTTTAAGGCTGAAGAATGGTAAAGAACTTATCATACTTAAAAATATAACAACAAAGTACGAAAATCAATTGGCTACCTTAAAAATAGCAGAAACTACAGAGAAGTCGGCTGGTACTTACACATGCAAAGCCACAAACCATTTGGGTGCGGTGGAAACTAGTAGTGAGCTTAAAATCCAAGGTACGTATTCATTTTCTTCACTTACAATATGCATTACGTTCACACACCAAAAAGAGAGACAGAGAAAAATTTTTGGAGCATATGGACTTTTAAAGAAAAAATAATTTATTTTGTTTGTAATTTATAAACTTGAAAGCCAGTTTTCTAACTACTCAGAAATTAATACGTGATATCATCGAACTATGTAAGCTTTCGCTCTTCTTATGATTGCAAGCGCTATATTAATCCTGGGATATCTTTGCAATTATGGACTGTCCATCAATTATTCATGCAAGTGCTTGATCAAGCATTAACACGTTAAGTGTCATAGCAAAGGCAAGTAAAATATTCTGTTGAGACATTTTCTTGTTCCAATTATCCCCAAAATCAGTTCAGTACTTAGTCTGAGTATACTTTTGAGAATATTTAATAAATAAAAAGATAAATAATAATAAATAGGTAAATAATAAATAGATTACAATTTAATGCATAGGAAAGCAACACATGAGTTCATTGCCTTGATCGTAAAAGTTAATAAAATTAGACAAATAGCATGTTACAAAAAATATAGTAAAACAGCATATATAACCAAAAATAAATAACTTAGTAACTATATAAACATCTTAAAATGTGTCACTAGTCTCGTACAAACTGTACACTTTCAAGCAGTTTTATCTCTGGATTATTCAGACTTTCAGAGACTTAATAGCTGTAAAAAGAATTTGATTTACTGCTAACCTTGAAAAAGAATATTGTACTGCAATGGATACCTACACATTGTGATATATTATATGGAAATAAGATGGCTGATTGTCTTGCAAAGAAAGGCACAGGTATTCTGTAATCCACACAAAAAGGGATCCATACTTGTTAATAAAAAGAATAATAAAAAATATTTTGAATAACTACCAGACAAAATTATCTGAACTTATTTCTAATAAAACTTGGAAAGAGGCTTTTGAAGGCATTCCTGATTTTCCAAAACGGCATGATGTTACTGCCTTCAGGCAATGAATGCTTTGCTGGTTACCTGCACAGATTCGGAATACTGTCCACCCTAAACTGTATCTTATGGAGCAATGACCACGTGATGGACGTTGAACATCTCAGAAGATGCCCAGTTGTCTCAGGAAATATTTACGATAGATATTGGAAGGCTAGAAAACAGATGCACACCTTACAGACTGACTTTTGTTATAGATATGTTTATTTGTTTACAGTTAACCTTCTGATGTTTCTACTTCCTTTTTAAATGTTTTTGGTTAGGTGTTTCTCCTGTGTGTTTGCGCTAAGTGTTTTCACTCTGGCTAATGATGGATAGCAAGTGTTGAGACTGTAATTAACTTCGGCCAGAAATTAAAAAAAAATCTTCTTTAATCACAACTTCGTTGTATTACTTCCATATAAATAATAATCATTTAGAAGTTACTACAGCGAACCGTATATTAAAATCCTATAACAAATTAATGCCGCCCAGACGCTGTAGTGGATAGTGGTTAGGGGAGGTAAAGCACTGAGTTGGCTTCCGACCCAGGTATAGATATATTCATGCAGAATTGGTTACCAACTCGGCGGGAGTCAACCACTAGCTACCAGGCCGCAGCCCTGGGCAACCCCGGCTGAGCAGACGACCTTTATAAAATGCAAAAAAGAAATATACATGTGAATACAAGGCACTTGAAGAAGAGTACAACATTGTACAAAGAAATATATACATGTGCATACAAGGCACTTGAAGAAGAGTACAATCAAAATATTTGTGTATACATATAAATACCAACTCAGATGCAGATATATACACACTTACATGCATATATATTCCGAAACAAATAAAAGTATGCATACTCTCACTCATATTGATATATACATCTGTAACATATACGTTATCATGATAGTTAGTTTATCAGAAGCATGCCAATGAGGTACGCGTGATCCCTAGTATAAATTAGGTACCATAAATAAAAGATATAAACATGTACAGATACATTACAGCATTCAGATACAGTATGAACTTTATATATGAGAACCTGGCACAGCATAAATACAAAATTACATATTGAACATACATATCACATACTCTGCTTGAACTAGCTTATATAGCTGGCATATTGAACTAGCTTATATGGACTTTTATGTCTACTGTCTTACAGCGTCAAAAGAGTAATTGCTAGTACAGTAGTCAATTATTGTTTTCTGTTACTTTGTAGATTCTGGAACCAATTTAGGCTCCTGGTTGCTTGAGGCTTTTAAGTGCTGTGTGTGGGCAGGAGAACACAAAATGATCTGGATGACCCTTCTCCCCACATTCACAGTTACCATTCTCTCTCAAGCCAAAGCGGCAGAGGTATAGGTATGAAGGGAAGGGCCCATGACCAGTGAGGAAATACGTCATGTAATTGCTATTAGTTTGGATTGTTGTCTTGACCTTGGGAATGAGATTGTAAACACGTCTCCCTGTGGAGGCTTGATCCCAACGTTCTAGCCATATTATTATGGAATGTCCGACTCTTTAGGTCCGAGACTGGCCTAAGGGTCGGGACTTCTCGCAAAGTGGATGAATCCGCTGCATACTTTGCAACAACATCTGCTCTCTCATTTCCTTCTATTCCCGTATGAGCGGGCACCCAGATGAGTGAGTGTCTTTCCGAAGCTGGCTTGTGGGTTAGAATGTCTCTAATGCTGCTGACGATAGGGCTGCGAGAACGAATTCCAGCTATCGCAGCGAGGAGGGGTTAGGTGAGCCTACTGCGGTACCGAAGGGCCCAGGATCGAATCCTGGAGAAGGTAAGCATGTTTGTAAATGTATAGTGCATTGCGGCAGGGGGGCACTCAATAGATATAGCGAGCCGAAAGTCCTCTCGTGGTGCCAGGAGAGAGGGTTTGGAGAACATCGGACCTTCCCCACCCCCGCAGGGTGATTTTCCTCAAACTTGGGGTGAAAGTAGGAGTCCAACCTCCTTGAGGCTGTGGCAACCATTCTTCCATGAATTACATGAACAAGACAATAACAACATATAACTATTAATAGTAAAAAAGCTTCCAGAAGCCGAAAACCAAGAATATGGAGCAACTTTCTGATGCTGTAGAAATAATTTTAGCCATATTAATCTGTGTGTTTGTAAAGAACCGGTGACTCACACGGCTTCAAACAATATAAAACTTACGAATGCATACGTTTGCGAAAAGTAAGGCCGCTGTGAATCATCGGTCATGCACATAGCAGTCAAGGCATTAAGCAAACTTGAAGTTCTACAAGGCTAAGTTGTTTTAGTATTGCTTCATACTTACTGATATTTTGACAAGTGAGTTGCGACTGATATGCAATGCTATTTTTTTAAATAGTGATTAAGTGGCTTTTTTTCTGACACTGTGTTGCATTTCCAAAGAGTGTGACAGAAAAGCTCCAAAATTAAGGGAAATGATTTTTATGTTTATTTCTTCGAAATTTTGGTAACCGATGAAATAATTTTTTTGCTTTTTACTTAAAATTCTCTTTTTGCCTTTTTTGATCCAATGACTAAATATTTTTATTACTTTCATGACATGAAATTAAAATTATTATTATTTGTTTTAGAACCACCCACTGTCCAGTATGATGAAAGTATGAAGAATGTCCGCTTAAAGTCTTTCAGTGAGTATGTTCTGGATATCAAAGTCTTCGGCTATCCATCTCCAGAACTAGTGTGGTTCAAGAATGGTAAGGTACTTGAATCTACGAAGCATACATTGGTACAAGTACGTGAGAACTCTACTACCATTACTATTCGCAGCGTAGAGAATACAGACAGCGGAACATATACACTCCAGCTCACCAATCCTGCAGGAACGGTCAAGCACGATTTCCGTCTCTTTGTGCTTGGTAATGAATCTTGTTGTTTTCCTCTGCTGAGATTAAAATTAATGATAAGCTGTAACTGTTAACGCCAACATTTTTTCCTGCTTACGAATTTTAAAAGGCATGAAGTAAAACATAATTCTTTTGCTGTCCAATCATAGAGAATCTTTCTTTAATTAGTGATGTCTGTAGTGATATTGCTAAGTTATGTAATCATCATAAAATAATTTCTATTTCTGATGTTATTCTATAATAAACTAAATCGTGAGTGATTTTAACTGATGTAACTGGCGCTATTATAGTAGAAAATATAACGCTATATATTCTATTATAATTGCGCCCGTCAACGGAAATACTACGTAACAGTAAAATTTGGAGCTGTAATTTGTAAAACATTTTTATCCTGCTGAAATAGATTAGGAATGAGCATTACTCTTTTGCTGCAAAAGATGCTCTAAAATATTTTACAATGAACTTTCAGGAACACACACACAAAAAAGGTTGTTATTATTTTGTAAGAAATCAAAGTATAAACCGTAAGTAATAATTAACCGATATTGGATTAAACGAGATCCAAAATTTGAGTCTTTTACGATAAACATTGTAAATTTTCTTTAAAACTCTGGTAAAACATTTCACTTTCCCGTATTTCTTTCAAGTCTGTATACGTATTTATTAATTCTATAGTGCTTATATACTATATACATAATAGGTATAAAATAATCTTTGCTAGAGCCAAACGAAGCTAATGCTGGTCGAACAGCAGTTAGACGTTGGAGACTTGATATCAACAAGGAACCTTATGGAAAGTGTATTAATTACCAGGTTGAGTTTTACATATAACATCTTTTTTTTACATTTATTTCTTAATTGGATGAGAATCAACATATCATAACGATCATTTTATGGTATTTTATATATATAAACATTATACTAATCCTTTCAAGGAAATGCTAACAGTCTAATTAAAGGACATCATATATGGATAATTAAGGAGAGAATAATCGTTCAACTGCTTTTATTTCAGACAAACCGCTTCCTCCAGAAGGCCCCATTGCATTCCACAAAATCGACAAGAATTCTGTAACCATCGGATGGCAACCTCCGAGTATAGGAGCGTCAGAGGTACACTCTTACATCATAGAAAAATGTGAACTCAGGAGAAAAGTTTGGATCGAGGTGAGAGGCTCTTTTTTTATTTATTTAATTTCCACTTTAGAAAAAATACAACAGATTCTAGATATGAGATATTTTCCCACAAAAGTCCACCACAAAGACATACCTTACTCTAGGCTGGTAACCCTCGTATTCTTTGCAGTATTCAATTAAACAAACAACAGGCTGTAAACTTTTGTTGGTTATTAGTTTTTAATTTTAATTAAACGATAAAACACTTAATGTGAAAGTGCTTTCAGATTAATAAATTGATACATTTTGTTCGCATTTTCATCCACTTTGCGACTGTACCATTATTTTTCAAATTGAGGGTAAAATACCGTGAGGGAAAGGATTACTGATTGAAAGAAAAGTTAAATTTCCGATTTTATAAAATGCATAATGCGTCTACCACAAAGAAATGAATCCCAAATATTATAAGATCTTAACAAAACACCTTATTCATTGTTTATCAATATAAATTATTTTTTTCTGATGTTGTACTTATCTTAGCACATTCATAAAAAATTTCTAGACAGTTTCGTAGAAATCATCTCTTCACCCTCTCGCTTTCATTCCATGGTTATGGTTTTCGGAATTTTTGAAATGCTCTCAGAATGATATCTTTTGATGCAAAATTTTAATTTAGGGAACCAAACTTAACTCTGCATGTGCCAAAATCTTGAAAGTGGAGGGTTTGTTTAATAATGATTATGCATTTGTTTGAAAACGCTGCTTGGTGATCTATATTGGCAAAGAAAACGTCACCGCTTCTCGCACTTTAATCATTGAATATATAACAACTACATAATATTTTACGTCGGCTACGTAAAATGAAAAAGAAATTCATTTCAACTTCATTTTCGTAAATGAGCGATACTGTAATGAAGCAATTTAAGATATCTGATCATTCAGAATAGTTATTGATTGGCAGCTTCACAGAGATTTGTGGAAAAAATTCGATTTTAAATCTTTTTAGACTCACTATATTCTTCGAAGACAGAAATGCATAACAATATGTAAAGAATATTGTGCAAATACAATTTCTTTTTCATTCGCTGAAACTTCACACACACACACACACACACACACACACACACACACACACACACACACACACACACACACACACACACACACACACACACACACACACAAATAATAATAATAATAGCAATGTTCAAAACTATGCGAAACTTTTTCTGTTGCTATATTAACATAATAAAATAGTCAAAAGCCAAATCAGACGCAATTAACAGTTCTGTGTTAATCAGTTTTTCAAAACTATTAACATCAATATATGAAAAAAAATAACACATGTTTGCTTTAAGCGAGAATAAGTTTATGAAATAATAAAAATATGATTCATGATATAGTTACAGTTACTATTCTACCTATAACCATATAAAAAAGGGATAAGCTGTGGTATACGTATATGTATATGCTAAAACACGATGGCTACGCTAAGAAATAATTGGCAACCTCAAAATTGACTATTCTAAATCTTATGTTCTCCTCCTAAGTTCAGCTTTTCTCCCAAATTCAAGATCTTTCCAAAACCATATGACGCTTACATAACTCTGCCTGCAAAGAGAACTAAAACCTAAAATTAACCAATCGCAGCTTAGCTATACATATGCACCTGCCTAGTGTAAATACTGCTTCTCGAGCAATTACGTCATCCTTTTCTTAACTTCTTCTGCCCTACAAAAATCTCTGCGCTGATTTCCTAATAGTCTTCCTTTGTTTTTTACCTACGATAACGATTTTATGTTATACATCAGGCGTCCCCGTCCTCCGTCACCTACCTACCTACGATAAAGTAGTACTGTTTTTTACCCGAGCACTTAAAGACTATTGTATTTAACTATGATCGAAAAATATCTTGTCCATAGAAATATTGATTTGATGTGTATAAAAATAAATCTGATGAATCTGCGAATTCAGTTTTGTCAAATTTGTCCTTATGCCTATACACTCAGCTTTTTCGACTGCCAGATGTAAAAAGTACCAGTTTCTTCTACGCATTAAGCTATTACAATTTATAACATGTATATAATATATATATATATATATTTATATATGGAGAGAGAAAAACCTTTTTTCACCATATGTTATTCATAATTAATTATTGCATATGAAACTAATGATGGAGTGTCACAAACAATATTTAAGTTGCTATCTGTCTTGTCTCATTAATTCCAACCAGGATCCTATTAATGATTGAAACTAGGAGCCCTAGGCACAGCGTTCTTTGAGGGGTCTCATTGCTCACTGTCCTTGGTTTTATGAGAGAAAAACAGAGTTATGAGGAATTATGAGAGAATTTGAGGTCCTAGGTGATGTTATGCATCTGTTAAAATGTTTTCACCTGCGAATTTTCTCAGAATTTCTAATATGTATTTTATATTTTATTCTAAATATTTTATCACATAATGATATATGCTGGGACAATCAGTGCGTTGAGGCAGTTTTTCCTTTTTTGTCCTTTGTTGCAAAAACTTCAGCTACCGCACATTGCCTCCAGATCCTATACACAGAAAATTTGGTTTGAGCTATTGTGTCAATAATAGCGAAAACTACCTTTCAGAGGACTCTTCATACAATGAAAAACGTTGTCATTTCTGATAGCCGCCATTTATTTCATACCGAGAGGGGTAAAAAAGATGTCCGTCTTTCAAAGGCAAATATAATAGAAATTTTAATTTTACATCAGTGTTATTCAAAAGGTTACATGCGTAATAAATATTGTAAGTAAACTTAAAACCTGTGTAATAAATATATAAATAAGAAGACTTACTATTTGTATTAAATCAGTTGTTTTTGTCTAATATTCATTGAAACCGAGAAAATTATTGCTATTATGATTCAATTTAATAGCGTTGTTTCTCAACTGCTTTTGTTTGTTTCAGGTTGCGACTGTGAATTCCGACGTCTTAACGCAAGAAATTCGGGACGTAAGCGAAGGTATAGAATATGCATTCCGTGTAATTGCTGCCAATGAATATGGCCGCAGTGATCCTCTTACTTCGGACAGTGTGACGCCGAAGAGCTTATTCGGTATGTACTGATTGCTTTTACAACACCAAAAAGTTGGATTTTTTTATAATTGGGTGCCTTATTATCTTTAAGAATAACATGACTCAATTACAACATAGTAATGTCGTTTATGCCTAACTGTGAAAAATTGTGTTTGATAAGAAGAATATTATTCGAATTGAATTTAAGCACGACAGAATGCAACTTTAAATGAATTACTTCCTCAAACTGCTATTTTATTATAGTACTGTTTTGTGTAATATAGTAATATAATTAATAGTAAGTAATATAGTAATATAATTCTAATTAAGAATTAAATAATACTGTAGCGATAATAATGCATTTGAAAATGTATGCTATCATGTATGTATAAAATGTAATGCGCTTGGAAATTTATACTATCATTGCGGATTTTAATCTCTTTTTTAACATTGTGTGTATAGATTTCACTATCTCCCATAGTATTTATATATAAGGTAATTTCCTTTTATCGGGGTCGAGAATTTACTTCCGCAATTACTTTAAATTATATATATAATGTAGAACGCTGTTTTATAAGCAGGCTTTCGAATAAAATTTCTTTATATATTTTATGAATAAAACATATCTCAAATTCCAGGTTTTTAGCCCCTTTTTGACTGTTGTGTATATCTCAGAATTCTGACTGTTGAGACAAATTTTCCGAACATTTGCAAGCGTGCTCATTAATGGCATCTTTCAATTTCTTTTGTGTCCGCGGCAGCAGTCGTTTACACAATTCGATGTTTTTGCTAGTACAAAAGTTGAAACACAATCATCATTTTGTTGTCAACCAAAACTGCTGGACGCGAAAATTGGTGTAGGCAGGGCGCAAAGTCACAATGAAATATCCACAGTAATCTGTATGGTCATCGTGGTGGCCATTTCCAAAATTTGTATTGATGTTGCAAAAGACACTGTAAAATTTTAAGTGTTTCAGCACTTATCAAAAAGTACAAAAGAACCATTCTCAGAAAATTATAAGGAAACTTGAATTGCATTTATACCTAACATAAGATACTTCATACATCTCAGAAAATGCAGTAACTTATAACTTCGAACAAATTTCGATGTTTTTGTGCTATTTCACCCAAAATTTGTAAATGCTTTAGAATATTTATGGTCTTTAAATACAAGCTAAAGTGTTCCAACTGCTGTTTTAATATATATTTGCCATATTAATTTATGAAGTTATTGTATTGCATGTCCAGTAAAACCTATCTTCTTGTAGTGAAATATTTTTTACTGCAAGAAATGAAACTAAACGTTTATGCAGTTGCCACTAAGCTTTCACTGTCAGTTCTATAAATTTAATTAAACTATTTATGGGAAAGACAAACTTCAGAATTTATGTTTAATATATATGCTTAAACTTATTTGCCCTGTTTGTTCAGATAAACCTCATGCACCGAAGGGACCATTCACAACATCGAATATGACAGAAAACTCATTCACTCTGAGCTGGCTGGCACCTGACAATGATGGTGGCAGTCCAGTCATTGAGTACCTTGTGGAAAAGAAAGAGGCGACCCGTAAGGCTTGGCAGAGGGTTGCCACAACAGACGGAAAGTCCTTGTCTATGGAAGTCACTGGCCTGAAGAAAGACACAGCTTATCACTTTAGGGTCTGCTGTAGAAATGAAATTGGCCAGAGTCCATACTTTGCACCTGAAGAAACTATCACGCCAGGCCTTAAAATATGTAAGTACGAGTACAGTCATAATTTGTTAAATATTCTTTTATTACTTATCGTTATTATAATTGTATTTTATTAGCAAAGCCCAAGATAATCTGAAGAAGTATGTTGAGCTTTTCTTCTTTTCTTTTTTTCGGACGTCTATTTTTCTTGTTTTATGAAGGAAAAAATAGGATTAAGAGGGATTATAAGGTGATTTGAGGGCGCCTGAAATCTGAGCTCTGTGGCTAAAACGTGAGAACCTAGGTCAGTGATACCCAGTCCTTTTCTTGCATCGATCCGTTTTAAAAGAATCCAAGATTTTCTTCATCGACTTCCTTACAATAATATACAGCATACAGGTTTATCAAGATACAAATAATTGCATATAATGACTTAAAAATAACAGTTAGACTAAGAGTATGAACAAATTATTATTTTTTTTTCTTATTATTGTTTTTAATTTTACGAATAAAAGACAGATTTTCAAAAAGAAAAATCAGATTCTAAATACTCAAAAGTTCGATTTTAATTAATTTGATGGTTGCGTTTTATGTATTGGTGCGTTTTTAAAAAAATATTTGAAAAAAATTGCATAACTTAATCCTTAAATAGTTTTTTTTTCAAAAGGGTTCAATATTTTTCCTGATTTCCATAGTAAATGTTTTAGTTAACTGAGACCTGCTTCCATTAAATACGGAAAGTCAATAATATTAGTTCGGAAACAAATTATATTTCGGATCATTTCTCTCGTAAGAGTTTTAAATTCCAAAACTTAGCGTACCCGTGTGTTTTGAATAAGTCGTCTGCTTTAGCATCTTCCTTCAATGCAATCAACTCTTCTTGCATCATAATAACAAGATCACAGTTAAGTGGCTCTGAAAGCCATGCTGGCACTTTAAAATATTCAATGTCTTGGAAGCTAACATTAAAAATCTTTTAAATTTTGCAAAATGTCTTGTATATAACAGTTTCTGAAGCGATACAATTCTTTTCAATAACGGACAGTCGCATTAACTTAGCAAAGTAATACAATTCTTTTCAATTAAGTGTCCATATAAGCAAGTTACTTAGATTTTTTTTAACCTTTTTATGCTGCACTTTTTGCACAACAAATTTATGTATTTTATTATTGATTTTTGAAATATATATTAAATAATCTTAGTGTAGTTCCCTCTTAAACTATTTATTTTATGTGATTTGTACTTAGCTACATGATATAGTTTTATGCCAATAAACAATTAATTTTCAGTTTTATTAATATTTTTTTGGTAATCAAATGATATCTTTATTTTGCCGAACAACTGCCAGTGTATGTTTTGCTATCCACTCTTTTATTATCTTTGATCTTGTTTAAAATTTCATCGACCCTAAGGGGGGTCAATACTAACTCCGTTGGGAACCCTTGTCCTAGAAGGTTAATCAGGATTTTTCTATCAGAAATTGAGATGTTTTTCTCGGAAAGCGAATAAACTGTAAACATTTTTAAAAAATGATTTTTAAAATTACGTTCCACTCTACTAATAAATTTCCTTGAATCTACTACTAATTTTCTCAATGTATCCCATCCGCAGCGCAACAAAATTTCATATATCTGGATTACAGGCATTTTGAATACCAGTAAGCAAGATAGCTTAGTTTTCTTTCTAAGTCCTGTAAAATTAAGCTTATTGTTTACTTGCGTGTTTCTAATTTTTTAGTTGATTTCACATAAAATAGAAAAATAATGCTACATAATACATGTGAGGAAGCTAGTAATTTAATTTAGATAAATATGTAGGTGCGCATAGCGTTTGATCTATAGTGTTCGGTAAATATGTAGCCTATGATATTAATAGGAAAACAATTACATTACATAGTGCTATTGTTCTTTACTTAAATAATGAATAATACTCTGATCATAACACGTTGCCTTTACTCTAAGAATGGATTAAAGAAATGTGTTGGCTTTCTACCAATCGTAGTCCCACTGAAAAAAATATCATGTTGCATAACTGCAAATCTATTACTTACTATACGTTTTTTAGTTTTTATTTCAGTTCTGATGTTTTTTGCGTATAATCATTTATTTTTAAAGGTAAATATTTTAAATATAATACAATGAAAAAGAAATAAAATTCTTTCATTTACACAACAGTTATTAAAGAATTTAGACGAAAAATAAAATCAAGTAAAATAAAATGCAAATTAATTACTTAAGGTAACCAAAAGTTCCATATTTTTCGAATATTCAGGTGGTTATGGTTTAGTTATTTTGATTAGAAATTTTGAAATTCTTCTGTATCATTACAATTTTTCGCTTGTATTTTTAAACTTTAAGATTTAAAGAAAGTAACAAAGGTTTCAATTACAGGTTTTGAGAAAGTGTATAAAACTGTACTTTCGATATAACTGTTCTTGTCCCGCTATTTATTGTAGGCCCATATCCAGATTTATCTTCAAATACCTAAAAATATTGATATTCTCTGAAATATGCAAACCATGCAATCCATTTTTACAGGGAATGTGTCACAGACAAGCCTAATTAAAATTATCAAATAAAAAATGATCAAATGGGTTTTTTGTATGCAGATCAAGGTGTTGCGTCATCTAAGAGCGAATCAAGTTTATTTTCAACTGCGTTTAGCACTGCAATTTTAAAATACGTCATGTTAGGAATCAGATTGAAAGAACTATTTCTTTAACAATTACAGCACAATTTCGTTTACTTTTTAACCATTACACGTAGTTTTGCTGGTTTGCCACCGGATACTGCAATAAATAACTTTTTACTTTTGTATTTCAGCTCCACCTTCATCACCCGGTGGTCCCTTGATTGTTTCCAATATGACCAACAAAACTCTAACTCTCAGTTGGAAGCCTCCAGCGAACACAGGCGGTGCAGAATTGACAGCCTACATTGTGGAAAAGCGCGAATCGACGAAGAAAACCTGGAACCGTCTTGAGACTCTTGACCCCCATATAACAAGTTATACCGTCCATAACCTCACTCACAAAAAGGAATACTTCTTTAGGGTGTTCGCCGAAAATCCAGCTGGTCTTAGTCCGCCACTCGAAACTGAAAAGGCTATAAAACTTACCTCAACTGCTGGTAAGTAGATTTCATACCTTCCAACGTGATTTTCGAAGGCATAACTGGCGTAGGTTGAAGCAGTTCGGTGGATAATTTATTCTGTTTCGTCATTCATTTCGTCACTCGCCATTAGTATTTTTTTCTTAAATTAAGTGAAACCTTTCTAGTAATTTTATAGTAGTGTCATTAAAATAGTTAATTATTTGAGATAGCTACAAAAGTAGGCGAAAGAAACAAAACGTAAAAAATCATCACTGCAAAATCATTTGTTTCAGATTTGAATTTCGAATCCAGTAGACTTTATTATATTCTAAAGAATGAAAAAATAGGGAAAACAACAATATTTACCTTCAAATAATGTTTAAGTGAAACGCATTTCTTAAATTCTAGTATATGGATTATAAATGGCAATAATGGCGTTTTAGTGACTCTTGAACTAGTCACTCTGAACTCAGAGTCTCACTATAATGACTCTGAACTAGTGGTTTTATAGCGTTAATCCTGAGAAAAAATAACATTTTTATTCCTTTAAATTGTGATATAGTTCTAATTATTAACTGATTAACATAGTAAATCACGTTTATTGTACACATTACTCAGAAGAATGAAAGCTAAGTAGCCAATGCACTGATTCTAAGCAAGTAATTTTCATAGTTTTTTAACAAAACTTTCTTTCCAAACATTTATTTATTTAGAATAATTTTTCTCCTTCGAAAACTCACTTCCGATGATTAATTACATAATCATTGCAAAATATCTGAACAAAGTTCTTGATCCGCTACTGAAAATTACACAGCCGATAATATTGCACGGATAAACTAAAAGTGATTCATCAGAATAATCCAAACTGAAAATTGCGGATGTATAAGTAATGTATAAATACTTTGATTCAAATATTTTATTTCCTGTATTTTATTATATGATGTATATACTAAAAGCTCCCGAAAAGAAATAAGTCAGATGAGTAAGAAGAGAGAAAGCATAATTTTCTGCTACGGGGTGGAGCATTATAACATTGCACATGCTAGGGCGTTATTATGATGGTGTGACCATAATTTATTTCTACACAATTCGAATATTTCCTTTCGGCATTTTCTCAAAGACGTCTCATATTTCAGTATAACACATCATTTAATCCAAGCATCGAATAACAATTCTTTTCATAAAATCTTCGGCTTCACCATCAGAATATTCATGACAGAATGTAACACAACATTTTTTATTTAACCCATACAGAACAAACTTTGCAGAAATTCAGAAACTTTCCAATTTCTTTTTTCAGAATGGGGTACGATCGTATTAAAATGTTGCAATCTTCAGCCGTTTATTTAACAACGAATCAACTATTTGAACGCCTCGCACCTATGTCTGAGAAAAATAACTTGTTATTTAAATTCTCATCGTGATATTCATTTCCTCAGTTATCATAAAAACATAAACAGATTTTGTAACTACATGAAAATAAACTTTGTTATATAAGTAATATTTTGCATTAATCTTCTAAAAATGGATTAGATTCCGTTTTCATAGACTTGGTAGTCTTATTTTATACATTGTTTTATTTATTGAACATATTATTTTAATCACCATGTAATGTTTCTTAAAAAATTAAATTATTTATAGTTTTTCAAATCGGTCATAATTGCTGATAAATTGCACTTCATTTTAGAACGTCCTTCACCTCCTACGGGACCGCTGGAAGTGGTCATTACAGGTCCTTCTTCTGTTGTACTGTCATGGGGTCGACCTGAATCAGATGGAGGATCTCCTATCTTGGGTTATAATGTGGCTCTCAAGAACGTCAGGAGGATAATGTGGATGGAAGTAAGTAATGGATTTTGTGCATATCTGTTCGTGAAGAATGATTGCTTTTTACCATGTACTGTGATAAAAAAGTGCTTTTTATGCTTCGTAGGAAATATGCGTTTCTATCATAAAGTATTCTAATTGTAACTTTTAACAGGTTGGACAAGTGAATGGCGAAACACAAAGGTTGCAGATCAAAGATTTGCAAGAAGATGCAGAATACATGATCCGAATCATGGCCAGAAACGAAGTAGGCATCAGTGATCCACTGGAGCCCGAAGAACCTATTAAAGTGATTCGGCCACCAGGTACCAAATCATTCCCTTTTATACTTTCCGCTAGCATCATTTGTGCATAAGTAAAGTAATAGTCTTACTATATTTTTGAAATGTGTAAAGAATTTCATGATATTGATAACACGTTTCATTCAAAGAAAAAACTCCTAGAAATGGTCAGGTATTATCAGTTTTATTTCAGAGTAATGCAGACAATATTGTAAACGTAATATTATAAAATTCTCATAAATAGGTATGAGAATCATTTAAAAGAATAATTATAGAATAGAGTATTAAGGAATATGTACGTTAAAAGGTAAAAAAGAAGGAATAGTTTCTTGCAATAGAAATATGTGCATAATGATTATTTGATAAAGAAACATAAAATTTGCTGAGTCAAACGTTATGTGAGGTCACTTCTCATTTGTCAACTTAACACTAAAGCGATAGACAGCTTGATGCCATGCACATTCTATTTGCATAATAGTTATGGAATATATTTCTTCAACAATTCGGTGCCAAATTTTCTATAATGGGATGGATACGGAATAACCTCCACGGTACCTTTGATGAATCCTGACAGGAAAAATATTTTCCAGATGTAGTTCTGGTGACCTGAATGACCAAGAACACAACTTCCGGTGTGTTTGCACATTTCGAGAGATAACACATTTTTGTACGGCAAGAAGCAGCAATCTGAAAAAGAAATAGAAAATAATTATATCTTTTTCAGACATCTGTAGTATTTTGAAATTTTTTTAAATATTTTTTATATTTTTAGTAGTAGCTCTTGAACATACAATTCATTAACCCTTTCCGGCACGCTACTCTTTAAAGTTGTAATTTTACCAAAAAAATTTGTAGGCAGTATAATCTAGGGGTGTGTAGCGAACACACTGAGCCGGAGAAGTATTGCTGTGAAGCACGATAAATTTTAACAAAGGGTGTGAAATCAAAACTAAGCAAACTATGCACGATGAAAGCAACAGAAAAAAACTGAGCCGCCACGAGCTCGCGATTTAGGTCGTTGAGCATTAGAACGATGTGAAAAAACACGTCGATTGAGTATTATACAGTTCTCATAAATACATAAAAACTCGAAAAGCTGTAAAAATTACGAAGAATCTAAACACTCCTGTCCAGAAGGTTAAGCATGATTTAATTCCAGCGGGTTGCGAGCAAGGTTTTCGGCCTCCACTCTCCTCAAATACAAGCCCCCATCAAAAAAATTAGGCTTAGGGCACTTAAAAACTTTAAATTGTTGAAATTCTAAAAATGCTTCTAAAGGCAATAATTAGAAAATAAGAACAACTAATTCCAAAATTTAAACAATTTTACAAACCTATAGAGTAAAGAAAAATCAAGCCGGGTAACAATATATAATATTTATAATATATTGACTATTGAAAAAATAAGGTCTACATAAGCAGTCCTAATACAAATTCCCGTTCTGACAGAGTTATGAGAGTAGTACGTACAACGTTCTAAGCACCACGAAAAAATCTCGAATTCATTTAAGCAGTTTATATTTTTGGAGGAAACGAGTTTATTCTGCCTTCGTACAGATAACGCACAAAAGTTATTGCATTCGCTAAAAATGGCTATTTTCGTTAAATATGCTGCCTGAAACTTTTCGTGTTCACTTCTTTTACTTCGTACAGAAGTAAACTCTGCTCTCGCAAAAATCAAATAGCTTAAAGCAAATCCGAGGTCTGCCAAAGCAGAAAACTAAAAATAATATAAATAAATCTGCGCTATCAAAGCAAAGATTCTTTCACTTAAAGCAAAAAAAACAAAAAAGAAAACATTGCAGAATTTTACGAAAAACAGTCGATGAGTGTATATGTCTCATTCAATTCCAATCTTAATCAGTTCTCACTTCGCTTGACAAGGCAAAAATACAAGAAATAAAAACTCAAAAAGCGTATAAAAAGTAACTTACGAAATGTAAATTTATTGCGCGATACACTTATTTCTCGAAAAATCCAAAAGGATTCAAGTATTACCGAATTTCTTATAATTTAATTTTTCTACCCCTGTAACTCATATTCCTGATAAACTGAAAGCGTAATGAATCTTCATGTTTATCGAGATGAAATATAAGTTTCTGTGTATTAGCGCTGTTCTCCGATTTGTTTTAACATCCATCTCATTTCTTTTGGATTCAGATTTCTAATGCTGATAAACAACGCAATGGCCGCCTTCAATCAAAAAATTATAATAAGCTCTAGATTATCTATAACAAGATACTATAAATTGAACGATGTCTATCTCTAGCCCTGAAAATCTTGTTTATTTATCCGAGGCATGGCAATTAAAATGTGTTTAGTATCATTTCACATATAAGGGAATCTAAAAATTATTTTGAAATGGTATAATAAAATTCCTAGAACTATACTAGTAAATTTTTCGAATTTTTTGTAGAATATTGTGTAAATTTTAGCAGAATCTTACACATGCCTGTCAAAAGTTCTTCAAAAATTAATGCCAGATTAGGAAAAGAGAGCTTAATATAAGAGGCATAACTGGAATTTTATTTTCTGATACGGACTAACATGAATTACTAATACAATGATTATTAGACTTAGTGAATGAAATATGTGTGCGTGGAGATTATAGATCCTTTGAAACATTTCTTGGCTAAGAGAAGAAGCGTAAAGATCTCTGGTGATCACAGTAATTGGAAATATATAACAACTTGAAAATGTCAAGAATTTAATATGAAATGTTTATATTCGGTTAGTAATTGTTTTAATCTGTATAATGCTAGCAATTAATATGATTCGATGCTAATAATAATACAACTAAGCTGTTGCTATATTGTTTAATTTATAATAAATAAGTAGATATTGAAATAACCTTTGCAGCACACCTTTAGCTACGACATAATATGCAGTGTCCTTTTCTGCCATGTTTTTACTAAGGATTGTTCTGTTTTGATGTTTGAGCGAAAACAAAGTAAGCGTATCTTCAGTTTAGAATTATTTTTCATCTGAGTATAATTGCTGTAAAAATACCCTAGTATCATAGTACCTAGTAAACTAGGCTATGCCTGCTTTTTGCTACCATGACATTAATAACATTGCGCTTTAATTGCATCCTCTTCTTCCCACGCAATCTGAGAGACGCTTACTTTGTGCTCGCTTTGATCGAGAGCTCAGATAATGACAGATCGTCTCTCTTCCCAACAGGATTCAAAGAGTCCGAAAAATTGGACATTGATGAGAAAACCATCTCAGTCAGCTACAGTACGGAGACTTCTTCATCTTGGATACGCGAGGCGAATGTGGAGCCACTGCTGCGCAGCTACACGAAACATGTGCTTGCGGGCAGGAATGAATATTTCTTCCGTGTCTGGCATTTGGCCGAGACGCTTTTCAAATAAATCCTGCCAAAAATGTGATACGTAAAGCAGATTCAAACTCTGGGAAAGTCTCATTCTTTTCCGTCCAATTCACTCTCAATGTCAAAAATTTAGAGTTACATTTGTAGCAATTCTTTTCAAAGCCTCTCTGAACGTAATACAGAGCAATCACATGAAGTTGCGTTTATGTTGTCTCACCTGAGTATGTATTATCGTTTTTACTAGCATTCAATCATGAAGCTTCGCCCTCGAGTGGATCAAAAATCACGTATCTGGACCAGTGATTCTTCATCCCTTGTAGGCGGTAGGAACTGTTAAATGATGAAATCATTTGTAAACGTCTTTAATAAAAACGACATACTTTCAGCGTCATTTACATTTTAGGATCTAAATTCATAGCGTGTAATATGAATTGATGATTATTTGCAGACATTGTATTCGTACTCCGGTAACGTTTGTTGTTACGTAGTCAATGTGGCTTGCTCAAAATATATTGTTTTCTTCATTTAGGTTTTCACTAAAATGAAATTTAAAAGATGCAAAAGGATATTTTCTTTGAAAAGAAAAGTTTTATTAAGGATCAAATTCTAACTATGGATAAATAAACAAGTTCTTCTCAGGGCTAGTCATATAATGTTGCAGAACATGTATCGAGCTTATTAGTGTTGAGGCGGCCTAAGTCTTTAAATTTCATTCGACTGTGAATATAATTCACAGTAATGATTCACAGTAATGCTCAGTACCAGAAATTTTGCAATTGCTCAAGTAACCTTTTTCAAAATATTTTCGTATTTATCGGAAGAAACAAATTATTGTAATTATTGAGATATATTCCCCAGATTTTGAATCTGCGCCATTTCCATATCTTTGGGCGGCTCTGGTAGCGCCTGAACTTGTACAGACATTGTATAAAATATTTTTACAGTGAAGCATTGATTTGAAAAGACATTAGGGGACTGATACAAGATATTTGTATTATATCCCAAAAGAAACCTGTTTCAATATGAAAACGGTTATATCTTCTGTGTACACACTGTGTCCAACGACGCGCTGTTACCTTATGTTTTCTGGTAAAAACCCGAGATGATGTAATGTATTGTTTCTATTGTTTAGATTGACACCCGTCATGTGATATATGTTAGTTCCTGTGTAATAAAGTAGTTACTCCTATTTAAAAATATGTATGTGTCTTTTCATTTCAGTATTATTGAAAAGTACTCGCTCATTCCCTCAAAAAAATAAGAAAAGAAAAACCACACAAACTAGAAACAATAAATTAGTATCTCAGCGTGCAGCAAAATAAAATTTTTAAACTATCAGAAGTAGAAAAAAAAAGATTCTAAATTGAGATAAGTAAACGTCCATTTCAATAAAGAATATAAAGACATATCTGTGAAACGATACCCAAATTGTATTGTAATAAAGAACTGATTTTAAATTATCTGCATAGAGTTATATACTGCCCTATCTATGACATACTGCTCAAATTGTACTGCAATAAAAATTTAAATCAAATTATTTTTAACTATTATTTTTTTTATCTTTGATTAAATTAAGGAATTTATCTTTTGAGTAATTTAACTATTATATAACTTCTAACTAATTTATCTTTAAGTATATTTTATTCTTTATTAGTTTCAAGTTGATTTACTAAATGTTAGGTCACATGTTACCACTATCTACATGTTAGGTCATATATTAGACCAGGGTTTCACAAACGTTTCTCATCGCGGAACACTTTTTAAGTTTTAAAATTTTTAAGGAACATTAAAATAAATTATAACACAGTTATGTTAGATAAACAAAATAAGCATTTATGAAATATTTTATATCATAGCTATACTAGTTTTTCAATTTTAATTCTGCAAAAAATTATAAAACTAATTAAATAAAGCAAATAATATCAAAAAAGTTAAAACATTTTTAGTTTTCTATAACCTTGAGGTGTCTGAGTCTTCGAATTACAAATTCTTTTGAGACAATGTTTAGAAACCTGAATTCTTGTATAAGATACCAAAGTCAGTTTCTATGCTTGGATTTTGTTTCAACGTAATGTGAAAAATCTGTCTTGTTGTCAAATACGAAAGTAAAATATGAGTAGCTCGCTTTGGTAAGTTCCATTATGCTTCTAACAAACTTACTCAAAAATCATTTAATGGTAGTTCTTTGAATTTTAATTTATTAAATTAATAAATATTTCGAAATCAGCTGAGCATATGTTTGTCGGTTGAGCTGTCATTACAAAATTCTGAATCTAAAAATTATTTTTCTGGCATTGTGAGAAACCTTGGCTAAGGATTAACTGCAAGTCATGAAAATGCTGTAATAGTTTATTGTATACGTTAAGATCTATTTTTAAACCTTTTTTTTTTATTCAAAAAGTCATTTAAGGTAGGAAAACGGGCAAATTTATTCTCTTTTAGTGAAGAAAATTAAATGAATTTAATGTTTTGTACTCAGTTTGAGCTTTTAAACTCTTCTATTTCCATTCCATTTGAACTGATGGTTAAAGGTAAATTCGGGTTATATTTGTAAATTCTTTAAAAACATGTAACATGCAATTTGAAATTAATGTATCAGATATTAGTGAGAGAATTTGTATATGGTTTTAAGTCTATATTTCTTTCTCTCTCTCTCTCTCTTACTTATCACCTACTATTCAGCTAGACTTTTTCTCTGACGAATTAATCGCTTTTGGTCTAAGTTATTTCAAAATTTAAAAGTAATCTAAAAATAATTTGAAGTTTAAAAAAACTTATATTTATTATTATTCGATTTAGACTTTAAACGATAACTTAACTAAAGACCTTAATATTCAGAGCCATTCCAGATCTGGAGAAACATGATTACTTAACCAAAGTTCGCATCTCGCATTATCCGTTTTATCTTCACTCTCTTCTTAACTGGCAATTAATTAAGTAAATGTATTACAACTTCTTCCCTCAGATCCCAGTTTAATACCTTAAAGATACCATAAACTAGTTATCTAACAATGCAAGATAAGATACAAGAATCTATTATAAAATCAAACCGATTTTTTAATATAAATGATATTTCCCATATGTAATAATAATGAGGGTATTGCGTGATGTAAAGGAATATATAGATTTCAAGATAAGTAGAAAGAGAGCCCTTGTTTACAGTTTGGCCGTTTTTCGCCGAGTTCTCAGATTTGTAATAGTCTGTATATTAGCAAGATGCTCAGTAGTTTCTTGTGTCTTATAACGAGTAAACATGCATCGGAGTCTCGAGCAGCGTTATGCAATAAAGGTTTGCACAACGAAGTTGAAAACTCGAGTCCTGAAATGCTGCAATTGTTTAAGACAGTTCGTGGAAATGTTCTTTCGTCTTCAGATTGTCTTCAGCTGGTAAAACCCTCCAATGACGAAAAGGCAAGCCCTGAGGACGTACAGTGTGCAGGACGTTCTTCTACAGATTTATGAACGCGTTTAAGAAAAAGAGTTGTGCATATTTTTCATAAATTGAAAATACATGACTTTGTTTGTTACGACAGTATCCAATTAAAAACGGCATGCGCCAATTAATGTACAGATTGCTACGACGAAGTTATACAGGATAGTTTATAAGGGGGTTATTTGTTCAAAAAATATTATAACTCTTCACCAGCTTCATCATTGCGATTTGCTCTGGGTGATTTCTTTCATTTTCCAAGGTCAAAGCTCACTTTAAAAGACATTATTTTAGTGTGTGTGTGTGATTATGGCAAAGCCTCAAGGGCTATCTGCCTAAGAGGAGGGATGCCTTCGTGGAGGACTTTCTAAGGGAAACTGGCTCGTATACACGTTACACATGGGGAAAACCAGACATTATTTTAGAGTAGCTGATAATGTCCGAGTCGCTGCGATGAGAGGCTTGAACAGCGTTCTGAATTTAGATGCCTTCCTCTACTTTAAAGAGTGGTAGCAACATTGGCTATGCTGTATTTCATTACATAGCGCCTTTTGAACGCTATAAACCTAATTTTATGTATTTTCAAAAACAGAAAATTTTAAATATATTTGTTACTATAGTGCACTAAATTTTAAGAAGTATTTGCTGTCATTTAGGTACATGGTATGAATTATTCCAAATGAATGAAGAATAAGATTGAAACAACTGCTATATTGGAACAATAAACACATTAAAGTTAACTAGAAAGTTAATACTATAACTGCTATATTGGAACACTAAACACAATAAAGTTAACTAGAAAACTTTTTCACTTACCAAAGTTTTCAGGAGAACAGCAACTGATTTCCTTCAAAAAGCAACATTTTCATAAAATGCTAGAAACGCTTATAAAATTGCATCTCATTCAATGAAAGGTATTTAAAACGAGATAGTATGTTTTTCTAATTGAGATACCTAAAAAAGCAATATTTTTACTTTTAAACGTTGAATGGTCAAATATAACCTCAAAACTACAGCTTCGTACCTTGAAGCTAGAGGTATCAAAAGATTGCGTATTTGGGGCGTTTGTAAAAGCAAGTACTCTAATGTAAGGAAGGAGCCTAAAACTAGACTCGGCTTAGGAGAAGTTTTGATTTTTTTCTTTTCGCCATCGACGGAACAGCTGGCCCACTGGGTTAGGTGCTTTTCAGCCTGTTGGGATCCCGTCGATAGAATTAAAAATAAATAAATATAAATAAAGAGCTTAGTACTGTGTCCTCGGGGAATTGAACATTGAAAAAAGGACCAGAATGAAGGTGCATGGTGGGGACTGCTAACGGGAACACTTTTCATTATTACATATACAGATATACTAAGGGCATACAGATATACTAAGGGTATGGTATAGACTCAGGCACAGATGTAAAGATGAACAAATAACATAACAAATTGTGAAATATATTAAATGAGTTCTGGATTAATCATAATATTGAACATAATTCAAAACAAAAACAAACAGCAGCAACAACAACAAACAAAAAAAAAAAGACATCAAGTAAATTAATATATGTACAGAGCGGGCTGCTGATGGCACGGTGTCTAAAAGAAGTCATTCCAGGCTGTCAGCAATGATTTTAGCAATGGTAGTGCAGTCTCTAATGCGGCTGAGCGCATATTTATTCTTAATCATGTTCTTGCACCATGCCGGCATCTTGATTGTAGTTGGTCTTTTTTACTGTGAATTCCCTGTGTGCGAGCAGTCAAACAGATTGTCATCTGGGTCACCAGTACTGCTACAAATACATTGGTCGCTGTCTCTTAGACGAAATCTGTGAATATGGATAAACATGGTCAATGCCCTGTCAGATACTGTGTGAGGGGCGAAGAGCTGCTATTTAAATTCTGATTTACTTTTGGTTGAAAATTATACAGTTTTCTGTCTGTGATGCTTGAATCTTAGTAGTTTTGCCACTGTTTCGTTAATTCACATTTTAGAGTGGTTTTCAGATATGAGTACAGAAGGGGCACTCTAATGCTACTCACATAAGGTTCATTAGCTGCGCTTTTCGCAATCACATCTCCTGCTTCATTTCCTTTAATCCTCCGTATAGGCTAGTTACTTTTGACATTTCAAGTCAGTTCTAAAAAATGATAATAGTCTGCATGAGAAGAGTGAAAGCAAATCTTCGGATACACGAAATGTAATTTAAGCAGCAAATTATAGGTATACCTTGAAAAAAGACTATTTGAATTTGCATGAAAGATAACTTGAAAATATTTTCAAATTTGTCTCATTCCTGCGCGGTGACATTCTTCATATGTTTTATTCTCTTAATTTCAAATTAACTAAAAAATCATATCAATTGGATAGATAAATTTTAGATTTGCCTCTGGTCGTCACTAGTTGCCCGAAAGGGCAGACAAGTTGTCCTCTCGGCCTTGCAAAATCGTACCCTGAGATAGGAACTTCGCTCATATGCTGCACAAAAAGCGTCCGCACGGACAATGCGACTACATCGTCAGTCCAACGAATTATTAGCGCTGCGGAGATTGTTACAGCTTCCATTGACGCTGCAGTAGAGACAGATGCACCTTTAATGGTGCGATGAATGATGACACTGGACGCAGGAATAGTCTTTTCAAACTTATTCCAGTTCTGCGTACGAAGTCACGACGAAGGTATCTTTGTGTAAAGGCAACGAGGAAAACGAACGTTGTCAGCTTTTACTTATCATCATCATATGAAACTCAGCACCAGGCGTGCTGGAATGGAGTGCCATTCGGTATCATCTCGACCGCCTCTTGTTTGCACAGCTTCTAATGTTGACAGCCGCCGCTACATTTTTGACATGCTAATCTCCGTTATTGTGCTTTATTTTTGACGGCATGTTGCTCGTGTTGTCCTGACTTTCCCCGATACAGAGAGCGTTCGACTATTGGTTGGTCAACACCTTCTTCAGATTTCTTATCGATAACATTAGATCATGGGTTGTCGAAACCCTAGTACTCTACCACTGGCCAGACACTACTATTGATGGACTTTGGTATAGAGTTGAAGCCGCATAGAATGAATTACTCGTATCTGTCATCCAAGCATCATTTGTATGTAACTAGGTTATTATTATAATTATTATTATTGTTTTATTCACGTAAGATTTCCCCGTTAATTTTTTCTGGTAAACGATTCCGTTTTATTCATTTCCGGTAAACGATTCCTTTTGATTCATTTCCGTGATCGGAAGCCATCTCAGTAGCGCACTCACTCATTCACTCGATATCCAGCCGCATTACAGCCTTACTTACTGCTAGAGGTGACAGCTCTGCGTACTCTAAACCACCTGCAAATTTAATCATATTTTCCTCCCATTATACTGTACATAATAAGATTTCGCTATTCACTTTCCTTCCTCGTGTAACAGTTTTAATGTCCAGCTGTGTATATAAAAGTATGTTACTGATATTACAATAAGTTTTACTGTAATACGAGTAATAAATTAGCTAGCTCATGCGGTATCAGAAACAAATGTGTTACTATAGCACATTTTTCCCTGCATAATTCATTGGAAGTTTGGCAAACATTTTGCATCCCAAGGAACAGAGAACTGCCTAAATGCCACTAAAAGTCAAATTTGCTTGATGGATAGCAGAAAGACACACCACTTAAAGCTGAGAGGACTGAGGAACATTGCAGGGGAAAAAGAAAAACCTCTGCACTTACTCTTAAAAAATCTAAATGACATTTTCAAAAATAATCCAAAACATGTTTTACAAAATTTTTGTTCTTGTTGCCGTTCATCATTTTTTTTACTTTCAATGTAAATTAAACAGCGTACGCTAAAAGGTGAATAAAAGAATACATGCTTATTCTTAAAACTTAGCTGCTGTAACATATTTTTACTTAAAAAGATTGAAATTTCATTTAGCATGTTATGTTTGTCTTAATCTAAGCAATGCCAAATTATAAAGGAGGCTCTCCAGTGACCAAGTGAATGGGCAAATGAACTGGTTGCATGGGCGTTTTCATACTTTTCTCCAGTTGTAATGTTAGTCGGAGGAACCCCTAGAAACTCCCCCACGATGAACCCTTTTCTTTAGAAAGATAGCCGTCGAGAGATTTACCTATAGCTCTCATTAGATTAAAAGGGCTAAGTGCAAGGTTTCTTGTGGTTTTCCGTATCAGGTATTTTTTCCTTCCTTCCAACATGCCTTCATGGTGTAACGGTAGCACACTCGGCACGTATGCGATAGGTCCAGAGTCGAGTCCCGGCGAGGACATTGCTCATTTTTCATGTCTCCTGCTTCAAAATAACCTGATGTCTCTACATAATTAAATGATGCAATATATAAGGCGAATCGATATATGAAGAAAAGGCGGAAGAGGGCAATTTTATGGAAATTAAGTTCCAGCAAAGGTTAACAGATCATATTATTTTCCATTTTATCCCAATATTCATATTTTCTTACATGTTCCCTATTATCCAATATTTTCCAATAAAGTTTTATCGGTTTCAAGAGAAAATTTGACATCCTTTCTGAAGGAGACAGGAATATTTTTTATCACCGCGAAAATTCAAAACCTGCTTCGGTATGAGTTGCTTTTTTACGTGATTTTAATTGTTTTAATTGTGGTGTTGGCATTTTCTCTTTCAAATATATTTTCTATAATTTTTATTTCACCTCAAGTCGCTTCATATTAGGTTATTGATCCGAGGAATGTGCCGTATTTGCCGGCGTATAGGACACACTTTTTTTCTTTGAAAATAGGTCTGAAAAACGGAGTACGTCTTATACGTCGATACTCTGTTTTTTATTACATTAATTTCCGGAAATTTCCTCGATTCGGAGTTATGTAATTTTTTTCTTGTTTCCTTGCAGAGCTTGGGAAGATTACAGTTACATAGAGTTCAGTGAATATGCATGCGCTGTCATCGATGATCACAGCTGGGTTCGTTTAAACTTTCCAATTTTTGTGAACGACTTTTCAGTGTGTGAAATTTCTACTATTCAATTTTCTTAAATTTGTTGGCAAGATATGGCTCAAAAGCAACGCCGGTTATTGACGAAGAAAATTAAAAGATGTTCTTTCCCAGATAGACTGGGTATTTGCAGAAAGTATTACTTTGTATTTGTATTACTTCATATTTCAAATACTGTAAATTCATTATAATGATCAGTAATAAACGTTTTTTCCTTAAAAAATGTGTATAAAAAGTGGGAGCGCCGGCAAATATGGTAATTCAGGCGTAAATCGAGTTATGTTTATATTTCATATTCTTTATATTTAAATAATTCCAGTTCAATTAAACTCATTTCTATTAATAAATTTTCTATCATGAAGGAATTATCGTGGAACCTGGACGACCAGAGGGTCCTCTGAAAATTGATGACGTGCAAGCAAATTCGGTTCACCTGAGCTGGAATCCTCCTCTTGACGATGGAGGAGGAGAGATTCAAGGCTATATTATTGAAGCGAAGGATGTCCTCGATATGGATGTAAGAGTCATTTCCTCTCACTTTACCTTAATGTACTCTAATCTCCTTTTCATTCTTTTTAACTGTTATGTAGATAATCAAAATAAAGAAATTATTACAGATTAATTTATATGATTTAAAATAATTGATTATTAACACGAAATTATTTATTATTAACATTTTGCACATTGATAATCTGAAGTTATAAGGTATTTTCTCGGCCTTCTTAGCGTGCCTTCGTGGTGTAGTGGTCTACACGCTGGGCGCGTATTCCAGAAGCCCGTGATGAGCAGGCGAAGGCGTTGCTCATTTTTCCCTTCTCTTGCTTCCAAAAGAATACCTAATGTCTCTATCGTGGCGCCCGAACTAAAAGGTATTGATACATATATTGTATTGATGGATGATGGTTCTCCACACCCGGGATTTGGCGATTGGCTCCCCTAAAAAAAAAACCGAGTCTCCCTTTAAAAGGGGAAGTATATAAGGTATTTCTCTCTCCTGCTTAGCGTGCCTTCGTGGTGTAGTGGTGTGCACGCTGGGCGCGTATTCCAGAGGTCCATGGTCCGGTTCCCGGCGAAGGCGTTGCTCATTTTTCACTTCTCCTGCTTCCAAAAAATACCTGATGTCTCTACAAAGTATGAAGCATTTTATGATCAAAAGGTAATTTTTAAAACTTCGCTGAATGGTAACTTTCAAACTTTTCTTTGCTTTTTTTGGCTTTATTAAGTAAATAAATTCGTATTGACAAATTGAGCATATATTGTATTGTATGAATTCTTTTAAAAGTACGAACAAACACTAGCTAAAAATGATAAATATTGGTAATCATACCTAAAACACAAAATGTAAAGAAATGAGATTTATACATGAATATATTCGTAAAAATAAATGTTATGCATATATCAAATCATTTATTACTTTTACATTATCATTTCGAAAATTGATCATCTGGAGACTCAGAAAATACATTCTTTTTTTTTTTCTCAGGAAGAATGTTATTGTTTTTATTGAAATTAAACATGCGTAAAACACAGATTATGAAATGATTAAAAATTCAAGGCCATAGATCCCATTAGTTGCAAGTAATTTATTGGAAGAATTTATTGCGCATTGAATGTTCACATTAGTAATTCGTGAAACCTCATACCTAACAAAAGCTAATAAGCTAATAATCTGTTCTGTTATAATTTCCATATCTGAAAACTGCAGTCGACTGGTTTCGTTCCAGGTTTTCAATATTATGTGAAATAATTCTGAATAAAATATCATTTTTGTATTTATGCTCAGGTTTGTTCGTATTATGAAAAGTAAACAGAGCATGAAACTTCTGAAATTCATTATTGCTTTTTGTGTGTGTGTCTTGCAAATGAGCTATAGTATATTTGATTAAAAATGAAATTTTCAAGTTTTTTCAAATTACGTTCTCCCCCCCCCTTTCTCTCAGGTACGCAAGATGTACATCTGGTCTGAAGGACAGCAAACAGAATGTATTGTAAACGGCTTGCAAACTTCCCATATTTACCAGTTTCGAGTCTACGCAAAAAATGAGGCTGGCCGCAGTGAAGGACTGCTTAACAAGACACTCGTTCGCGTTAAAGCTATGAGCAGTAAGTGCTTATTAACTAGCTTTTGTTTGGATAAATATCAAAAAATGGTTTCAGTACCTTCATTATAGATGAAATGAATCTGATGTAAAATGACATTTGAAAAATTAGTTTATTCAGCAGCATGTAATGATAAATATTGCATGAAATTTACAAACACGTAGAATTTTTTATACAATTCAGTTACAGTAGTATTCAGACATGTTCCAATAAATTTTAAGTTCATGTAAGATGTAATTGAAAAATCAATTTATAATAACAACGAAATAATGCATCTTTGTCACCCTGTGATAAATTAACAATTAACTTACTTAACAGTTAAATTTTAGTTTCATACTATCTTCTTCCTCTCGTCGTCCACGCAGTAGTTCTCTCATTTCAGAAGTTTTATACAAACTTCGATTAAATTTTAAAATATAAGGTTTCTTATTTGCCGTTTCTGTTAATCATGATCGTTCTCCTCTTCGGAAAAAACCTAAAAGTATAAATAAAGCGAGAGTTGTTTTACTAAAGCAGATAATAAAAGGTTTGCCTATATGCTATGGCATTTCTAATTTGTTACTGACAGAAACTACTAGCAGACAAAACAAACCAAGCAGAATACAAATTGAAATAAATCAAAATCTATATATCCAGAAAACTGATTCATCATGCAATTGTGGATATTTTGAATGTAGATAATTATATATTTACTATAAACTTCAAAACTGAAGACTACGTCTGTTTGTAAAGTTGTTACATTTTTTATTCGTCGGACACCAGTTGTTACGTTATTTTCTTCCTTCACTTTCGCACGGAGTTCGTAGATTTGGAGTGAATAACGACGACACTTGATGAAATATCGAAACACACTTTATTTACCAATATTAATCAGACAGCTCCAAAATCACTTTTACAGTCGTCGAACTGTTATAAACACGCTGACGTTCAGCAACACAGCCTTCACACTGTCAGGCAATAACGGTGGAGGCAGCTTCACTGCAAAGCACCAGAGTACAGCTCCTTGACTCTGTTCGGTCGTTCTCGGAACTTCACGTACTCTCGAGATTCTCCACGCTGCAACTCGCGATGCTGTCGATGACACCAGAGCACAGCTCCCGACTTTTCGGTTCAGTCGTTCCCGGAGCTTAACACGCTTTCTCGACGATGCGCTAACCGCGATACACTACGAGACTCTTTCCGTGCACTTTCAAAGACACACTCGGCACTCGCTGCCCGGCTGTCAACTCGATCGTCTCCGCATGGACTAATTCGCTAGAGGAGACACCAACTCGATACTATACTAACTCTCCGTGTACCAGCAGGGTTTATATAGCTTTTGGCTGGTGTTCGAGAACATTCTGGGGTAAACCGGTGAGTATTCATTCCAGAAGGTTCTCCATCCGTCCATGGTATATCGACAACTTTGTCGCCAAATGTCGCCAAATGGACGATTTCTCGCCAAATGTGGCAACCAGGAAAGCTATCTCACAGGGCCTTACATTTCGTTACACTCTTATAGGAAACGAATTTCATCAATAGCACGTAATCAAGAATATGAGACGCATATTAGGTATGGTACGCATTTGGAATGTTTAGTTTAATGTTCCATATATGGAATTTTTCGTTGAAAATATTAATTATAATTGTTTTGAAATATTTAATTCCAAAAATTGCTTTTAAACTTGTTGCATAAAGTAACAGAGCAATCCGTTCCAGTTAAGTGAAAATCGTTGATTATGTAAAATCTTCATCAAACTAGGCAAATATGAAATATGGTACTGTACAGGGAAAATAAAATGCAGTACAACAGTAAAAATACATTTTTATTCTTTTCTTAGAAACAAGTATAAAATCAATAATGAAAGAAAAAAATAGTATTTAATATAATTAAAAAATTTTATTTGGAACTTCATTATGAAGAATGTATTTTAGAGTAAAATGCGAAAATTCAAAAGAAATGACATTCGATATTCCTGTTTCGAATTCATAGTAGCAACGGAAATAAAATACTCCATTACTTTTTCCTTAGTTAGAAATTCTTCCTTATTAATGTCACCGGTATCGTAAGTTAGTTGATATTCGTAATTTGCATTCAAAAGTTTTGGCTAATATAAAAGGCTCTAACAAAACTATGTAGCTAGCTTATATAGAGTAAAAAAGACTTTTCTCCTTATTTTAATTGTGCGTGGCAAATTGGAATCTAATTATTCTTCACTTGCCTCGAAGATTCATCTGACTAGCTCTTATAAAATAATGTTTCGAGCATAAAATGCCGTCCCTAAATATCTGTCCTCTCCGTAACCCTGTAGCCACTGTCTTTCACTATAAGAATTACTATGGCTCTTGAAGAGTTAAAAAAAACTCATGTGGACACCACTGGACTTCCCTGTACGGCCTATTACCGCTTATAACAAATCTGCCAAATTACAGAACACGCCAATATAAAATTCACGCATATCTTCGGAAATTTTGAATAAAAAATTCCAATTGTTTGCAGGTATGCTTAGAAATACATCTCCTTTATGATGATGGCAAAACTTTTATAGGTTTTTTGCAAAATTCGTAAAAATTACTAAAAGATACAAATTAAAAAAAGAAACTCCGAAAATAGTTGCGAATTTTATTTAGATTGAAACTAAATTTTGAATTGTGAAAGAAGGGAGCCAGTAAGTTTAATAAAAAAAAAAAAAGATGTTAAATAAATATTGTTACGAATTCTGTACATAGATAGATGATTTTAGTGCAATTACATCTGAAATTGTATTTTGCTGCGTAACGTAACGCGAAAACTCTTAACAGAAAAGCTAAGCCGCAAATCCATTTAACGTTGATTAAATGGTTATCTCGGTAATTTGGCGAGATATCGCCAAGCTGATAGCGGTTTGGGCAACTTGTTTTGTCTTCAAATTTGGCGCGAAATCGCCAAAAGATGGCGACCGTTTGGCGACATTTTGGTCCGGTCCTTGTATCACCACAATTTAATAAATGTAAATTTTTCATTATATTAGCTGTAACCGTAATTCGACCCTCATATTTGCTTTCAAGTAATTTCGAGAAGCAGAACATACTAGAAATATCTCGACAGCCTGTTGAAAACTACACAAGGCCGGAGAAAGATTCTGTCAATTGTTTAATTATTGTTGTTGCGAGTTGTTACTTCAGCATCTCCATTGGCTTTCTCTTTAGATGCGCTTTGCATTGCGTTGGTTTTAACGTTCTTAGTAGTTTAAAGTATAACTACTAATTATACTCTGTGATACTGTGAACACCTGTACTAGAATTCCAAAACTTTGAAGTGTTTCTTTTGATAAAAATATATTTTATTAATTTATCATCCGACTTGTGTGCATTCAATCTATTACGAACCCGTACGTACGCAACAATATATCGTATTCAATTAACACTCAGAAGCTAAAAGTTTGAGAACTAATTTTTTAAAAACTGCTCTTGAGATTTTTTTTTCAAAACTTGGCACTTTGGCATAATTTAAGTCGTAGAATTGAAGTATGGAAAAAAGTAGGTAAATATCGTCATTCGGCCCATAGAACTGCTCTCCCTTTTTTGTGAAGGGTATACGTACATACATATGTGTATGTACACTGCTCAAAAAAGTAAAATGGGGCAGTGCTATATCTCCCGTTCTACTGGGTCGATTCACAAAATTCAAATTGTATTCTTCATGTCTCGAAAGCGCAACTTAGGATATATATTAGATTTATATTCTTCAGAAACAACATACCAATTTTTTTCCATATTTCGATTCTACGACTCAAATTATGCCAGAATACCAAATTTTGTAAAAATCGTGCGAGTAGTTTTTAAAATATTAGCTCTCAAAATTTTAGCTCCTCAATGTTAATTGAATTTGGAGAATATTTACTAATATCTCTTTTTTTTTTTATTAAACTTTTTTTATTTTTTCTCTCACATTTCGAAATTTAGGTTCATTTCAAATAAAATTTACCCATTTTTTGTGTTTATTTTTTAAATTTCTATTTTTAAATATTTTTATAAATTTTCGAAAAAAAATTAATTGTAACCTATAAAATTTTTACCATCATCTTGAAGTAGGTGTATTTTTAAGCATATCTGCAAAAAAATTAGATTTTTTTATTCAACATTTTCTAAGATATACACGAATTTACATACATATTTTCGCGTTTTGAAATTTGGTATCTTTTTTTTGAGCGATAATAACGCCAAATGTGGTCTATGGATTTTTATTATAGTGAATTGCCACAGCTATTTTAACCTTAAATTTCAAGTAAAATTTTGCGGAGAATTATATGACATTTTCTCCCTCAAGGTTGCGTAATAAATATTTATTAATACTATATAAAAAACTATTTTTTTAATTATAGATGATATTATTCAAATTTGTAACTATTTTTTTAAATTTCTCTCTAATTTTTTTTTTTTTTATAAGAGTAAATTTTGTAAGAGTAAATTTTTACCTTCGGCGTTTTATCGTCTGATACTTTACTTCGTTTAAATCGAATTGGCTAAAACTGAGAATTTTCGTTGATGTTATTTGAATTTTATGACATTAACTGCATAATTTATTTCTAAACAAAACTGTGCTTTTGAAGTGGCTGAAAAGCGGCTGATACTATCATCCATTTTTAAAGCACAGTATATTTTATAGAAACATAAAGATTTAGAATAATCATTTTTATAAAAGTCAAATTATGATACTATAAACATACAACCCTCTAGAGACTCAATTAATGGAAGTTCAATGGTTATGTAGAAATGATCTGCAGCTATTTAATGGCTGGGTAAGTCAGCAGATTCTGTGGACAAGTAAGAATAATTATATAAACGACACCAACATTCTGGATTCAATTAACAACGAGGATACGATGTTTATTAAATGAATTTAAGAAGTTTTAAAACATAAAATATCAACTCATTTTTTATCCTAAAATGTATTTTTGTGCGTAGCGTATTTTCATTATATCCTTAAAATTCTAATTTAGAATGTAACTGTCAAGAACTGAATACTAATCATCAGTAATATAATAAGTAATTATTACGGTTATTAATAAATCCTTCTTATAAAGTAATTGCAAATATTTCAAAAAACTTTGTCTGAATGCAAACATTTTTCTATGCAAATATTTTTAATTTTATATTAATCAAGATTGCACAGCATATTACTTATCTGCACTTCAATTCTTACGGTCAGTTCTAGTAGAATTTACAAATCAATTATATTTAATTAAGGATTGGATTGGATTGGATTATTTAATTATGGCAAAGCACACGAGGGCTATCTGCCTAAAGGAAGGGATGCCTTCGTGAGGACTTTCTAATGGAAACTGGCTCGTATACACGTTACACATGGGGAAAACCACGAAAACGCCCATGCAACCAGCCCGTTTACCGGGATTCGAACCCCGGAGTGAACTACCAGTGTTCAGCGACTTTACCGCTCGGACGTTTATGGGCCTTTATGAAATGGAAGGCGATAACTTTATTTAAAATGATTGTCAGAAATATCAAGATATTTCGAAAAGTTGGATGCTTTTTAATATACTTGCGGAATGCCTAAAGAAAAAGAGCAAGAATAAAGTATAATGCCTGAAGAAAAAGAGAAGAAAAAATAAAATTTTGGGTAAAATTTAGTATTTGTATTTTTTTTTAATTTAAAACTTTTTAATCTTATGATATTTGATTCATACGATTTCAAAAATAAAAATATTGTCTAAAATATGAATAACATTTAAGAAACCAAATGTAGGATAAAATTGTGTAAAGCAATGGACACAATTGTAAAACTGTTTAAAGCAGTGTATGCAAGTCATCCTAAGTTAAAATGTCGGATTACACATCTCTTCCTCATTATATATATCCTTTCTGAATGGAACATTGAAAGGACGTGTTAACTGTGGCTTTACTGTAGTATTTTCTCTTTTTGTATATTCAGTTTTCAGATGCACCGTAGTTTGGGACATAAAGTATTCCTCCGAAAGAAATGCAATTCAAATAAATAAAATCAAATTCTGGAAAATTTATATTAATAAATATATTTAAATGCTCAGTTCGAAGGAATAAATAGAAAATTTTAAAACAATTATCTGAAGAGACAATGCAACACAAACAATTAAAATAAAAGTATAAGAATTTAAAAAATTACCTAAAATAATAACTATCACAAAAAATATATATAAAGAAAACTATTTGAAAAAAAAAAAAAATAAATAAACGCTGCACCTTTATTTACGTAGTTCGAATAGGTAAATAGAAATTTTTAAAACAGTTATTCGTAAAAAACATGCAACTTAAACAATTAAAATGAAATTCGAAAAAGTTACTTAAAATAATAAGCTATAATTAAAAATATAATATAAGGAATATCATTTGGAAAAAAGGAACGATGGTGACTTTTTTCCGTCTTTCGGGAAAGGAAACTAGGTTGCCATATATTAAGAAGTTCGACAAGTGAAATTATTCTTGGCGCAAACCTGCAAAAAAATGTGCCAACAACAAATTTGTGAATTTCTCCGTAAATTTCGCTCCAAATTTTACAAAATTTCATATTTAGGCATAATTTGAATATGGAAGTTGAAATAGAATCTGTAATATGGTAAAAAGATTGGTATGTCATTTCAGAAAAAGTCCGATTTTGTGTCAAAATACTATGTTAGAATAGTGCTATATATAAATCTAATATATATCCTAAGTCGCGCTTTTGAGACATGAAGAACGCAATTTGAATTTAGTCAATCGGCCCAGTAGAACGGGAGGTATAGCACTGTCCTTTTTTTTTTTTTTTTTTTTTTTTGAGCAGTGTACATAAAAATCCTTTCTGAATCTATTTTAAATCCGTTCTACAATTCGTGTTGGAGAAAAAAGTGCTTTGTTCTGTCCGTACCTACATCTCGCAAAAAAAGAAAAAAAAATCATCCAGATGGATTCGAGAACTGCTAAAATGGATAGTGTTACGAACTTTGTATTTAGACAGATAATTTTATTAGAATTATGATTAAAATTGTAGTATTATACTATGTAATGCAGCGCGGAACAAATTTTAAGAGAAAGCTATGCCGGAAAAGTAAGAATACATGAGCACGTGCATCTAACATATTGAGTAAATGCATATCTCGGTAGTTTATACTGAAACTGAATAAATGTAATTCAGCGCTATGTGAAGCTGTAACCGTCATTCCATCCTCGTATTGGTTTGCAGTAATTTAGAGAAGCAGAAAGTACTAGAAATTTCTCGCGGCTGATTAAAAAGTATTTAAGGCCGAAAAGAGAAAATCTGCTATCAGTTCCTTAGTTACTGTTCTTGCAAATTGTCAAATTCAGAATAGTGAACTGAGATATCCTAGTTAGCTTTTTCTTTAGATGCGCTTTGCATTGCATTGCATTGTATTTAACATTTTTAATAGTTTTGAAGTGTAACTACTGATTATACTACTATATAATACTCTGAACACTTCAGAGTTCTGAAATACTTTTTTTGATAAAAAATTAATTTTTATTAGTTTATTATTGGATTTGTGCATTCAATCTACTACGAACGCATACCGCACGTAACAATATTTCCTTTGAAATATGATACTCGAAATTTTTCGCGATTACAATACTTCCTTTTCTTTTTATAATGCAGTAAAAAATTAAGAGTACACCTTGATTGTGAAATCAACAGATCAAATCTTCTAATTCATGAGCGAAAACACTCGAGTCGACTGAGTTACACAACTTCGAAAATAGTCCTTAAAAATATCAAAATCCGATTTTATGTATGTTCAACTGATGCCAATGAATATTCGCAAACATAAATGAAAAGGTTTCATATTCATTACAGAAAAATGTTAATATTCTAAAAAATCATATCACTGAAATTTCGATTTTTACTTGCATCATTTTCCTAGACTAAAATGTCTCCTTTTCGAATAAATCAAACGACATTTTTAATTTAAAGTTTATTCCTAAGCTAAATTTTCTGAATTAATTTAGAATGAGCATATCCGAATAATCATTAAGTAATTCGATGCAAATGAGTTAAGCATGATTATTAATGATTGATTGATTGATGCGAAATTTTTTTTTTCTGTCGGCTATCATAACAAAATTTAAACAACAAGAAAACTAGTTAATAAAAAAAAACAGAACTAATTGACTTTATTATGCATTATGAACTTATGAAGTAAATTATAACGACAACATGTTTCTATCTTTATGTTCTAGAGAAGCCTCCCCGGCCTTCGCCACCAACAATCGAAATTGTGGACGACGATAGCGTGCTGTTGCGGTGGGCAGTACCATCTGGTTTTGAGAAACTGAACTATATCGTAGAGAGGTTCGAGCCTAAATCGGACTTATGGTTACAGTGCAACCGCAAAGTGATCACAGACAACGAATTCTTAGTCAGCGGCCTTCATGCAGACAAAGAGTATAAATTTCGAATCAGCAGTGAAAACGAGCAAGGCTTAAGTTTACCCAGTGAAGAATCGGAATTAGTATTTCTAAAAGGATCAGAAGGTGAGTTCTTTGAAATTAAACTGAGTATTATTGTTCTGATATTACCGGAAAATGGCTGATAGGTAGGTACACTAATACAACGAAGAATTATGAGACACAGCAATTCAATATTTCCGCTACTGGGTGTCTCTAAATGATTGGAGGGAATTCATAATGTCGGTCTGAATCTGAAAATAAGAATGTAATGCAAGTTAATCGTACAAAATGCAAAAGCATCCATGCAGAAGTTTAATATGCTCCAAGCCTGAATACTTAATGTGTTACGAAGTAGAAGCAATCAAAAGTTAGTTATTCCCCTGCCCCGTTTTATATGCTGAAGTTAGATACATTTAAATACATAGTATCTGTACCTTGACACCTCGAAACTTAAGACATAACACGGCTAAGTCAGACATAACATGGCTGAGGGCACATGACATTTAAAGGCTCTAGAAAGTTAAAACTCAATATGGGGTTAGCATGAAAGGGGAAGAAGGAAGCTCAACTGGAGAGATAAAAGATTCCAGGCGATGAGAGAAGATTGAAAAAAAAAAATGCTTATTACGAGCCAATAATATACGTCGTGAGTAATGTAATGAGTGAGATACGAATGAAAAAATACTGCGCAAACAGGCGATATGAAAAAAAACTGAACTAATAGATGAAAAATACTGTACATAATATATGAAATACAAATATAGGAATGAAATTGCATGAGAGATGAAAATACTATGTACAACATAGTCATACAAAGAATAGGTAGTAGTCAAGTAAATACCTGAGGTTCATTCCGGTTACAAAATTGTGGTCATGGTGGAAATAGTGACAAAGAGCCTCCTTAACCTGTTTTTTAGCAGTATCTGTGGATCTTCGGGCATCCAAAAAATTTTCTTGGTCCTATTCTAATGCTTTATTAAAGAAGTGCTCATTAAATTTTGAAATATAATCCGAGATAACTTCAATTTTAAGATTCTGATGAACAAGCTTATTTCTGACCAGATAATATACATTCACCATTGTTTGGATAATCTTTTATTGCGTGACTTGCAATTTTTTGAACTCTGTATCTGTCACTGAAACCCAAACGGAAGCTTAACAGAGGATGGTTTTGGTTTCAGAGATAAAAATCATTATTTTCTGCTAAACTTTACCCCAGAGAGACTGTCAAGAAGGGAATAAAATTGGAAAATAAGTTGGCAATGCCGCTGGTTTCCCCCGTGACCTGTCTGATGTGACTGACCTGATGAGTCAGTAATTGAGCACTATCCCTAGATAACACAGTAACTCTACAATGTGCATTTATAAATTATAAACTCCTCTATTGACCAGTATTCTTGAAAAGAAAACCAGAATGATTTCCGCTACGAAATTCATTACTGGACAGCTTGACCAAGGTGTGGCAGTAAGTAAAGAATTGCCCAGGCGACTGCTGTCTCATGAAGATGATGGTTTTATTATGCGCTGTGCAACATAAAAAGGGGCGTTTTTTCAATCTCTACATTTATTGGTCTTTTATATAAAAGACAAATGAAATTGTTGCTATTTTAAACCCAACAATCATTTTCAAACATCTGCTACTATTTTTGAAAACATTAATAAGTCGACCGACATTTAATCTATCTCGTTATTATATTTTTACTATTATTATTTATATATTTTTACTGTTATATATATATATACTGTTTTTGAAATAATTTTATCAACTTAAAAACTGCAAAATTTATTTTTTGCTTCCAACGCTAGTGAGATGTTTTTACACCAAAATAAAAGTTAAAAGATATGCAAAGTGATTAGAAATATCTGTTTTTGTCGAAATTATTGGCCAGTAAGTAAAACGTCTAGCTCAATAATTTATAATCAAAATAAATTAGCACCAATATTTACTTCATTCTTTTCTTTCCAATTCCAGAAAATGACGTAAAAACGTTTTGACTTCATGATAGGGGCTAGCACATAATATCAGCCCTTCCTTGCGGTTAACTGACTAATATAGAAAAACAATTCGGTATATATGAAATGATTTCCTGTTCGAATGAATGAAATAGAGAAATTAGATTTTGGAATAATGGTAAGTTGCTACATAATTCCTTCCATCCGAATATTTGTTATAATCGTTTTAAACAGCTGAAGTACATTTTTTAAGAATTTAGCATCTATACTGACACACTAGATTAAAGCTATATGCATGTAGTAGCCATTATGATGCAATAAGATAGATGACTTAAAGCACGAAAAAGGATTGAATTATGTGTCAACAAACTGAGGACTTTGAAACCTTTGTTGCATAAAATGTTCATTGAAGAGCCTAGAACATATCAGAAAACATCTGTCTTCAGAGTTTAAATTTTATTAAATTTGATTTTCATCTAAGATCCGTCGTGCTAAAAGCTGTGGTTACACTTCCATCAAATATGCTTCAGATAGCACAGATACGTTCGGCATCGTCTGGACGTTTGTGGTGAAACCAACGGTCCACATATTTAAATCTGAGATGATTACAGTAATTAAAAAACTAAAAAACTGTCTTATTATCTTTAAACCTGGGCTAATTATAAATTTCTGAAACAAGCATTTTCCAGATATAATTTAGGTATTATAATTTTTTTTCCATTGAACATCTTTTATACAGATAATAAGCAGCATAGTGAAAACATACTTGTATATGACATTATATTAACTACCAAAGTTTTATTTAAGCTTATTTAAAGAACCATATACCATGGAAATCTATTCAACAAGGTTTTTTCTCCCGCTTTATATAGGAGAAGCTCCGAGTGTTATCCTTCACCTTACAGACACCTGCATTTCAGAAGGAGAAGATGCTTTCCTTCATTGTAAATATACTGGAACATCTCCGATTCAAGTCACATGGTAAATAAAACTTCCTTTCATTTAAACATTTTTGCAGAAAGATACATATAAAAATCTGAAAATATTTTGAATTTCCTGCTATAATTTTATATAAAAAGTTCTATACGTCCATCAAACAAACTTATTTCACTCCACTTTATAAAATAAAGAAAATAAAGAAATCTGATATAATTCTATAAATGGCTAAGTATTAGTATTTTTAAACTGTATGCGTGAATGTTTTTAGAAATGTAATAAATTTCATCCTAATTCTTGTTACACTGTTGGCACTCGAAAAAGCGTATCGAATTATCTTACTTTTAAGAATGATTTTATTAATAAAAGGGGAAAAAAGAAAAGATCTGAAAAATTTAATCTGAAAGGTTTCAGATTTTAAATTACGTCCAAAGGGGCGTTTTTTTAACATTTTGTTTGTCATCTTTATTTATTAAATATCATGTTCTTCGCACTTAAACCATAAAATTGAGTTCAAGAGCAATATCGCAAAATAATTTTAAATTGAGCATATCTTTATAATTTCCGATACACAATCTCATTCGTTGGAGATCAAAATATTTTTTCTGTACAACATTGCCATTGCTTGCTTTGAAATCCTTCAGTTTTTTAATCAAAAATTCGTTAAAATTTTACAAAATAGGAAATGGATAATAAAACAAATTCCAAATTTCAAAGTTTTATCACAATGCAAGAAACAAACATATATTTATCAGATTCTTCATTATTTAATTTCTTAAAATATAATACAGGGCGATAATATTGGGTGGCAATAGTCTGAAAAGTGAAACGGACATTCAGAGTGGTTCGACGCAAAATCGCAAAACGAAAACAATAGTCCCTCAGGGAGAAAGCACCTTTGGACTAAAAAGGAAAGCATTCTTTTAACAGTTATTTAACTATGACAAAATACTAAACTAATATCTTAACAAAATGAGAATAATTTTAATAATTAGGTATACTACTTATATATTTATTCTGTATACTCTAAACCGACAATAACGAATATCATTGTTAGATTGGCTACAACTTTTTTGGAGGGTCTTTCAAGTTGACATAAGCTTTTAACAAGAACTGATGTGAATTTTGTTTTTATAATTTATAAAATTTGTCACAATTGCTTCATTATAAATGTAAAAATTCACACAAGGTTTTTCATATAGAGTGCTGTGTGCCATCGGAAAAGCAATTTTAAATACTGAATAGCAGGGAGACACGACACACGCTGACGGTCTCATTCTAAAGCAATTGCGGCAAAGATAAAAGCCACAGTTTACAAAAATGAATATATAGAAAACTCTGTAGAAAGATTTTAAGAGAACTGAAGATGATAAAATTTCGTGGAAAACGATATCGTCTTACTTCTAATTTCGGTTGGGGACTAGGAATTCATTTAAAAAGAACAACTTTCAATATCAACATTGTTTCAATACACACTTTTATCCTTAAATATTTGTATGTATTAGTGTATATGAAATGACGTACCACAAAATCAAGGGACAATGTGCATCTTTCTTTGTTCTTAAGCACCATTAAATTAAATAAAATCTTAAACATGATATCATACTGTGTAATTCAGTGAACGTTTTCCGGGCTTTAATTTTGTTATTTGATTTCCAGTTTTATCCAAATTTTCTCTTATTTGGAGAAGCAATAGTCTACATTTCTTCGGACAGTCGAGGCATACTGAACTTCCTCTGTAAATCAATGAACATATGGCTTATTTTACTAAATGGGCTGCTTTCATCGCATACTACTAATATGATAAATGTTTTGTGTGCCAGCATTAGAGAAAAAGATGGATATCGTTAAAATTAATTCGAATTGTTAACAAATGAATTTGATTTTTATCGATGATAATGATGATGAGGACGAATCATATTAAGACTTTGCTTGTTCTTGTGTTAGGTGGAAAGACAACATTCGCGTACGCGAAGGATTTAGCGTCATGGAAGGAGAATCTACACTGAAGTTACAGGGAATAGATGATGATTACTCCATCCGCTGTGAGCTGAGGAATGAATGGGGAAAAGCATCAACGGAAGCCAAGATTCAAATTATGAGTAAATCTCAATATTCATTTTATAACTTATACGCCATATCTCGATCGATAATTAAAAAAAAAAAAAAAAAAAAAAAAAAAAAATTCTTAACAAATGAGAAAATAGGACAGGAGCAGAGTAGAAGACGTTTTATAAAAATTTTAACCTCAGATTAATGCTATTTTTATTGAAAATTTCTACCAATTTTGAGAGAGTGGTACAAGCCTTTTTTCTTTAAAGAAGCAAAATTATTCTGAGCTATTTTCCGGGGCTTTCAGATTTTATATTACGCCCAAAAGGTTGTTTTTTCAACGTTTCATGTGTTAACTTTATTTATTTAATAGCATGTTCTTCGCACTTTAAACCATAAAATTCAATTCAACAGCAATGTCACACAAAAAAAAGAAACCTCTCGGATAAAATATCCGTACGATCCGTATGCACGCGATGTTAATGTTAATGGAACGGTTTGAAAGCGTTGAGCTTGTTAATCAAAAATTCGTTAAAGTTTTACAAAATAAGAAATAGATCAATGGTTCCCAACCCTATGCCCGCGGGCACCATGGCGCCTGCCTATCTTTTAACATGTGCCCGCTGCGATCATAATAAAATATGCGATCACAATAAAAATGTTTTAGTTTTTAATAAAAATCTATGTGAAAATTTTCTCATTTTTAATGAAACAGAAATTGCGTCCATCACAGATACCAGCACAAAGCGAAATGCAGCCGATCTCTTGTTTTTATGTGCATGTATTACTAATACTATCCAACTGTAAATTCACATTGAAAAGATAAATGGTCATTCACATTGAAAAGCCCGCCGTCCAATAGATATTCTAGAATGTGCTCTTAGGGACAAAAATGTTGGAAAGAAAGAGGAAATAAAAGTTATTCTGCCACCTGTTGGACAAGATAGAAAAGAGTGATTTAAAATTAGATAAGGTTTTTTAATTGTCATTGGAAAAAATAAAACTCACTCCAGTCTAAGGTTCAGTTTTCCCTAATTTTAAAATACAAATTTACGTGTATCAGTTAGTGATAATTTTTTCCGTATTTTGAATTTAAAATATTAAACGAATATTTTAGGAATCTTTTGAGAATCAAAGTTAATGATATCAACCCTGCTAAAAATGCCCCGTAGAAACCCATAAAATTTTTACGGGGAATTGGCCTACGGGTACCCGTACAGCTCTGTGGGTACCCGTAGGCCAAATCCCCGTAAAAACCCACAGACAGAAAACCCGTACAACTGTACGGGTACCCGTAGGCCAAATCCCCGTAAACACCCATAGAAAGAAACCCGTACGGTTGTACGGGTACCCGTAGGCCAAATCCCCGTAAAAACCCATAGAAAGAAACCCGTACAGTTGTACGGTACCCGTAGGTCCAAATCCCCGTAAAAACCCATAAAAAGAAACCTGTAAACGTATCCGTAACGGGTACCCATAGGCTGAATCCCCGTAAAAACCCATAGAAAGAAACCTGCACAGCTGTACGGGTGTTGGTACCCTGTAGGCAAATACCCGTAAAAAAACCTGTAAACAGAAACCCGTACGACTGTACGGTTACGAGTAGGCCAAATCTCTGTAGAAACTGTAGGCACTATAAACAAAATCCCAGTAAAAAACCATAGCCAAAAATCAGAACTTTAAATGCATATTCCATTGGCCAAATTTCCATTAAAAAAATGGATATTCCGTAGGTCTATGCCTTGTAAAAACCAGTAGAACAAAAGCATGTACACCTATACAGGCACCCATACGCCAAATCCTGTAAAAACCTACTACACAAAAATCCACAGACCAATAAAGGTACCTCTTGGAAAAATCGCTGCACAAAACCCATAAACAAAGAACCAATAGCATTATACCATAGTGGAGTAATCCATACATAGAATCGTACATAGAACGGGTATCCATATACAGAATCCCTATAAAAAACAATACACAAAAATAGAACTGTAAATCAAATTTCCATAAAAACATAAACCAGCAGAAATACATAATTAGCACTGATGAAATGTACAGAACTAAATTGGCAGAGAAAGCATGTAAAGTAATTTTAAATAAAACTCAATGCGAATAAATAAAAATTTTAAAATATCTAGAAGCCTACGAGCCCGTCCTTCTTAATGCATGTCAATATCTATAAACATATTACAAAATATTTGTTTTGTATAAATTCTCTTTACAAAATTTTTAAACTACCTTTATATAATTCTGAAAATAAAATGAATAGAAAGATAATAACCAAAGTCATGATTCACAACCATCGAATGATATATATATGTAAGAAAAATAAGGAATATGCAAAAGATTAAATTAGCAGCGTAAAATTAATTTTCCTTCTCTATTCTAAAAACAGTAATCTTTCTGCACTGCATCATTTGGAGATTAATTCATGTCATATGACTCTTACATAATTTGATGTTGTAAAAGAAACTAAAACTCAAACAGCCAATAGTAATTTTACAGCAGTATTAACTATCAAAGACGAGTAAAAATGCATCGAGAACCAAAATTAACTCGGTCTGAATTAAGATTTCACCCTTAATGTAACGCATTTGCTTTTTACGCTTTGTATTAGCTGGATTGCAGTCTGTCTGCTCCTTGTTTCTTACTACACATTTATCAAAAATGTTAATTTTTGGAATAGGCATAAATAATGTGCCAACTTGTTTGTGGCTGCAACATATTTGCTGAAAGAAAAGTTGAATTAAATCTACCTCGACTGCCAAATTTCTTATTCATTGTGGATTGGAGTTTCAACATCTAAGCCATCAAAATTCTTGCTGTTCATTACGGATTCAGCTGCTTGTATTCGACTACAGAATCTATTACATATATATATAATATCATTTCATTTGATGGTTGCGGATCATTACTTTGACTGTATATATATTATTGATTTCATTATAAATATATACATATAGTACTGTACCTCACTGCATATATTTGTATTTCAGTTCTTTAATTGGGAAATTAAACAATTGTATTTAATCACATCAGCTTGTTTAACAATTTGATACCTAATGAGAAATGTATTGCCAAAGGATGGTACTTTCTAGCATCTGCTTAAATTTTAAGTTACCTACAATGCACTAAACCAAATTAAAAAACAAAACTAGAAGAAACCCAAATTTTCAGGAAGAGAAACATTATTAACAAGCAAGCAAAAAGGATACGGGACTTGCAAATTAGCAAGTATGCTAAATTTGAAATCTGTTATCCCCTTAAAGCTCGCTTACCAATGATAGTAACATAACACCCTGCAGCTTATTATAACATGCATACACATAGATGTTTTGCGTGGAAGAAAGGATGAATCCAAGAATATAATGTAGTGAAGAAATAATAATATACAAACACTGTGCCGACCCCTTATTACAATACTTTGAATGTTACCTGTATCTCTCAAAAGATAAATGAAACATGAAGATAACATATAATAAACTTAATGTACCCAAAATACAATAAATTATATTGTAACAAAATGAATTTTAAAAAATTTACAAGTTTCAACAAATACCAATTCTCAACGCACAGTTCGGGAATTAAGAAAATATCTCATAGCGTATAATGTTTTATTCCGTATCTCACTTTTAGTGCTATATAATCTTCCACAGATTTTATATAAATAAAATCTATTTTATGTAAATAAAATCTATAACATAATGGGTATTTATAGTATATGTAGTTCTTGATGTAAAAAAGATGAACTTTCGTACTGTAAAAATTCCATCTATGTGAATAAGTATGAATATACTCATATACACATAATTATACTAAATAACTAATTTAATGAAACTAAATTCCTATAGAAAATGGGGAAAGTGTAGAATCGCCCACTGCTTGGCGTGTTTTTAAGAATTGCACATACTCGGTATCCATGTACACATCGACCCATTTTCACTTAAAAAAAACATCTCAGAATTGCACAAAAATGCCATTGTGCACTCCTTTGACTTTATTCATGTACACATCAACCTATTTTCACTTTAAAAGTCAAAAGAAAATTGACAAAAATCCAATTCCTTTTACTTTTGTACAAAGTGCCAAATAAATAAGTGGGCGATTCTGCACTTTACCCGAAAAAATATATAAAAATACATTTACCTATATATATTAATAATTTATTATTACACAAGGTTTTTCATATATCATCATCTCAAAGGGAACATAAATTTAATTAAAGCGATGCATTATTGGAATAAATTTGAGTCAGTGTTTTAGGTGCAAGTTATTTAGATTTCTATTGTAGAAAGAATACTTGAAGTAATGTATAGAAATATTATTTTGAACCATAAAAATTCTCAATAGTAAAATTTAAAGTACTGAAAAGGTAGCTATTGTTTTTGACAGTAGATTATATAATATAAAAATACCTCATGCTGAGCATTTTCTGAAATTACAATGCTAAATGAAATTTATGTAGTGCAGTATTTAGCAATAATAACTTTTTGTAAACAAATGTGGCTATATTCGCTTAGTTGTAATAACAGTAATTTTAACTGCATTTGTATAAGGCTGTACAGAAGATTTATTTATATGAGTTTTCATCCCCAGAGAACAACCGGATTCCCTGTGGAAGTGATTCCGAAAATAATGTTTAAATATTACTCTAACTATATTTGAAAGCAATGCTATAACAGTGCCCTTATAAGACTCATGATCCAAAAAGCTTTGGTTTTAAATGTCTCGTAAAAACTTTCAATTACTTCTGCAAAATTCATACCCACGTAAAAATTACTACACCGAAGTCAATTGATTATACAGCAAAACGTTCCAAAAACAATCAACTCCACAATTCAAGATAATGCCAGTTTCCTGTAGCCTGACAAAACTATGAATGATTTTTAAGTCCTGTTATTTAATTATTGTCCTGACAAATGTGCCATTATCAGAGGTGGTCATTTAAGAAAATAACCACTATATGAGGTTTCAACTAAATGTAATTTTTTTCAAATAAATAATTCACGTTTTATACTCCCAAGACTAGTACATTTAATATTACATAAATCTTATTCACAAATCTATTTCTATTTCAAAAGCAATTTATGAAAAACACATTTGAAATTCTTCATCAAACTAATAATAATGAAAATTAAAGTATGCATAAAAATGATTATATGTGTTTTAACAAAATAGCACAAAATATTTAATGTAAAAATGTGGTTCTAGTCTCATACTTGTAAAGAAAAATAGACCAAAAAGAAAAAACAATCTAAGCTACTATGATCATCTAAATTTTCACATAATTTTAGTAGTGGAAAAAAGATTCCTTAAGCTTGTATGTCTTGTCTACCCCATTCAATAAGTAATAAACACATTAAATACTTCAATGTTTATTTCATTAATAAAACTTACCTTTTTTGCTCGCGAAATATAATTAGTACATTTTTTAAAACATAAAAAAACATTCTTTTTGCTCGGCCACATCATATTAGTCGAAAAATTCAAAATTGAATCATGCAAGATCATTTTTAAGTAAGGTATGCTCAAATTTATTAGTACATAATATTCAAATGATAAAGCATCTACATGAACAAGCTTTAAAAAGTATTTCTAAACTGTAATCAAAAAATAAATTTTCCAAAATACAGTTTCAGTAGAATGCAAAAACTACATTTCTGCATCTGCACACTGAAACAAATTATCAAGCCTGAAATTATCACTTTTCAGTCTTTAAGCACATTGTTTTTCAGGATAAAAGTAAAGATGGAAAATCAATTTCACGCTCAGAAACTCCATTTCACAACTAGTCAGTTATCAGCAACGTTCTCTCAAACATTAGACACGATTACACGTGCATGGCTTTAGTGGTATATTCATGGTCAGTGCTGGTATTTTATTATTTATTACTAATTTCTAAACAGTAAAACATAGTAAAATTTGTAATACAGTAAATCCATAGTAAATAATATATTGCATTACTACAACCACGAAGAAATAACACCACCATCGCACAACAATAAACTAGAGCGGCGCCATATTGCTTTGTTTGGAAGAAAAACTTCTGAGAGTGGGGGAGGGAGGGGGAATTTTTTTCCTCACGTCAGCGTTAACAGGGAGAAAAGTTTTGCGATTGTGAATGAACTTGTTCGCGTTAAAGAGATGTTGGTTTGATACCGGTGTTTATTTGTAATTCAGAAATGTTAAGTGCTTATGTGTGTGTATTCAGAGAACCAACTCGTAGCAAAAACCATCTCCCTAAGACGACCGCCTCTGAAAGAGACCAATATTTCTGAAAACATAAGTATACTTTGGTATTGAATATTCCCTCTGTAAGGCGATCATTCACAAAGAAAATTCTGCAAGTGTGTCTGGTCGCCTTAGAGAGATTCATTCCGTAGATGCAATCTCCCTAAGACGACCACCTCTAAAAGATAAACGTATCTCTGAGAACGTGAGTATCTATTGGTATTGAGCATCACCTCTCTAAGGCGACAACTTGCAAAGATGAATTTTTATTTGCGGCTGGTCGCCTTGGAGAGACCTCGTTGTGTGTGGTGTATATGATTACTGTTATTGTTTCCGAAAAAAAATTTAAATAAAAAAAATAGCATATTTAATAAAAACTCTCTCTAAAACGACCACCTGCGTTTACAGGTTACTCTGGTGGTCTTAAAGAGATCATATTTTCATTATGTTAATTTTATTGTTTACAAGAAGTATATTAACGTCAGATAAAAAAATAGCACAAACCCATATAAACCAACAGAAGATTTATTCTTATATTGATACCAGTAAGAAAACCAGCAAAAGTCAATATAAACCTATACAAACAAGTACAAAGTTCTGCCATTGAATGTTGGTTGTATGGGTGTCAATTGATACCAGTAAGAAAAACCCACAGAGATCAATAGAAACCAGTAAAAGTCAATAGAGACCATCAAAAATTTTATAGGTACCAGTAGAAAGTTTTACTGGTTTCTATGGGTCATTTTGAAACCAGTAAAAAAAACCCACAGAGACCAACAGAAACCAGTAGAAGTCAATAAAAACCCATAAAATCTTATGGGTACCCATAAAAAGTTTTACTGGTTTCTATGGGGCATTTTTAGTAGGGAACACTCGTCTTAAGTATTCGCAAAAAAGCATAATGTAATTAAAACTGTGAATATTTTTAAATTTATTTTTATACAAGATGTTTGACAATTTTTAGATAAATTAATGTTTTTGTCTTTGAATTTTTTAACCGAATATTCATTCAATCAATTAAAACCTCTTATTCGCTTGAGATAAAATAAAGATGATATTTTCAGAGGAAAAAAATGAAAAACGTTTTTACCTTTCTCGGCGTTTTTCCGTGAGTCTACGATAAAGGTCTTTAAATGCAAACTTGTTAAATCCATATCTACCAGAAGACGTCAATAACGACAAATCAAATGTATAACAATCCAAAGTAAAATCATTACTTTCTCCGCTTATCTGAATGTATATTTAGGTCATTAACAAAGTAACGGATTTTTGAAATTTTCATTGAAGTGGTTGAGACAAAAGACACAGAGATAAAGATAAACGCTTTTTTGAAGACAAAATCACAAACTATATGATATATGATGACTTATATGATTCCTTACAACAGTCTTGTCTTCTTCAAGCGTTATTATAAGAAATAATCAGGAGTATTTTTTTAACATTTTGCGTAGAAAGGTAACATTTTCTCTTTCTGTTTAATTATACAAAAATTATTATTTCTGAAATGACATTCATTAAATTATCATTTAAAATAGAATAATTATGAGCATTAGACCACTTCAATATTTTCTGTGCTAACCTTTTCCCGTGGGCTATAGGGGCCAATTTCGAACGTATTATGGCCATTTAGTCACTTATTTTAAATGATAGAAACAGAAAAACAAATCTACAGTGTCTTGCACTTCCTAATGCATATTAAGGAGTAAAATTTAAATCTCCATAGTTTACTGAAATTTCTTGAGATACATTTATAGTGAAAGTGCGGGACATATATGTTCCAGCCCCCTGGAAAAGGCTAATTGACCTTTGTACATCTTTAATATAAATAACCCTTGATATATGGAAATTTATATTTAAATGTCCGTGCATTTAACTCTTACTTAATTTCAGCTGCTCCTAAAATTACGATACCAGTATCCTACAAAGAAGGTTTAACATATGAAACAGGGGACACTCTTCGCCTCAAGGTCAGCTACAGTGGAACTCCTACCCCGACAATAAGCTGGTTATTGAACGAGAAAATTCGAGAAGCAGATGAACGATGTTATGTATCATTGTTACATGATGTCATTCAAATTCAGATCCGAGAAATATGTGGAAAAGACGCCGGCCACTATACTTTTGTTGCTTCTAATAAGATAGGAGAAGATACCGTTGTTGTGCCTGTCATTGTTTTAGGTAAATATCTTTTCAAGTACACTAAGTTGTTACCTTTGGGAAACGTACGTTTTTAAAGTAAAACGTATAATTTTATTGGGTTTAAGAAAATCTTTTATACTGCTAGTGTTCCACTTCAGAGAAAAAAATAATTTTATTCAAAATATATGATATTTACAACGACCATCTTTATTACATAAAAGGTGACGTGGGAAAATATTGAAAGAAAATAGTATCTCAGAATACTATCTCAGAACTGTCTCATATAAAGAGTGAGGCTAGATTAACTCGAATTTTAATCACGTGATGCGACGCCACAAAATGTAAACAGTTAGGTGTTAGAAAACGTAAAGTCACATCTTTTTTGCTATAAGAATTGATAGCAAACATTTTATTTCGTCGTTTGATTATCAGCAATTTGTCATATTTTTTTAACTGGTGTCTTTGTTCAAGCATTGTAGCTTGTTAAGGATAACAAATAAGATAAAAAAACTGATATTTTTACCTAGAATGAAATACAAATAATTGCTTTAAGTAAAAAAGGTAATATTTCAGATGGAATTATTTAAAAGAATAGGTAGAAATATATAACCAAAGAAGGAATATTTGAACTGGGCAAAAGTATCGGTAGTCGCAGCCTACCAAAAGTCAAACTGCTAGAGGTAAGAAAAGATCTGCAACAGCATGCTTTTATAAGAAAATTAAAAAACTATATTGAAGTAGCAAAATGATATGGTCTCTGATGATTAAAAGTAATCAATTTTAAAATGCTTTACTCGATTTCAAACTTTTGGATTAAACGCTAGAATTCCAAGGGAAAAAATATGTTTGTTTCTGAAACAAATATGTAAGAAATTTTCTGCCTCCTCACCGCGTGTCATCGGAGTGTAACTGGAAGCAGATCTAGCTGGCAATCGGAAGGTTAGAGCGCCAAGTTCCGGAGAAGGCATTTCTGATTTCTTTTGTTTTCTTCTATGAAATAAACCTGATGAATTATAAAGTGGCCGCATTAAAATTTATTAAAGAACCCTACAACTTAATGAAATTCATTAAAAAATAATACCAGAAATTAATTTTGAATATCTGAGCATAAGTTACGGTTTATTCGTATTTTAATTTGTGAATTAGTCACTTACAAATTAGGGAATTTGTGAATTAGTGTTTAGTAAATTACACATGTTAAAATGTGTTTGGCAAAAATGTAGAGGCAAGTAGAAAAGATTGAAATAAGCACATTTTACAAAATTTTCACAGGACTAGTTTCGATGGTTTTACCGAACCACCATCCTCAGCCGCAAAAAAAATTTTTTTTGGGGTTTTGCAGCTGAGGATGGTGGTTTGGTAAAACCATCGAAACTAGTCCTGTGAAAATTTTGTAAATATAACGCTGATTTTTGTTGTTTGACTTCTGAATTAGTATTTATTCGACGTGTTATTGTGTCTTAAGCACATTTTATAATGGAATTTGTACGTGAAAATGGTATAAGGCACTATTGAGCGATAGGTAAAGGCATTTTGAAGGCGTAAATCGTCATTTCTAGCCTGACGTTTGAGCGATACGAATGCTGAACTCGCGACACGAATGCTAAACTCGCCGATGTAGATTTTATCTTTGGGGAGGAACAATTACAACTCGAAGGAGGGTTTCTAGAAAGGACCAATGGACTTCCAGTAATATTCTCTGTTTTGTCCTGACCTTTGCTGAGCTTACGGCAAGATGGTTGAAAATGTTTTGCAGCCCATTTGCCTCCACAAAATAATTTAATGATTGTGGATTTTTTGTGGAAATTCCTAAATTAGATCAAATACAAGTAGTATTTGTGAAAATTTCGTCATGTAGGTCAAATAATTTGAAAGAAATAGAAATAAATATTGGCTATTGCGAAACAAATTCGAAAATTTTTTATTTATTATATTAAATAAACTTTATTAATTATATCTATTTGAGCGAAGGTTTCGGAAGTTGATTTTAGAGCGTGTTATGCCTGCTTAAAGGTTACGTTGTTACCTTGACTTAATATCGATTTGATTCTCTTGCGATGAATAGGTCTAGCCAATTAGGCTTGTCGCGCCTGCTTCTACGAGCCAGAGCCTTCCTACGTGTTAAATTAACCTGTGAGTCGTTAGGCAAGTTTAATTACATTTTATTTTAAGTTCAACATTACTTGTTTAAGTTGAGCCAAAAGTATGTAGTAGTAATTACTGTATTATTACAACTTTACTTAAATTGTAATTAATTAACAATTTGTTTAAGTTTTTGTTCTAATTATGTATTATTACAACATTACTTGTTTAAGTTGAGCCAGAAGTATGTAGTGGGCTTTTGCAAAGCCAAGTGGGGTCGACTCTGAAATCTTTGTGGTCGAACAAATGGGTGATTTACACCCTTCTTCTGACTTTATCCGTCTGCTGTTAAGACCAGAGGATAATTCCTCAACAGTCTTTCTACAGCTCGTTAGTTTATGTTACTAAAGAATACGATACTCTATGAGAGTATTTCCCGAATACCTTGTTTGAGCAGTTGTTCCTTTTCCGCCTGCAGCCCTATACTTAAAATGCATCTTGGCAGGTTTCACGTTCAAGTAGTGATGCCAACCACTCGAAATTCGCACTGGCAATCACTATTAACGCCAAAAAAACTCTTTTGTCTACTTCTCGTCAGGGCTCTTTAACACCTCAAAGTGTCATTTCAGCACACACCTTCCATTACAGTGCTTATTTCAAGTTTCACCACTTGCCTTTACGTTTTTGCCAGATATTTCTAGATCACACTATATAGTTAAAAGAACAAATAAAAAAAGCAGATAACTTCGTTTTTATTACAGTTGTTTAGATATTCTTTTAACATTATCCCCCCAACAGCCTATACAATATGTTAATATTGTATAATAGAAAATATTAGTAGTCATTTATTAGTTATCTTTATCTAAATGAAAAACTTATCCTCTGAAAGTTTTCTGTTGGAAATGCTTAAGTCAATATGACACATATCTTTGTTTATCAGTATCAGTAACATCACTTCATTCCTAATCCCTTAAATTCGAGCTAGAATAATTCCTGATAACTGTATGCCCTAAATCTTTACCTAGTATATACTAAATTAAGTACTAAGAGGATCAAAATAAATCAGCCTTTAACGAAACAGTCAACAAAATTTCTTCCTGAATTCACCTCGTACTTAAATTAGCAAAGTGTGTCAAAGGTACTTATGTAATTGTTAATATGTAGTGGAGGTATCTATGAGCACTCGAAATGGTAGTCACTTAATAACTCAATTAATGTTCGATTATATTTTAAACTTTTCGTGCTTTCCTCTGCATGATGTTAAAATTGCATATTTCTGATTAGTCGGTTGGTTTAGTTGATTATGATAAACCACACTAGGACTACCTGCCTTACCTGGAGAGGGATACTTTCGTGGAAGTTTTTCTAGGGGAAACTGGCTTGTTCAGATGTTACGCATGGTGAAAACTACAAAACTGCCCATGCAGCCAGCCCATTTGCCTGAAATTGAACCCAGGCCGGAACTATCAGTGTTCAGCGATTATGTCGCTCAGCCGCTGATGGGCGTATACTTCTGAAATAAGTAATGTGATTCAGAAAATGATAAGTGAGAATAATAAGATATTTAAAATATTCTTAGTTATGTTTACTTAAATAGACAACATATACAGTTCACACTGCATAAGTTTCTAATTGGTAACACATGTTTGAAACAAAATTAATTGTATTGTAATCAGGGTGCGTCAGAAAATGTATACACACTTTAAACTATGGTAGAAAATTTATTTTCCAATCTACAAGGTTAAATATCTGTGAAAAGTAAGGTTATATTCCACTTTGAAAAATAAGTTTATTTTCTGGTCAAAGTGAATGACCCAAATGGTGTTTAAAGTAAACGTTCAAAATGGTAGCTTTCAGCGTCGAATTATTTCTGAGTATGAGTCACTAATTCCGCACTTCGCACCAAAGTGTCCAATGGGATTTCTGCGCTTATCGCTTGAATCTCATCCCAAAGTGTGTCAAGGTTACGTGTTTTGCGACAATACACCTTATCTTTTACTGTGCCCTATAAAAAAATCGAGCGGTGTAAGGTCTAGAAAGCGTGCAGGAAACTCGATTGGTCCCCTGCGTCCTGTCCACCTAACTTGGTACATTATCACTCCCCACTAGCAATTACACTTTCATTCATCACTTTTCATTTCTCTGATTTTTTTGTGAACGTTGAAGCACTTCCAGCATTGTAACTGAGGAATCATCACATGTAGCCGTAAGAGGTTGTCCTAACAGGTCTTTGTGCACATCACACCTGTTGCATAAACCTGCAATGTTTCTTGTAGAAATGTAATTATTAGCCTTAAAGGTGGGTCAGTCCCGTGCTCACATCTCCACCGTCTCTGAACCGCAGAAACATTCTCAAACGTCCAGTACCACTCCGCTCATGAAAGCTCAAACGTATGCCCTCCATATGCATGTTACTCTTTTAGAACTAACTGGGTTGCACAACTAGGTCGGCGACTTTGCTGCCACCTGTCAAGAAACATAATATTACGTGTTCTTATAAATTTAACCTTGCAAATAAATTTTCTACGTGAGTTCAAAGTACGTATAGAGTTTTCTGACGCACGCTGTATTGTCATATACCTGATTTCTGTAAAAGAGACGCAAATTATGTTTCAGTATTTTTTTACTTCCAATACTAATTATTTTAGGTCCACCTGATCCTCCAGCTGGCCAACCAGTATTAGAGTTGCTCGAAGGAAGCCAAGCAACGCTTAGCTGGAAACCACCTTCACGTGATGGAGGCAGTTCTCTTTTCAGCTATATCATTGAAAAAAGAATGGTAAAAAAAAAAAAAAAAAAAAAAAAAAAAAAAAAAAAAACTATTTACAAATATCTGCATAATTTAACTTCAAATTTGAAGATAATTATGGTTTACACACTACAGTTGGATTTCCCATGCGATAATAAATTCGTAACACATATTATAAAATCCAGACATTTTACATATTTTGCAAAATAAGCATATTATATTTTTATAATTATTTAAAATTGTTATCAGAGTGGTAGTCTAGTGAGCAAAGTGTACTTCTGAAGTCTATGGAAGACCATGAGACTATTACATTTAATGTGGTTCGTCACTCCCCGAAATATTAAAGTCCATAGGAGATGAACTTAGTAATACTGTGATTGATGACAAGCATTTAGTTAGTGATTGCTGGCTTATGTGTTCTACTTCGCTCATAGGATTTAAATGCAAACGCTTCCAGAATGATATGATTACTAGCATTATTTCCAGATTCGAATCGAAAGAATATTACCGTGATTTTGAACGAAGCCTGACGGTCGGACTTGTTGTTGTCATGTTGGAAATATCGACGGTCCCTTTTGTAATTTGGATTTTCTTACCGGGGTTGAAATTTTATGATTTTATCGCATTTCTACGTCTTTGATCCATCAGTCATTGTTGCAGTTGCAAGTGGAATTTTCTAGGAGAATCATAAGTGGACGGCTGAATCACTGGATAGCGATAATTACGGCCCTTTCAGCCTCACAGTACTAGTACGTTCATTTCCGTAGCAGAAACTAGCGTGGACTTTACAGGACCACGACATTTTGTAGGTTTGTGACATGCATTAATGGTATAAAGGTGATCTTACTTTTCTTTTCAATCTGTGTCCGTTCGTTAATAGCTATGTAATGCGTATTATATGGTAAACTTAAATGCTTAGCCTTAACCTCTGCTTTAGTTAGGCAGGTATATTGTTATTTAAAAATGAGTTATCGAATAGAAGAAAGTTACACACTTATTACATAGAAAGGTAAAATAAACTTAAAACTTTTATTAAAAATCAATATCCTATAGGCTGCAGGGAAAGAATTACAATCTAAAATTAGTTCAACCTTTGTGGACTTGATGAAACACATCAGAATTGTTTATAACAGCACTGATTACATATTTACAGTCAGTAATGCGCTGAGATTTCCTTCTGTAGATCAATATTTAGCTTCACTATACTGCATCGTAAACTAACCTGAATAAGATTACATTAAATTTCTCTTACTGTAAAATTCAATGAGTGCCGCTCTGCTCACACCTAAATTTTAAATATAAACACTATCACTTTGAAGTATCCACAATATCCTTCTTCTCCTTCTCTTTTAATTTGCTTTTTCTGATGACCATGATATATTTCAATAATGTAAAAATGAAGGGTATATTTATTCACAATATTTTAGTTAATTTAAAACAAAATCTTAAAAAACCGAATAAAATTTTATATAATTTAGATTGTTTGCTTTTATATTTTAGTTTTTATATTGTTTTATCAAAATTTAAAATGTTCGAGCCAAGACTATGTATCATTTTTCGGTAAACATTCTTAAAATTCCTTTTGTTTCCCATAGTAATATTAAAGTCTTATGATCCGTAAAAAACTGCAAAAACTGAAGGGAAGATGAATTCTTTTAAATCTAATGGTAATTTCTGGTGCGATTTAATTTACATTACTTTGCGAAAGATTAATTATTAACTTCCCTACAGTGTAAAGATATAATACATAATTTCAATTTCAGTAATTAGGTAAGTTTCCCGAAGTCCAGTCATAAAATTTATTCCATCTTATTTCAATGAGTTTTAAACATTATTTTTCAAAAAGCTTTTCATTATTATACATTTATAAAATATTTCTAATTAATTTTTTGTTTCATTTCACACGCAGTTGGAAAGTGACGAATGGATACAATTGTTCACAACGCATAGAACAACTATCACTCTTGAAGGTGTAAAGGATGTTGAAGAGTGTCTTTTCCGTGTACGAACTTCGAATATTTATGGAATAAGTGCACCGAGTCAGCCTTCGCAGTTTTTCAATTCTAGAGGGTTACTTACGCTCTGTTCTGAAGAAATCACTCAAAGTGACTCTATGTGTGACAAAACTTTTAATGCAGTATGTAACAATGAAACTCAGAATATTTTTGCAGAGTCAACAATGCTGACCAAGAATGATAATGCACTTGAAAACAAGTCCCATACTGAAGTACCTTCAGAAGCAAGTGAATTGACCAAAAATCAACGGGAAGCAGATTCACATTCCTTCCTAACGACAGTTGAGTATAATCAAGATTTACAAAGTTATGATGACCAAAAGCCAACTTTTATTATTCCATTTGGTGCTTGCATAGAATCACATAATGTATTTTCCGAACATAGTTCTTCAGTGGATGACGAGTTGCTGAACATTGAACGGACAGGTGTTATTTATAATAAATCTGAAAGTCATAATTTTTATAATATACAGTCCACTGCTGAAACTCTTGATCTGGCAAAGAAATATAAATGTTATTCAAACACTACAGTAGACAATCCCTCAGGGATGGTTGAAGATGATCCAGAAGTTTCTGAAATTTTGATACACATTCCATCTTACTCACAGTCAGGAATATGCATTGATCACACTGATGATTTAAAAATGCATGAACCAAAGTGTTCATACACTGCAGAAGAACCAGAGTGTTCACACACAGAAGAGCAAGGCTATGATATCGTAACAAAAACATCGTATAATAATGACTTACAGCAACTCAACTGCACAAGAGTGAATGTGGGAAATATATATTATCCTTACGTTGGAATTCTGCAGCTTGACTTCCAGAGCAGTTTAGTATTATTTTATCAAAAAAATTTGAATGTTGTACATTTATTTTCTTTCGACAAAAATGGTACAATTTTGAGTTATACAAATGTCAGCTGGCAGGAAACTGATCCACCTTTCAACCCAGGTCTAAGGCCAGAAAACCTTTTCAACTTACTAAATACTTTTTGCATTCCTGAAATTATAAATAAAGCACTTAAGGCAATTATGCCATTAAGCTTAGAAAAGGCAGAAAAAGATGAAGCAACTTCTTCAAAAACAGATTTTGCCTCTAAACAGTCAACATCTTGGTCTGAAAAAGAAAGGGACACAAAATTTTCACAGCTTGATTCTTGTTCTTCATTCGGCAAAAACGTTTCTTTATATACCAAATTCCAAAAGAAAAGATCAATCAATATTCTTGACGAAGCTGATGATGAAGAAGACAATGAAGATAGTTCTTTTATATGTAGCCTTAAAAAGGAAGATGAAAGTTTTCTAGAAGGTGATTATATAGGTTCTATATCCAGTGAGCTTAATAATGAAGAAATTATTGATCAAATAAGAGCAGAGGAACTTACAGAAGTTAATGCAGATGACTGGGTGTACCAAGTTTCGCCATTTAGTATACCTATTGAAGAAACTGCTTTTGAAGAAAACGCTGATGATGTTTTATACTCAGAGTTTAAGGTGCAAGAAATTGAGAATGATAAATTTAATTTACAAGAGAAAAGTGTGAAAGAACTCTTAAATTTCACTGAAGAAGTGGAAAGACGTTTTGCAGAAAAAGCTCACCAAATTGAATCGTTAGAAAATATTCTGCAAGAACAACTGTCACACTTGGAGCAAGATCTAAAAGCTGTGCACGAAATGCATGAGAATCTCATTAATAACAATACGATACCAACTTCAGAAGGCTTCCTTGAAGAAGACGTGGAAAAAGACGGCATTAATGATGAGAACTCAATCAAATTTAATTTGAAAGAGCAATATGTTGAAGGATATAATATCACTTATGAAGACCAAACTGAGTTTGAGTCTGATTTCCTATCTCCCAATCAGTCTGAAACTGGAAAGGAAGAATATGCTCCCAGAGTACTCGTACATCTTCAAAATCGAATTGTTCAAACGGGATATAGGACTAGATTCTACTGCTTGATATCTAGTAATCCTGATCCCCATGTCATGTGGATGAAAAACGAAAAACCGCTTCCTCAGAGTTCCAGATTAATCATCGGCAGTTTGGTATGTTTTTTTTTTTTTTTTTTTTTTTTTTTTTTTTTTTTTTTTAAATTATGCATTATAAAATATCTTTGCTCTTATTTATGTTGTCAAGTCATAGTCTTTTTCTGAGTTTATCTAGCTTTTTATGTGTTATATTAACAGACTGGGCTTTGTTGTTCCTGATAATTTACCGTTTTCACAGAAAAGAAGTAACTTTTTCCCAATGGCGGGTACTTGCTTATGCCAGCATTGGCCACTCCTAAGGCCAGATGTGGTGGCGTCTTTATTGTGGAAGCACCTAATAGGTGGGCCACCTTTGTCTCCTATGAAGAGACTGACAATTTTTACATCCATGCCTTCTCCGGGACTCGAACCCGGGACCTTCGGTATCGCAATCAGGCTCCCCTAAGCACTATACCGTCTGAGCGGCAAAAGCAGTAATATAATAGCAACCATAACAAAATTAAGTATTAATTCAAGTCTGGGAAGTATTTTAAAAAATGAAATACATTTTGAGGCTACGTTATAATTTAGCTAGAATTCTAAGTTACAATAATGTAAGTGCCACATGTTCTGTGCACTATGCTTATGTTTTCGCATTTGAATCAACGATAATTTTTAACTCAGTCGCCGAGTACTGGTAATTCGAATCTCGGCAAATAGATTGGCAACAAGCAAAGACCAGGTTTGCTCATATCTCTTTGTTTATAATGACGCCAACGACTCGCTGGAGCTGTGTTCAGCTGTGATGTCAGCCGTGATGGCTGTGTTGTCATTATAGTTCGTGTATTTGCTCATAAACGGTTATTTCGCGTTAGCTTTAAAGACTTTTTCATTGGAAAATAAAAATTCAATTGTATAGATTTAAATACATTTAACCTCAAGTACTCTTTACTATATAATATATAAAATACTTCTTAATCAAGAAAATCTTCCCCACTAATTTGTTATTTTACAATGTAATTTTCCCCCTCTATTATTATCCCTATAGCGTTTTATTAGACGTAACCGTAACAACGATATGCTTTGCTGAACATTTTTTGTTTTCTTTCTTTTACCAGTGTCTGCATTCCAACTGTTATACTATAAAATAAATTTAATAATATTTGTGACAGGATTTAAAGTGTTAATAATTTTCACAGACTCGTAAACAATGATATTCGACTTGAATAATTGAAGAAGAGTATGTTCGTTATTAACGAGGTGAGTAAACTGCAGTGAAGTGGGTACAGTTCGAGAACATCTTTTTCTTTATGTACTTCAAGTAAACTGATATGTTTTCTTCTGTAGACCGTTAATTATATGAATGTTTTTGTGCTATTTCCCATGTTTAACGTAAATATGAACGAATTTCTCTTCGAAATCTCTCCACAAAAGCATGCTATCTTCAACTAATAGTCCTTGTATTCAAACAAACAGTCTTACTGAACTAAAATCTCTCCGCGGAGTTTTCTGTAAATCTATCTAGAACTATGACAGTCAACTTTGACTGCTACTAGTTAATTAGACTGTCAGTGTAGAAGTAAACACACCGAGCGGCACCAGGCCCTCAACATAAAGTCACTCTCACCACACTCACAAGCCACAATACACTTCTTCGAATGGCAATGCCTCAATGTGAATATTAAGACTTTACATACATATTACATATAATATATGCGATTTTTCATACATATAATTTACACGAAGGCAGCCCGTAAACTAAAGTGCACGAAGGCCTTCGTGTTCGCCTTCGTGCACTTTGGTGGGGTTTAGCCCTACCAAAATGGGGGCAGTGGTGGGGCGGTTAAAGTCGCTGAATACTCATAATTCGACCCAAGTTCAAACTCAGGCGAGCGGACTGGTGACATAGTTATTTTTCGCGGTTTGCGCCATAAGTAAAAGTGAATACAAGCCAGTTTCCTTAGAAAGTCCTTTATGAAGGCATTTCTTTCACTTAGGCTGCCCTCAAGTGCTTTTCCGTAATCAAATAACCTAACCAATAATCTCTAATTTATGCGTACAATGAAATGGCTTTATCGTGTAAAAAGAATATCTTTACAATTAAGAGTACTAATATGGTTACAATGCAAGCAAGGCAAATGCAACCTTTATGATCCAATCTGAATTTTAAATATGAAATAAAATAATCATAATAAAAAATAGTACAGATTCAGCATGGCGACTAATAGAATAAATTATGAGCACAGGCTCTGATGGTTATGGAATCCACACAACTTAGCAGTAATTGCTGCTGGCCGTTAGTACTGTATGTCTTGATGCCTGCTGTAATTTTCTGAAAAACTGCATGAATTTGCATTATTCTGGTTGACTTGGAAAAGGAGGGTTAAAAAACAGCAGAACTTAAAACCTAAAAACGTATTCTACATCAAAATTCAAACAATAATTTTAATTTTCTAAACCATGAATTAATTACCTTCGAAGATTTAAGATCACCCGCTTTCATAAGGAATGTCTGCCACCATGCGCACATATTTTTTAATATATGTATATATAATAAATTTTTTTTTTAAATATATGAATAAATGCGAAGTAAAAAGCAGTTCAAAACTAATCCAGTTGCCTACTGATAGCAGAAACAAGGTGTGGTAATAATGGAAAGTAATCTGAAATCCAATATCCATAATCTGAAATCCAATATAATACGCTTAAAATTAATTCTGCTTTCTTTGCACAAAGGTGTAAATTGTGATGATTTAAATTACTTTTTATTACGTTTCCTTTTCGGTTTTAACATTTTTGCAGCTTTCATACAATTTACTACTGGGCTTCTGGTTTTTATTATTACAAATGGTTTGTTCCGAATTAGATATGGGATGGATTTACATATTTAATTTATTTTGCATTATTTATATTAATAGAAAAATTTCAAGATGAGCCAAAATTAAGATTATCTTAGATTATCCTATCTAAGGGAAAAGGTGTAGGGGTAAATTTAAGAGGCCTCAAAAGTAAAAATGGATATTCAGAAAGGTCAAAATGCGTATTATACGGGATGCAAATATAGCAACTCTTTGGTAAAAACCTCAAAGTTAAAGAAGCAATCAAAACTTAACTGATGAAAAAGTAACTAAATGGTTGAAAATTAAAATTATTAATTTCACTTATTTGATGCTTTAAATAGAACTTGTCAAGGGGTGAGTATTTAAAACATTAAACCACGTAGATTAATGAGAAATGAAGAACATGTTTCATTCCTTTCGGCATATGAATCTGCTGACCTAATGCGTAGTGACAAAAAAATAGCATTTAAAATATTGCAAATAAACAAATAAAAAGGCAGAAATTATAATTATGTTTGCTGATGGAGCACTATTAGGCATTTTTTCGGAATTTTAAAATGCTATTTTTCCAGTTCTAAAAGTATTTGTTCAAGAAATTAAAACCTAAAATAATAAGTCAATAGGTATATACGGAACCTTAAAGGTTATGTGCTTATTCATGTACGAGTTTCATAGTCGTTTATGCTTAATTAGTTAGGGTATTAACTCTAGATATTTGCTTACAGTAATTATATCGTACGCGCTTCATCAAAATGTTTTTTTCGTACTTGGTTTGGTGCACAAAAAGAAATATAATTATTTTGTCATTACGAACTAACTTAAAAACAAAGAAAATTAAATGTTTGAAAAATGAGGCTATAATTCATCGAACTTTCGAAAACTGTCATTTTATAAGATGCTTTATACTACAAGTTTGCATTTTGCAAGCGAGATGAGTTGAATTTGATAATCAGTGCGCCGATTAGGGATTAAACATAAGTATACGTGAGATTCAGTGAAGAAATTGCCAAAGCAATAATATATTGCATATATCGAATTAAATAAAGACATCAGACTGAGAATTCTGAAAAGCAGCAGTTCACGTACCAAAACGTAAATCATTTGCATCAATAGTTTGCTTTTATGTAAATATATTTAAATAACTAATATGCACTAAATAAACCTTTAGCAATGACTTTACTTCAAGGTGAACATTACAAATTTGGTGGAAACGCTGCGAAAACAATTTCGATGAAGTAGTGAAATTATTTGTATCAGATAGAATGTTATAAATTGAAACAATATGTCCGCAATTCACAAAAAATTACATATTGCTCAGATCTAAATCTATATTTAGATGTTCAAAATATTAACTGCAGAATCGATGAAGTTGCCACTTGGCAAAATGTATACGTTTATTGTGCACGATCAATAAGAGAAATATAGAAGATTTTGTTAAATTTCCAAAAGATTTTTTAATGCTTTTAAATTTTGTCAATAATTTGGCCTTTTAAAATAAAAACATTCACTATTTCCAGATTATCTACAGTTATTTAGAAACCTATATTAAAAACGCTAGCTGGAAAAAAGAGATTTGCATGATTCAGTGCTAATTGTGAGAACAGGTCAGGAGGATAGAAACAGCCTATAAATTTAAAATATGAAAATACTATAGAAAAGGAACGCTTTATGTGCACAAAAGTCTGTCATTCTCTTCCTTATTAACAGCAACACCATTACATTAAAGAAAGCAATATGCATGTAACTGGGAGTGTTAGTTTAATTTAACATAATTACATGAATCTAATTTAATCACTTATTAAATATTTGTATTATTGAATATTGAAGGAAATTCTGAAATTTTTTTAACAAATCCTTGATCTCAACATTTGACTGTTTTCCTCGTCTATTTGTTTCAAAATTAATACTCTAAGTGTAACTTATGCAATTGAGTTTCAAAACTCAGTTTAGCCAAATTGACTCATGAAACTAAGCTAAACTTACATCATTATCTTACTCATAATTTATATAGCTGTCGTTAAGAATCATTATAAAAACTTACTTATTTGAGCCGATAGCTTAAAAAATATGAGCAATCTAGGACCAATTAATTGCATTAAAACAGTTTTTTAATTTTTTTAATAACAATTTTTTTTCAACAGTATCCAGGCCTGGGAAGGAATGGTATCATGACTCAGAAACCCAGATAGTCTCCGTTCATTTTTTCTGAGATACAAAATAAATAAGATAATGACAAAATTAGCCGTAAACACGTAACCAAGGAGCCTTTCTGGAATTTTGACGGCTATGACATTACTGGTGAAATAAATGTTAGAATAAATTTAAAATAAATCTTACGGAGCCAATAATCAGCATTATCCTTTAAAATTTAATAATGATATAAAAATTAGTTACTGAATTTGTTATCGTAATATTCCTTCTCAAATAAGATTTTTTCTTACAAAATTTTTCGAGTCAACTTTCTGAAAGGTAACATGACACAAAATATGAAACATTTTAGCGCTAAGCAGAAAATTATCTATTAAATTAAATTCATTTTAGTTTTCATAAAACATCGATATTGCAAAAGTTGTTCTGTTATATGTTTGTCTGTTTCTGTTGTTCTGTTAATATGTTCCGTTTTTAAATTTAAATTATTTTTGAACAAATGTCCCATTGCTCAAACATTTTCCCATTTCTTATAGGTGGATTCAGGTCAATATTTAGATATTTATAATGCTAAAACTTCCGACAGTGGCCAGTACGCTTGTGTAGCATCTAACTGTCATGGCTCTGCACAGACACAGTCATATCTTCAAGTCATGGGTAAAAGTAACTTTAACATATATCTATATTAAAATATTTTACCTCATTAATAACTCTAGTGAACTAAAAAGAGACGTAATTATTATCGTATTTCGCATTTGAAAAATGGTGATTTGAAATTCTGTTATATCTATGATTCAAACATTCTAGCTTAACAAAATGATAACTAGAAAAAAGTGATGAAATAAGTAATTTAAATGCCAAAACTCTTTCGTAAATAATACAATTGTTATCTACTTTCAGTAAATTCACTAGCATTTTACAAATAAGTAATCAGTCAGATTCAACAAATTCTTCATCAGTTTTCGCTTTTGCAAGTTTTTAAAGGCAAAATTCTTCAATGTAAAAACGATTTTTTTTTTTTTTTTTTTTTTTTTTTTTTTGTTTTGTGGAAATTTTTAATTGATCGTAGGAATCACAATTGTGTATAAAAAAATTAACTGTATTTTCTGATGATTAGGATAACTTCATTAATGAATACAAATAAGTTTCATATTTATTCCCTGTCGTTGCTAATGTTTCGTTGTTCTGTTAACACATCGTAACATCTTCCTCTGTATTACAAATGTATATTTATTTATTTATTTATTTAAATTTGCTTTAGAAAGTATAAAAGTGGAATTTAATATTGTGAATATTCCTCATTCAGAGCCAGTTGACAATTCATAAAAGTGTGCAAACAGCTAGTAGCGGTAATAATGCATAAATAAGCGGATAAAAACAATATGCAAGATAAATCATAATAGTTACTGAAAAACTGAATGAACTGTATGAATGCTGAAGTAAAACCAATATCATACAGTAATAACGATGTAAGGTTTATCCTACATCGTTTATCCTAAGTTTTTAACAGCTATCTTTATTTAAAGCTACTTTCCTGTCCTTCCTAATTTCAGCTTATAATTTCTTACCAGAATGTTTTTGAATCGTGTTTAATGCACATGAGTGGTATTTAAGTCGAAGTTCCACTAACTTCGTTAGACAGCTAGAGTTTCTGACTAGCGCGCGTTAGCTTTTTGGTTACGTCTCTCTCTAAGCTCGGCCGTATTTCAGGCCCTTGATAGCTTGCTAGCTTATTCGATATTTAGGGGCCAACTACATAGAATCTTGATAGCTTCGGCTATATATTTTTAGTTAAGCATTAAATTAAATTCTCATCAAATTTTACAAATAAGAAATTCATTTATACAGCACTTGCTGACAAAATGGTTCGAACCTTAATGATTCACTTCTTTAAACTTGGCCTACAATCGGCCGAGCCAAAAAGCCGCTGAACACTGGTAGTTCGATCCGAGGTCCCGAGTCCTGGCAAACGGGCTGACTGAGTAGAAGTTTTCGGTTATTTTTTCCCATGTGTATGGGAGCCAGTTTCTCTTAAAACGTCTTCCACGAGGATCCCTTTCTTTCCGTATTGAAGAACCTAATGGCGTCTCTTCCTCCTCTCCGCCCCTAATGGACAAGTAATAAAAAAATTCCTCAACCTTAACGCTATTTGTAGTTAACCGCAAAGTTTTAACAGTTGTCGCTCAATTAGAGCCTTCAATGATTCCTCACCTGATTTATTTCTTCATATATTGCTTAGAAATTAACATGTAATACTAAATCATGAATTCTCTTGTTGTTAATAATATTAAAACAAAGAAAACTGTGCCAAAAAGAGGCAAACGTATAGACTTCTTTTCCAAGAATTGGGAAGTGGGCAACGGTAACAGCAGAAAAGCACTATTATTCACATTATTTGCTAAGACCAAAAAATAAATATGTACCCCATTAAAGATTTGTAACAGAGTTTTCGCACCTCATTTTAAAATAAAAGGCTTTAAGTTAGTTTTGTAGAGCCTCGTTGGATATTTTTGGACTAGGAAACTTGAAAATCAGCTATGCGGTTGCCGACATTCGAATCGCGGATCTTCCGCTTGTCAGCTAGACGTTTAAAATCCCGTGACATATTGCTGACGTTCAGCACTATGTCAGCAGGCATGAGAGAATGCACAAATAATTCCTTACATTTTCCTCTGCTTAAACGACAGCTGGGGAGAAGCGTGAGCTACCAAATCCCGCTGATGCCGAGTTATTACCTGGATCGTATACCTTTCAGTTCGGGCTCCAGTGTAAAAATTAGCAGGTTCTTCAGAGCAGGAAAAAAAATCAGTCGAAGTCTGTTTGAAATTCACATCACGATTCTTTCAGTTTACGAACTGGACATTTTACGAGAGCACTTTTGGAGAATTTCTGTACTTCCTTACAATTTTAATATAATTTCTAAGTACATACAGAATGAGTCAGAAAAATCGCTACACGTTTGAAATAAATGTAACGTATTGTTGTTGTGTATTATAGCGGAAAATGATGAATGAGTATATGGCTTGAAATTTATTTTTTCATTTCTAAAAAGAGTCATGTATCTAAGCTAAAGTCGTTAGCCAAAATGGGTCTGAACACGCAGTGCAAAATGACAATTGCAACTTAAGGGATTGCTTACCGCCCTGAGAATAGAGAGATGCAATTTTAATGCAACATTGTTGCAGATGACTGTGGGAAAATGGAAACAAACTCGGAAAGAAAATTATCTGAGAGATTCACACATAATCTTTACTGCCGCAGCAGCATCTCTAAAGACTGGACAAGCGAAAATCCAAGGAAATCGACCGGCCAAAATATTTAGTTCCATTGTTGTATACCATTCTTCAGTTTAAGACTGGATTTTGTAATGGGATTCTATCCCTACCTTTAGCCATCATACTAACGTCACACGATGCAATTAAATTCTGTAGCCGTGTCTTTTACTCACCTTAGATTTTGAACAATTTTCCTAGAAAGAACACTGCATCACATAATTTTATTGGCCTAAAATAGCTATTTAAAAGCAAAATAAAAGATTTACCTTATACATTACTCTCACACCTTTATATTGCTAAGAAAAAAATAGGTACATTTATCATAGAGGAATAGAGTGGAGGTGTCACAGGAAACTAAAATCGTATCTGGTCTCAAATACATGTCATTCAGATTTCCAGGCCAACGTAATGCCAATTATATCTCAGAAGCACATGTGTCGTTATTCATTACGATTGTTAGCTACCAGTCAGACTCAAATTTACGCTTATCAAAGCTTTACCCTAAGGGTTCAATGTAAATTTTCGACTTCCTCTAACTTACTTTAATAAGTAATTTAAAGAAAGACAATTAGATGTTTGGTAGTAAAATTACATGTTTAAGTTACAAAACAAAGCTTGCGGAAACTTAATAATTGTTATTTACAAGGAAACAAAATTGAAAAATTTTGTTTTTGGAAAAAAAAAAAAAAAAAAAATCATTAAATATGAAGCCGTCAAACGGTCAGAATAACCATCTCATCAGATTCTAAAACTAAATGTTAACAAAGCATTACTTTTAAATGACCACTCCTGCTTCTAACGATCAGGCCTTAGTAAAAGAACACAAAATTTAAATTGAAAGCCAAATATCTGAGGTCAACCAGTGTGCAAGAATGCTTAAGAAATTTTTTAATTTGAATATCAAACAGCACAACAAGATAATATACCTTACATACCATACTAATAAAATTTTCCTTTTCTGGTTGCAGCAAAGCAGAGGGAATAGCAGGACAGAAATATTAACTTAACAGGTTAGAAACCAAAATTCTGCGTTTAATCAAAAAAGAATTCTGAAGGTTTGAAAGGAATAATATGAAATTTATTAAATGGTTTTCGAAAAACGAAAAATAAAGAGAAAGTGCTCCGTGATTATAGATGCAGCGTCCAAAATACAAAAGATTGCTAAGTAAACCTATCTTTGACATAAAAAAGAAACATTAATCTAAAACAAATCTAGGGTTAATAAGGGATTTATGCATATACCTACCGAGAGATAGGTCTATAGAATAATAATAGGAATTCAATCTCTGCTTCGCATTTTTCAGGCGTTCGTGAATTCAGCCCGGAACCTCCAAATTTTTTAAAATCTCCACAAGATATTTCTGTATCTTCAGGAAACACTGTGACGCTAGAATGGAAGATTTCAGGAACTCCTATCCCAAACGTCCTGTGGTAAATTAAACATTTTCATTAAGAGGATTAAGCATAGAGAGTATATAGAAATAGTTTTAATATTATGCAAAAGTAGTTCTACAATTTTTTCTTGTATATCTTTCCACAGGTATAAGAATGCCGAAAAGATTTCTGCAACTTTACGCATCGACACCTTTAGTAATCACAGAGGAATTTGCCGCCTCATTCTTCGAAGTGTAACTGTTGAAGACAGTGCTATTTATACTTGCTATTTGGAAAATGAAGCTGGTTCTTCATTATCCACAGTTTTTGTTTCCGTTACAGGTAAAACACTACTTACGTTCCTTTCATAAAGATAATAACTGTTTATTATTCGGTAAACCATTTTAATTCTGAATTTCCTATATTCAAAAGGAATATATATATGAAAGTTTGGAACACTGTAATATGCATATTAGGATTACTCATAATATTTACTCTTAACATTTCAAAATATTTAGAAAATGTAGCGTCTTAATCTACTTCGAACAGTTTTTGTGAAAAATCAGCTTAACCACAATTTATTGCTTGAAGCTATCCAAAATGGTTATACTTTCGCTGAGAAAAACGGTGTAAAAATAATTTGATGCTGATGTTGGTATTAGAATCTTTCTCAGTGAAAAAAGAAATGTACACTGGTGGCTATTAAAATTGCAACACCAGGAAGGAATGATATGATGAACGTGAAAATCACTTGAAAGGAAGAAGAGGTTGGAATATGCAAATTATTAGCATTTCAGCGCATTTAGACGACGCAGGAGGGAGAAACGACATCTGAAGCACTGCATAAAAGAAAAGTTGTGTAGTGGATGTCTGATTTGGAAAGCGCTTTGGTAAGGTCAGATTTTGCTCAGACTATCGTGTTATGCCTCGAATAATAAGAAGAAATGCTTACCAGCAAGTGTCGGAATTCAATACAGGCAGGATCATTGCCGATCGAGAGTGTGAATTATCGTCCCATGATATCACCCGTCCCAGTAGTAGACATCCAACTACTTTCAAGCGAATATGGAATCAATGGGTTGCTGAGGGTCATATTGAACGGCATGCAGGATCTCAACGCCCTCCCTTAACTAACGCCCGAGAAGACAGACATGTTGTGAGGTCAGCCCTGCAAAACCGTAGAGCCGCATAACGGACTATTAGTCAGGAAATGGGCATGTTTGTAGAACGTCCAGTATCCACTCGTACGGTGCGTCGACGTTTGCAGTAGCGTGAACTATCAGCACGGCGACCATTACTTCGGCTTTCCTCAACAATGTAGCATACAGAGAGACGACGATTCTGGTGCGCCGAACGACAAAGCTAGATACAGGAGTGGCACAATGTCGTCTTTTCAGATGAGTCCCGGTTCTGCGTACCTTTCTGATGGCACGCAGAATCATAAGCCTCGATCATAAAGTCATTGGATACACGATTACATTGATGTCATTGTACATTGATTTCATTATATATTGTAGGTAATTTTATATGAAATGAAATTTGTTGATGTATAGATTTAAATACACATAATTAATATAATATATATATATACATATGACGGGGCATTTGTATATGTGTAGGTATATATGTATATATATGTATATGCGCATGCTGGAAAAGAGCTAGCTAAAGTTTAAACATCCGTGAAAGTGTGAATTTTTAAAATGTACCAGATAGGAGTATACTTAAAAGCACTTCTAAAAATGTTAATATTTCTGTGTAAATGTATGTAAGGAAGAATAAGTTAAATGGAGACGAAATACTTACAGACCAAGCCAGATATTTACGACAAAAGCCACTTGTTATATTAGTATTTGGAAAGAGCAAGTAGATAAAGAGTAATTTGGAATAAGTAAAGAACTAAGCATGGAAAAAAGGAAAGAAGAATAAATTAGACAGAAAGAAGGTTTCAACTAATATTTTATAGAAGCATTTATAAAAGGAATAATTTGGAGAAAATAAAGACCTAAACAAGGCAGAAAGAAAAGAAACCTAAATTAGACAGAAAGAAAAGTTCAATTAATATTTTACAGAGGTATTTGTAAAAGGTAAAGTTAATGAAAGAGATAAAGAACAACAAGCTAAGAAAAAATTGAAAAGTAAAAGTAATATTTGATCAAATTTAAAGACTAAAAGCAAAAAATAACAAAATAATTCAATCTGATGATGAAAAGGATGCTAGAGTTTGCATGATTGAATTGAAAGTTAGTTTTCTCTTGTAAACTTACTGAATCTGAAGAAACTTAATTAAATAACTCTTGCTTGAATGTGAACTATTTTCTCATTTTCATATTCTCATTGAAAAGGTTATCATTATGTGCATCAAACAAAATGAAATGTTGAACTTTTTAATATAAAATAAATGTTTCATAAAGAAAGGTACTTCCTCAATTAATTAATTTTGGTGATAAAACTAGCAATAATATAATTGATGAGAAACAGCATACAGCATACCTAATTCAATCATATTAACACGAACTACAAAAATTGTTACAATTGTATAACCTTTCAGTACAACTTTTCAAGTTTTAAAAATATTTGTTAATTATTATTATCGTAATATTTTAAGTTTCATTCTTTAATAATGCAGTTGTATGTTACTGTTCATCAATTAAAAAATTAAATATTTTCATCTTACATTTTTATAATTTTAATTTTAAGTTTGAAATTAAAATTTTATATGACAGCTTTTCTAAAAGATAAATTTTTGTCATTGAAGTGTATTTGTTTATTATTAGTTAAAAAATATCAAATCTTGAGAGACGCACCAATATTTCTGTTAAAAATTTCTTTAAAATGTCAATTTACAGCAAGAAAAAAAAATTTAAAACTTTTCAATGGGAAATACCATCTCCAGTTCCCTTACTAGTACAGTCCAAAATAGCAACATATAGTTGTGATACCGTAATCCATTTTTACAATTATAGTTACAACATATTTTTGTACCTACTATGTTATTAAGTTATATAGTGTGAGAATCTGCTAGATTATATTTTATTGCCTTAAAAATATTTTTAAAAGTTGATATCAATATTTAACTCAAATGACTTTGAGTTCTTTTACAAGTGTATTAAAAATAACACATGCCATTTCAGATGCAAGTACAGATCGTGATTCAAAATCCGGGTACAACTTCTCACAAGATGAAACTGAGATGAAACAAACAAACTACAGGTTTGTTTTTATATGCCTTTCTAACTTGAATTTTTATTTTTTTTGGAATTAGAATTCAATACAATTCATCATGCATTTCATTACGCAGTCGAATTTATTATGCATCATGATGCAAGTACAATTTATATTAAAAATGCCAAGTGAAAGAACTCAAACTATAAATTTCTGTTGAATGTCAACATTAAAGGTCTATTGAATGTTACAACCAGACATTCATAAAATTCCTTTGAATGTAAAAGACTCAAAATGTATAACTGTGAGGAATGGAATCAAAATACAACTGATAATGTAGGAATTATAGATGCAAGAGAGAGAAGAGAATTCAAACTCTAGTCTGTCAAACTCCAATGACTATCAGAGTTACAGATATGTGGCCTTTAGGAAGGAACTTAAATATAAAATTCTAATGAATGAAAAGCTTGAAGACATGAAATAGGCATTTTTGTCCTCTTATTTCGCTACAAATATGAATCAAGTGAAAAACAAATGTAGAAACGTTACGTTACAACTCAAAATCTACAGTATCGTAAATTAAATAAATAACAAGTATTCGAAGTTTCAATTTCATACAAACTCAAGTTTTTCTTGTACTTGGAAAATTTTACAAAGATTGCATGACTGAATTACTTAAACGATTGGCCATAGGCTTGTAAGGATCTTAAGTTTTACTAACGTTTATTTTATTTTAAATCTTTACTATCACTTCTTATTTTCTACTTCCGGCCAGAATTATAAGCGTGAAGGATTTTATGCAAAGTTTGTCTGGCGAACGCCAAGTACTTAAGTTGTGGCTTTTTGCCAAGCAAGGGAGAGGAAGCAGTGAGTTCGAAGCAGGCCGCTTACCTTAGAAGTTACGCAGTTGCTATTTGCCTTCCAGGCCAGAGGTTTTAATCCTCTTGATAAATTAAACGTATTGTAGTGTTCACAGTCTCTGTGCTACATACGCTTCCTGTTATTATAAGGCCAATCTTCCACGTGTATTATTCTAAAGTTAAATTAGAGTTTAGTTTTATTTTGATATCTTTTGCGTTAGACCCCGAGTGGAGGGTCATTGTATTCCGAAGTACGGAAGTCATTGTATATAAAGAAAAATAAAGGGGTTTGCATACCCTTCGTCTGTATCCTGTCTACTTACTACAATTAGTGAACATAGCTTTAGTAAGCTCTCTGTTCCTAGTCAGGTCCTTGTATGTTCCCGAAGAAGATTAGAAGAAACATTGAACCTGATAGGCTCTAGACACGTTTACTTTTCGACATGAATTATTTGAGGCTAATTCCCATATTAAGACAGTTTTGGTCACGGAAGACGATTTAATAAAAATATACAAAACATTTATCTTTAAATTTAATGCAGGCCTGCAAGGGGAGAATTCACTGAAAAAAAAAAAAAATCCATACCCATGTTAGTTTGTTTAAATGAATGGGCAAAACACATAAAAGTACACTGATGGAAAATAAAATCCCAAAGCCAAGCAGATGTGCTAGATAAACCCAATTTGGAAGACGTCTTTGCACATCTGAAAGATGGTGTCCATTTGAATTTTGAGCTAGATGAATAAGTGTGGCGCTGCGCTGCACTTATTCATCTTTCATATGCAAATCAAGTTTGGTTAAAATACTCAATGTAAATTTCGTGCACTTTATTTATCTCTCTGGATGATGTTGTGATCGAGATTAATTCAAGAATACCTTTAAGGGGACAAAGTAGGTGGTATCAGCTGCAGCCGCTCAAGGGAAGGTCCACCGTATTCCCCGCATGTCTCTGGCACATTGCACTTCATCTGCAGTAGACATTTGAGTTTTTGTTGGCACCAGAGTAACATAGCGAACTGTAACAAATCGATTACTTAAGGAATAGCTACGAACCAGCGCCTTATATACTAACTCCAAATTATCGCCATCTGCGACGTTGGTAGTTTCAAGTTAGAGGAGATTGGAAATTTGTTATGTTTTCAGATGAGAACCGTTTCTGTCTTTGTAGCAGTGATTTGAGTATGTTGGTATATTATGCTGTATGTGGTAAGAATATAGCCGTATGTTGATATAACATATAGCCGTATGTTGGTAAGAAGGCGACCAGGTGAGCACTTAGAAACTATTTGCGGCGTTGACGCACTGGTCACACACCAGGAGTTATATCCTAGGAAGATATTTCTTATGACAGCAGCAGCGCTCTCGTCGTTATCACACACATCTTAACAGCAAATCTGTACTTTAGGCTGGTGACTGCACTTATTGTGCTGCCGTTCTTGAGCAATATTACAGGGGACATTTTCCAACAAGGTAACTCAAGTCTCCATACCTTTGCTATCATCCAGCGTGCTGTACGGAGTGTCGACATGTTGCCTTGGCCTGCGAGCTCACCCGATCGTTTTCCCATCGAGCACGTATGAGACATGACTTAACGACAAATTCAGGGTTATCTACAACCAGCATCGTATCGTTGCTGATTTGAAGAAGCAAGTGCAACAGGCTTGGAACTCCTTTCCATAAAATGGCATACGGTACCTGTACGACGCAATGCATGAGCGTTTGCATGCTTGTGTTCAACATTGTCGCAACTACTACAATTATTAATGTACCACTATTTCACATTTCAAATGATTGTGATCTTGATACATTAATCAAATAAATATATTAGCTAGAAAAGTGCTGTGTCTATATTTCATTCCTCTGAACTGATTCATTCTTCCTGGTGTTGGGAGTCCATTTTCCATCAATGGAGTTTGCAGCCAAATTAGAGAAACAAAATCAAGAACCATTTTCATACGATTTAAATTACCCGACATATCACTGATTACTCTTTTAAAGGTTTATTGGATAGAAATGGCAGAGAAGTTTTAAGACATGAGTTTCAGGTTTCCATTTGCACGAATGATGAATTTCGAAATATTTTATTTTTTAATGAAATTTAATAGGATTTCTGAAATTTACATTTTCGCGATTTCTTTTCATTGTATAAAAGTATTACTCTTTAATCATAAGTTTTGACAAATTTCAAAGCCAGATTTGCATATTTCAACAATTTGTAAAATGTGTTAAATTTTTCGAACCATGAAACATAAAAAATCAACAGAGTTCTCCCCGAGATTACAACTATGGAATTTCATTTTTCTGCTAGATATGCTAACCGCTTACACCATCAGAGCACGTATAAGAGAAAATATATTAGATAAGAAGGTAGACGTATATATAAGAGAAGATAAATTTAATGAATGGAATTTTATTTCTAAAAGACTAGTATAAAAGTATTAATTTTGTACATTTTTACAAAAACACTTCAGTCTGTTAATTTAGCTTAAGTACAATAACCTATTTTATTTGATTTAATCTTTAAACTTTAACTATATGTCAGCGCTTGTTCCTTTAACAGTTACCTAGTCGAGCAAATTTTCTTCTTTAAAATTTTTAGTATCGAAGAATCGTTTTCTTTCCAAAAGAAATGCTGAGTAATATTGCATAAGAAGTTGATCAAGAAAGATATGAATGGTAAAAATTTGCTCAGGCTAATAAACATCTAACAACGTCCACTGCATTAGGTGCTCATTAGCCTGTTTGATCCCGTCGATAAATCCGCTTCAGAATGAGTATATCAAAATATTTTTTTTCATCAGCTTCAAAGGTTCGTGTTGTCAAATTTCGCTCGTGTACAGGATTATTACATGATTTAATCACATTTATAATTACAAAATAGTAAATAAAAGGTACTCCATGTTTTAATTAACTGCAAGTTTTAATTCCACTTATTTGCTAGGTTAAACATTTATAAAAAGGATTTACATATCACTAATTATTTCCCGTATCGTAAGTGTTAACTCATGAATTTTGATTTCTAATTTAGTTGAAGAAATTTTAAAAATAATTTGGGTAAGTTGAAAACTTATTTTTCATGATTTTTTTGCCAATTAACTGTTTGGGGCTCTAGTACACTTCTTATTTCTTTCAAATTTCTTGACGAGGACGTAATAGTCAAGTTCGGATTTTCAAAACAACTACTTGGGAATTTAATTAGATTTATAATTTACGAGTGTATTTGCAGATGAAAATGTGTGAGCCAAAAATGAGTGCTCCTAAATCTGGAAATGGTTAAAGAAATATATTATATAGATCTTTTTCCTTCTAATATTTACTCACCTAATAAGAAAGCAATAAAAGATAAAATATTAAAAAAATTGTTGGGTAAGCCATTAAGATATCCATCTATAGATGCAATTTAACATATGCATATTTATTCTATTTTTAGAATCGATTCTGAAGTCATGGAGATAGAGGATGAAGATCCGAAACATGCTGTTGGGAAGAGCAGTGAGTTTCTTTTATTAGATCACAAATATAGAGTGTTCAATAAATCTAACACTGTAGTGAGTAATAACCAAAATCCCAGGGTGTAGATTCCAAGGGCAGGGTTTCGAGATCAATGATCTCCAAACTTTTTTCATCGCGTATATTTCATAATTACAGGTTAAGGGAATATAATTACAGGTTGTATTCTGTATATAATAATGTAATGTAGTATAATAAGATGTAATGTAACGTAATATAATGCAATATAATATAACGTAATCTATTTTAATATAATGTAATATGCATGCTCTTCAAAGCCGGTGCAGTTATGATGTTGAGCTCTGTAGATACTAATAAAACCAGACGAAGCAATAGACCCTCGCATTCACGTGATACGTGATGATATATTCAAGTGGCGAATCTCTTGGCGTACCCTAATGGTAAGCGCTCGTCCTCTTGCTCTCAAAGGAAGCCTCCACGGAAATCATTACGCAATGGAACAACAGGTAACATAAAAAGAGAACCATGGGACCGCGTTTTGATGTGCAGGCAGCGGCCATCTTGGGTAACGTGACATCCCAAACCGACGTCGCCATCTTGGATCTACTTGGATATGACGTAGGCAGGTTGAAGGACGTCATGATTGGCAGTTTTATTTATTTTGTGGCAACAACGATTATTTTTAGTTTTTTTGTGGCAAAGACCTCTTGAATCATATGCTTGGGATGGCATTAATTTTCTTTAATAATTTAATCTATCACTATTTTTAATTTTTTAATATGTTGTTTCTAATTATTTTAATCCGTCATTATTTTTAATTTTTAATGTGTCTTTTTTAGTTATTTAAACTCACATTATTTTAAATTATTTAATCAATCATTATTCTTAAATGATAGAAATATTGAATAATAATTTTATTTTTAAATTATTTCCTTATTTAATTCATTCTATTATTTAAATCACTAGGTTGGAGGACAGATCATGCGCAAGCCTGTTCTAACAGGCCCAAACCTTTTTACTGCTTTCTGCTTCCGCAACGGGGAAAGATTTTAAAGGACCAGGCACCATTTCGCTAACGATATCTATCCTATTTCAACCAATCAGAATGTTAGTTTCTTGAAGTAGACATACATTTATTTTGGCTTTCTAAATCATTAGTTTAAATTTATTCTTTGTTGTTTTAAATGGAAGGTTTTCCCACATTTTAAATTTCTCTTTTTTATTTTACACGCATATTTTTATTATTTTCGTTTTTTCCCCCCTCATTCCAACTAAATGAAAATTTTCCATCCTATGTTTCCATCCTATGTCTTGTAAACGCAAATTTTACTTTTAATTTTCGCATGTTAATGCCAACTTAATTTTTATTTCTACAAAAAAGAAAATTAATTTTTTACATTCCTTTCCCCCTTTTTTTATTTTACAAAATTTTTGTTCACAAATTTTTACCTTATGTTTAGTGGTTGAAGTTAGGATATGCTAAAAAAATCAAACATATTTTTATAACGTCTTTCAAAGAATTAGCAGAATCTGTGTTAGTAATGTCATTCAAGCCTTCCGCTAAATAAAAGAGAGTATTCTAAGTATATTCGCATAAATATCTGTGGCATAAAATAGTAAGAAATGAAATATTTTTATATTTATTTTAACTAAACTGGGGTAGAAATGCACATGTCTTGGTTAAGTACGTTCCATGCCTTTAAAGTTGATTATTCCTTAATTGAAAGACCTGATCCAAAGTCAGTAGATCTACTATAAAAAATATTACTATAAAAATATGCAAGTCTATATTTACTTTTGGAAAATATGAACTAGAAATAACATGAATGTGTTTTAAAAGCAGAAAAAGATAAATATAAGGAAAAATACATAAATAGAAAGTGTAAAATTTATAGACATAATTTGACGAAGCCTTTAACTAAAAGCAAGTTGTGTGAAAGAAAATTTCTACTGTTTTCAAAAACGTTAGCACAATACAATAGATCAGGAAGTGCTATGCATTACTCATTAAATGTTAGCATGAAAAAGTAAGAAATGTAATATTTCGCTTATGTATTCCAACTAAATTATACAGAAGGAACATTACTTTAAGTCTGCTTTAAGTTACAGAAAATGTTATCCATGAAGGCCTGCAAAGAGAAATGATATGCATATAAATTCCAGTTTAAATTTCGTAGAATTTTGCAGAAAATATAATGTAACATTAATAAGTATTTAAAACAAGAAGGAAAATTAAGCATAAAATGTAAATATGACCAGAAAAAATTTTTAAAGTATAAAAAATTTATATTTTTAAAAACGCAACGGGCAAAAGTTAAAAGAAAAATTTTTTATTTATTTTCAACCTAAAATGTAGGAAAAAAATAAGAAAAAACAGTTAGTGAAAATAAAGAAGTGAAAAAAATATAAATAAATATTACTTTGTATAAAATAAAATAGCAAAACATAGCTTTTTTTTAAATAAAAATGCGAAAAGAAAATTAAACTGAAAAAAAAAAAAAAAAAAAAAAAAAAAGGTTTTCAAAATACAAAGAGTGAAATGTAGAAACTTTGTTATTAAGTAGAAAAATTAAAAGGTAAAAATTTTGTAAAATAGGAATATTGAAAAGAAATATAAAAAATAAATTTACATCTGGTGAAAAAAAAAAAAAAAAAATGGAAACATTAACCTACGTAAATTAAAAGTAAAATTTACTTTTACAAGACGTATAAACATAGGACAAAAAATTAAAAATTTAACTTAATCGGAATGAAAAGAAATAAGAAGATAACTAAATATGTTTGCGGGGAAAAAATAGAAATTTAAAATGAGAAAAAATCTTACATTTAAAACAGCAAAGAATAAATTTAACGTAATGATTTATAAAGCCAAAATAAACCTATATCCACTTCAAGAAACAAACATGCTGATTGCTTGAAATAGGATAGATATTGTTAGGGAGAGAGTGATTGATCTTGATTAAATTCCTTCACCATCACGCACAAAGGCGTGAAACGGTATGGGCACGTTAGAACAGGCTTGAGGCATGGCAGGCTGGCGAACAGGCAGTCCTCCAGCCTAGTGTCGTCAGCCTTTTGCTGCTGAACAAGGTGAAATAACAGGATTCAAGGGACTCAAGGGACAAGTCGTGGCTTTAAAGTTACGTGCGTGACTCTTTTGCCAAAGGTGGCAAAGAGTTATTTTTAAACTCATGTTATTACATAAAACTTATTTATTAAAATTACAATAAAAATTAAGTAACAAAGTCAATTAAATAAAGAAATTGATTAAAAATAAAATTTTCATTGAATAGTTTTCTCAATTAAAACTAATGACAAATTTAATAGTAATTAGAAAAATGACAGACTAAATAATTAAAAATAACCAGAGATTAAAGAATTAAAAATGGCATATTAAATGGTTAAAAATAATGACAGTTTATATAATTAAAGGAAAATTAATCTCATCAGACACACAGGATTCAAGAGCTCGTTGCCACAAAAAACAAAAAGAAAAATCATCGTTGCCACAAAAATAAACTGAAAAAAGTGTTGCTGTAACAAATTGAATAAAATTGTCACGCATGTCGTCCTTCAACATACCTACGTTATATCCGGTAGATCCAAAGTATCGACGTCACTTCCGAGCATCAAATGATACAAGACTGAGTCTGCGGTACATGAAAGGTGCTGTCCCATTGTTCTGTTGTTAAATCGTCTATTGATCTATTGCATAATGACTTCTGAGGCAGCATCTTTTGAGAGCAGGAGGATGAGCGCTTACTTTTACGCTCAAATATCATTTCGCGTACCCAATTTTCACACCACTGGTACAGATCACCGTAGAATTTGCAAATATCTATCATGAAACATAGACCTGATAACACTAGATTTTTTGTGTACGAAACAATTTAAATATCATGACTTGAGTCGAAACGGGTTTGCGGTCGGAATGGAAAGCTAGCTTTCTTAACACTATCAAGCTTTGCAAAATTCTTGGTAATGCTTTCACCAACTCTGCAAAATACTTCAACGGGTAAAATGGTAGCTTCGAGGAATAAGGTTTACTAGTCTCACGATAAGATTGCATCTTACTTTTAAACCATGATTAGTTTATATATTCAGAACTATATATGAGTTTATAATATACTATAATTAGCTTTAACATTACCCAAATGGCAGGGGAAAATTGCATGTACAAATAAATAACGGATTTAGAACTGACATCTTTGGAATTCCGTAAAATATGAAAACTTTACTGCATTTACATTGTTTGGAAATCGTTGACTAAAAAAATCTTTGTATAAATTATTTATGGAAAGTTCAAGCAAATTTATTACTTTTGCTTTACTTTTGGGAAGTTATAAATGCAGTTTTAAAAATAAGATACGGATATAATTTCTAATTAGATTTCATATAAGGCATGTTCATAACTGCTTACCTACAGAAATAAACTATCTCACACCCTATCCGCTTTTTCCAAAAAAAGGCCGATGAATATTTTGTTTCAAAGACAATATTCACCTTAAGCGCTAATGTTTTTAAGCCACGGGCTCTCCAGTACTTTTTAGTAATGTCCTCATACCTAGAAAGTGCAATACAATTATTTAAATGTTCAAAAATTATAGGCTGATTGGAAGAGGTGGTCTCGCAAACAGTCATGTCCGGTCAGACGTTTCAGTAGAGCTACCGCTGTCTTTCTTGGAAAACAGGAAATGAAAGTTGTCTTTTCCCTCCAGAATCCTCCAACTCTTATCCATAGCACGTTGAATGATATCCTGCTTAATAAACCTTAGAGATATAAATATGCGTCTCAATTCCAACAAAACAGAACTTTTTCAGAAAATCTAATAAACCCCATTTTATTTTCAGATTAAAAAAAAAGATATATTTTTTATCAAAGCAAGTAAAACTTGTTTATGGAATTAAGTTTTCCTTCATAAAGAATAACCGCTTTGAATGAGGGAAACCATAACTAAGGAAAATATGAATAATAATAGTAAAACGTTTCGAGGAGTGTAAAACTATGTACTCGAAACTTTTCGAAATAGTGGAATAAAGGAAAGTGAAAGCAACGAAAGTTAGGATAAATGACTTGAATGCTGTTTAAGATAAATAAAACCTTTTTCACATCGGTGAATGGCCTTACTTCCAGAGTTCATTTTCTTAGAAATCTCTCAAGAAAAAAAAATCTAGAGCTAGAAAAACAAGAAAGAACTTTCGAGTTCTGAATCAGAATTAAACATGAAAAAGGTGGAGATATCGCTTTAGGTGTCAGCTACTGTGGCATCTTCCCATTTTTTTCGGGGGGGGGGGGGAAAGGGTTCATGATTTAAAGCCTTTGAAAGTAAATATTAGAGTCCGTGGAGATATATTCTGTATTATATGAAATTTTAAATAAGAACAGCAGCAGACTGCTCGAATATTTTATGTTGATAAAAGAAATGAGGTAACAGAAATAGTATTTGCGATCTTGATTTTAAATTTGATCTGAAACGTGAAACAAAAAATTTAAAGTCAATTGGACTTCTAATGAACATTATTGCTTCACACAAAGCTGTCACATTTTTTGGCGCCAATAAAAAAGTAAAACTCGAGCACAGATGATTTGACACAGATTGTTTGATTCCTGGAGAAGGAATGAAATACTAGTACCAACTAGTACAAATGTTTCTTAAAAAGTCCTCCACGAAGTATCTCTTCCCTAGACAGATAGTCCTTACGTGTTTTGACATAGCTAAAGACAATGTTTTGTGACAAGTGCAAAAGTTTACATCATGATCGTGCTTTCATTATTAAATACATATTGGCCTCGGGCACTTCAGCTCCTAGGATACCATGTCTATAAAAGTAGGTTTTGGTAACACTACCATCGATTATCCAATAAGTCCTAAATACCTTACTTTACAGAACATTTGATCACAAAAGTGAGTCTGATTCGCAACCAAGGCTACTACGGGATAAGAATGCTAAACTCAGATAGTCTAATTAAAGCGTGTAATACAAATATAAGTTTCTATTCAGTTCAAGTATTTATAATAACATTAATTTAAATAAGCTTATCGAAAAAAAATAATGTTGAGTCTTAGTCTATATCAAGTAATTCGAATAATTATTACGAAAAATGTGTGCTTGGGAAATCTAATACTGAGGGGTTTATGCTGTTATAGGTAGCCACGCACCATTTTTCGTAATTCAGTTCTGGATAGGATTTGTATCGTTGGTGAAAACTGTTGTGAAGTGAGAGTCAAAGGAAATTTTAAAAAATTAAATGTTTAATTAGTTTAATTAAAACTTTCAGTTTCATGCTTGATGTCCGCTCACATTTAAAATTTTATAAAGAATATTTCTCATTGTGTGTTCCAGTGTATTTGGTAGCACGTTCGGCTAAGAGTCGAAGCTATTCAGCTGATTTTTTATGTTTCCTGGTTCGAAGAGTCTAATACACTCTACAGGTGCTGCCCGATTAAAAACGTGATAGATAATACGTCACAACCTGGACGACTGTTTGTCGTCCCCTCCCCTTTTTAAGTGGGTGAAAAATATGAAGAATTTCCTCCTTCCTTGCTTCATGCGCTCGTGGTTCGAAAGCTAGCACGGCTAGCTGCCAGTCATAAGGTTTGCAGTTAAAATCCCGGTGAGGGCATAGTTAATGTTTCAACTTCCTCGCTCCTAATATCTCTATAATAGAAAAAAACCTAATATCTCTATAATAGAAAAAAACCTAATATCTCTATAACAGAAGTTGATAATAATCAGTTCACGGTCCGAATACGGCTTTTGAAATTAATTTCTTAAGCTGGCTCGTTATGAAATCCTGCGCAATGACATTTTCAACTCTTTCCTAATTGATTTTGTACTGCCGAACTACCGATTGCAAATTAGCGAAATCAGCAGCAGGAGTGCGCATCTATTTTACAGTGTATATGCGCATATATACCCACGACTATACTGTACTAAAGATCAGTCAAAGCTGAGAACACTAGGTATGGTTGAGCATTCGAGGAAAAATATAGTCCTATAATTTCTAGCAGGTTTAATTTAGAAATTAAACAATAAAATATGGATACTGTTGAGATAAAAAGACTGATCAGAAAAAGGAGCTTAGGGAAAAAGGAGCATTCTACTTCTAAATTTTTGTTTGAATATGGAACATATCAGTCATTTGATGACCGACAGGAAAACATCTCGTTTTTTGCCGTATTTGCATTTTTTAAAAAAAAATCTATTGTAATTTATTTAAGCATCTGTACCGGGAACTGGTATTTTTCTCTCCCTCATCGCGGATCCTCGACTCGGGTGTAATCCCAAGCGAACGGGCTGGTTGAATGGCAGGTCTTAGACAGATAACCCTTGTATACTGTTCCATATTTAGATAATCTAACGTAATCTAAGAATACTTAAAGTTCATTGAACCAAAATGCACCCGACAAAGTTAATGATAGAAATACGGTAGTGTTAGATTCCGTTTCCAGGTCTGTTTTCGAACAGAATCGGGAAGAAACTCTATAAATGTCTTCTGTTAAAGTAGGTATCTAAGATTTTTGCCAATCACAGGCTTGGTTTGGTTTATATGATTACGGAAAAGCCTTGAGTCTTTTTGCTTAAGGGGACTCATAGACCTTAAAACCCATAAGATATTCGAATAGGTGACTGTTGCAAGAATTGGGATAACTTATTTATTTTAAAAGCAATTACTACCAACTTTTTACAGCTGACTACATAATATAGCTCCTTTCTGAAATAGTAATCAGAAAGCTTGTGTTGCCACAAATATTTTTATAATTTAATCCGCTTTGTGACAACATTTTTCGTCATGTTTCCGACTTGCGCGCACAGTTTAAAACATTCTGTTTCATAATTTAATTCCATACTTAATATATAGCTTTTATAACATTTGGAAACTACTGTGAACCTAAAATTCTAAAAATTTCATGTTAATTTTTTATTTTATTTTGAGTTAAGTTTATAAAATGTATTTTATTGAAAAAAATTTTTAATGTTTTTGTCCATGAATTTTTTTCAATACAAAAATATTCATCCAGATGTGTTGGTTCAGTTAGAAAAGAGTGCCCATATAAAGAATTTCATTCCAATTTCAAGTATGTACCATTAGCCATTTTTAAAATATCATGCGCGCAAGGTGGAAACATGGCGAAATATATTTCACAAAGAGGATTAAATTACAAAAATATTTGTGGCAACACAAACTTTCTGGTTACTATTTTCCAAAGCAGCCATATTATGGAGTCAGCTGTAAAAAGTTGGAAGTAATTACTATTAAAATAAATAAAATATTCCAATTCTTGCAACACTCACATATTCGAAGATCATGAGGGGCTTAAGGTGTATGAGTCCCCTTAAGGAAAGAGATGCCTTCATGGAGGACTTTCTAAGTGAAATGGCTCGTATACATGGGGAAACTACGAAAACGCCCTTTCAGACAGCCGATTTGCGGGATTCGAATCTCTGACCAAACTACCAATGTTCAGCGACTTTACCACTCAGCCGCTATTGAACACCTTTTGCCATTCATGAACGCATTCCCTTTTCTCATCATGATTTTTTACAAGGCTATTCTGGTGGTTATTCTTTCAGATATGAGAATAATGATTTGATGAATTTTCTAGCTTTAAACAGGTAGTTGATGATTAAATTATGTGTGACTAATGACTTTTATATTTTCGCATAAACAAGTCTGAGTATAATTTCTGGAATGTGTTCAAGGAATTATAGTGAAGGAAATGAAAATAATCCAGCCTGACTAGCTAACAGTTAACGGTACTTCTAGCATGCATCTTGTTTCACATGTATATATTTCTCTTCAGCAAATTATATGCGCAGTAATCTATTTTATTTCCAGCAGAAGCAACAGGGACCACTATTGTACCGGCTGCTGCTTCTGTTTTAAGCACCGGCAGAACGTGGGTCATTCTGTCATGGTCTGCACCTACAGATCAGCAAGCGCCAAAAGGATCTACTCGCAAACCTGTGTACTTGGTGCAGAGGAGACTCTCAAACAGCAATCACTGGAAAGAAGTGGGACGCACTCGAAACACTCTATACACGGTGCAGGGACTCACGAGTGGACAGTAAGTTCTAATAATGCCTTTTTGATATTTTCATTATGTTCATCAATATTCCCGAGCTTTAAGCGACCTTTTCGAAAATGCTGATTGAAATCTGCCTTTTCACAATGTTAATCAAATCTGCCTTTGAAGACAAGTTATATAAATTTTCTAAAGCAAAATAAATGCTTATTAAATGAAAATTTCATCTAATGCAGATTAAAGATAGATAAAGTATAGTTCAGATAATATTATTGTAGTTAAAAGCATAGGTATAGTTCAGATTCAAGATATGTATAATTCAGATTGAGGATAGCTATAGATTAAGGATAGGATATGGTATAGTTCAAATTAAGGAAGTATGTATAATTTAAACAAACCATAATATTGTTGTCATTAAAAGAGAAAAAAATCGAAACAAATGTTAATTAAAGGGATCTTTATTACTGCTTAATAAATACATGCTACGATTATTTATTTAAAACGCTCGTGATTTTTGCTTGGGACAATGACTGAGGCAACTCTTGAAAAGTTTCGATATAATGGGCGCAGTTTTTTAATGCCTATCGTTCACGGCTTTCTTCTTTCTTCATTTCGGTCAATCTCCATTACAAAATTATACAGTTCCTGTGCCTTTTTTTTAACAATTCTTGTAGGTTGAAGGCTCTTCATCTTCTTCACTATCGCTGCTTTCACAGTCTGCTACTGTTATAAGATCATCCAATTCTTCATTTGTAATTTCACGATCGTCTTTCTCGAACTTATTATTTGATTTCCTTTTTTCCATATTTGAAAATCCTTTGCTATCTATTGAATTTGCAATTTGTACGAATTCCTTGGTTTCATTTTCAATCGATGGAAATCTTTCAAAATTATTGACATCTTCTAGCCAGAGATGATGCCAGCAAACATTCATAGTTTATAAATTCATTTGTTCTCACGCGAGTTTAATCATTTCTGTGCAGTGTCTAATTTTTAATTGCTTCCAAAATACCATTAATGCGTCATGCTTTCTTTCGTCTAGAACTAAATTTGCAGAGATGTAATCATGCCTAACATAATGTACTTTGAATGCATGTATGATCCCTTGATCCATTGGTTATACTAAAGTGGTTTTTGGTGGAAAGAATAAAACCTTTACATTTGAATGCAAATTTGTAAGGGCTTCAGTACCATGTTCTGGAGCATTTTCGTGAATCAGAAGAACTTTAAAGCTCAGGTTTTGCTGTTCTAAGTAATATTTGAATTCTTTAATTTATTAATTTCCCAGCCAGTTATTAAAGAGGACTTCCGAAAAATTAAATGTAAGCAATTAAGAAAACGCGTACATGCAAAACTCGCCTTCCCCAAATCCACGTTCGGCAAGGGTTTAAGAAGCTTAAGATGAGAAAGTCGATAACTCTTTTGTGAAATAATGTCTCAGAGCGTCTGCAAAACTCTTTCGGTCAGCAGAAATTTGAATACAAAAAGATGAATCAGAACATTTTTCTTTCTATATGCTTGAGAACAAAGTCAGTATCTCTCAGTGATGTTTACTCCGATTACAGCACAGCATACGAGGTTTGTTTGCCTACAGAGAGGGATGCCTTCATATTTTAAAAGAGATTTTAAAGGGAAATTCTTTCAATGAATTTATTAGCGATGAAATAAAATAATTAATCTTGAGTTATTATGTCTTGACAGTCTAAATAAGTCCTGCATTCTGCAGTGGATGCCTGCTCATGGTGGCATTCCTGTAAATGAAATGGCAAACAGGTTCGCAAAAGAGGCAAGTGATCTTAACGATGGTAATAATAATTAAATTACTCTTGACAACGCAAATGCCATCGCAGGGTATCGATTACGAGGTAATACCATCCAGAAACGACTAGCAGAAATTAATGCTAATTAAGATATCACAAAAACTACAACTCGACTCAGAACACAAAACTTTCGGGGAGATGAAGATAGAAAGAAATAGCACAAGATCCTACCGTCCGTGCGATAACTGTGATAAAATGGCATAAAGTCCTGGCCATATACTTAACTGTCCTCCAATTATAAAATCTGTGATTCTTCTGGAAGAATATCTATCCCTTTAATCCTGAAATACTCTATTCTGGGAACATCACTGACATAGCTGGCTGCGCCTTGTCTACACATAGTCTTGTGTGATCAACTTTAGGTTCTAATGGGCACGACACCACCACCGCCATTAGTACATCTTTACAAATAACGATTTAATTTACAATAACAGTTGCGAATTTATGAAAATCTTATTATCTGCGAAGACACTGAATCTTTAATAAATGTCATGAGAAAGTAAATTTCTTTAAATGTGTACATTTATTGTGTTATTAGGAATTAAGTGTATTGTCACAATAAATGAATTAAAGTTACTTTTATGATTTGCAGGAGATTATTCATTGTGGAAAGACGCTGGTATCAATAAAATTAACGAGATTGTTTCTTATTAACAGTTGCATGTTTAGAACTTCTGACAATATTTTGCATCATTTGGTAGCATTTGGAAAGTTTCTCGGGAGTTCTTTTGTTGTCAACATTGTAAATCCTTGCCTGCAAATGTCTGAGATTTGTTTAACTTGCTTTTTCGATCGCAAAAGTTTCTGGCAGATGGATTTTTTTCTCTACACTCATCAATTAATTTTTCAAAAAAACATGATCACCTGCAAAGATAAATAAAATTCAAACACAGTTACTTAATACTCATAATTTGTAGTCCTTGCTTCTAGTGTTGAACAAAAAGGTAACTTCAGGCTTGAAAATCTGGAAATTTCCTTATGGATTCACTCAACAAAAATATAAAATAAAGAATGAAGGATAATAAAGAACAGATAAAAAGCTAAAGCAGTAGATTTTAGTTGTCAATAACACATTAAATGAAAAGGAAATGTTAAACACAACGTATGAAAGTTTAATTCTTTCAAAATTATGTCAGAATACAAGAAACAGTGAGAATCATTTTATTGGAGAAAAATGTCTCATACTTCAATTATATTAGCGCGATACAAATAGTTACGCTTTGTATGATGACAAATATGTTGATTAAGGAATGAATGATGCATGCATATGACGTGCAGTAAAAAACTATCATAGTAGCAATCCATTTTACACGAGTTGCAATTGGCGAATTGAATAGAATTTCAAATGTTTTTTAAAGTGCAAAGCCAGCTGCGATAGAATAGAGCGAGTTTGATATGGGCTCAAATCACGGCAAACGGACCGGTTGCATGAGAGATTTTGTGATTTTCTTCATAGGTTATTTGAGCACAATTCATTTTCCTTAAGAAGGTCCTCACTGTCTCTTAAAATAAAAGTACTATAAATTTTACTGATTTATGTATATATGTATATAATCCCATGATAAATGAGATAAATGATTGAAGCTTCAGGCTTTTTTATCTTCTCTCTTCTACCCGCCTCTTAGATTTATTACTTGGCAGAAAAAATGCGAATTAACTTTCAAATGTGTCATTCATCTGATTCATTTTCAGCTTTCTCATTTTCATTCTTCCAGCTGATGATGCGAGGATTTCTTCTATTGCTTCTGTTACTAATATCTTCAATTCTATAAGAGACCAAGGGAAACCGTAATTTTCCTTGGACTCTTATACATTTTATAACTCAGATTTTTTGGTTTAATATTTTCTTCAGGGAACACCTGTTAATTCAAATATCTGCTTTTTGATCTTGAAACAACATCTATATCATATTGTATGCAATATTTATATTACCAAATAAAAGTGTAGTTTAGAATTAAAAGTCTACAAAAATAGAAACGTTAAAAAAAAAAGCAATGTAAGGTGTCTCAAATAAAGCTTAAAGAATTTGATAGTATTTAACTTCAAAGATTAGTTTGCCTTATTTGATTTTGGCAGGGACCGCTAAGGCTATCTACCTAGGAGAGATGCCTTCGTAGAAAACTAGCTCATATCCACGTTACACATTAGAAAAATTACGAAAACGCCCATCCAGTCAGAACGCAGCTCGAACTATCACTATTTAGCGACTGTACGCTGGGCCACTGGTGGTCCATTAACCTTAAAGAAGAGGATGCAATGTTTTACAAGGTGAATAGTCTAATGAACTATTTTAAAACAAGAACTCTTAAGCCTCTGTCGGACGCAGTACAAAAGTTACGAGTTTAGACGCAATATATCTACTAGATTCATATATGAAGTTTATTTATTTAAATTAAAATAACGTGTAAGAAAACACTCAATTTATGCAGAATAAAATCTTCTTGTAATGCAATGTATTTATTACAGAACTTAAATATAAAATTCAGCAAAACATGAAATCAACGAAATTTGTTTGTAGAAACATTAGGTATTTTTGAGGCCGGAGAGATGAAAATGAGCAACGCCTTCGCCGGGAAACGCACCACGGACCTCTGGAATACCGGCTCAGCGTGCAGACCCACTACATCACGAAGGCACGCTAGGAAGGCGGGAGAAATACCTTATATATTCCTAAATAGGCGCATTGAATCTGGCAAGTAAAATGTGAAATAAAATACCTAATAAATACGCGTGATTAATGAAATCATACTTACAGTTTATTTTTGAAATATCAGAGAAGGCAGAATGATATAGAAAAGTTCTTTTGAAGAAATAGAAAATATATATATTTTACATATTTTTCGCAGCGAATCCTGACAGAAAGTTTGATGACTAAAAACTTTATTTAATTTATTTATTTTCTGTTATCTCATTTTTTTTGCATCTGTAAATTAAATAAAGTTAATTTTAAAGTTGTTTCCTTTCTTGCTTGCTTTCGTTTCAATTTCCCCCCCCTTTTTTTTTTTTTTTTTTTTTTTTTTTTTTTTTTTAATTTTTTTCCTTTCCTCTTTTTATCCCAAAGGAGCGTTAGCCCAGAAGGTCTGTTAATCTCAAGACAGGGTTTTGCGTTGAATCACTACAAAAGTCTGAATCACTTTCCAAATTGTTGCCACCAAATATTATCGCACTGTATTATATTTAAAATAAATTAAATAATGAAGAATTTGCATGAATTTATGTATGTTTTTCGCAGCATGAAAAACCAATACCTAGAGCCATAAAATTTTAAAAACGTATTCCTCCACCCGAATATGGACACCTGGAAGCGCGAATTTTTAATTTTGAATTTGTTTTATTGTGTTTTTCATATTTTGTAAAACTTTAATCAATTTCTGATTAACAAACTCAATGATTTCAAAGCGAGAAATGGCAGCACTGTATGGAAAAATTCTTTTTTATCTTCAGTGCTTGAGACTGTCTATCAGAAATTCTAAAGATACGCTGTTTTTAAATATTTTTAGCACAAAGGAACATTAGCCCAATTGCTCTTGAAACATGCATGTTGTAATAATAATATGGTGGGCGTGAAATAACCCAGAAATACTTGATAACGTGCAGGATGAAATGTGTGATCTGAAAAAAAAAATATGGAATTAAAGTAACTTACCCCCAAAGGATGACACTTCAAATAATGTGAATTAAAAGAAATTTATTAGATCTTGACATCGTGAAATTTTAAATTAATACCAGTATAAATCAAGAAAACATCGCCAGGCAGAAGATAATAGACCGTGGTTATACAGCTGCAGTACGTGTCAGTCCTACCATTTTCAATCCTAACCTTTCGTACAGGAAATGCGTAATATTCCAATCAAAGTAAATATCAGTTCATCTTCGCTAAGCAAAGTTTCATGATAACGAAAATCAATTTTTATAACGGAGGAAATTGAGTTGACTGGTTATTCCAATTATTTTTGAAGAAACACAAGGCGAATTTCTGCACCATCTGGAAGGTGCAACACGTGCACATGAAGTCCTTTCGAGGATATTTCAAATCGTAGAACATCATTAATTCACTGCAGAAGTCAGCATCTAGATAAATTTAGTTGAATATTCAGTACTAATTTCTATTTTCTAGGCAAAATGCATTCTCTTCAAACTATATGGAAATGGTCGTCATAAAGGAACGAAAAATAACAAAATTTCAAACACCCGTCATCCGCGGTGAGAACGGCCAGAAAAACGTCCTATACCTACGGAGAACAGCAGCAGAAGGAAGAAAACCGGTTGTAGTGGTCAATCTCGCTTTGTCATTGAGAGGTCGCACTGAACAGACATGATGTTGAATAAATGTGGAGGCTTGCCTGCACACATGTGCATGTAAATGAAAAAAAAAAACATCCTTTTTGGTGTAATATAAAAATCTGCAAGCTCTTCTTCTTCCTCTTTTTTTTTTTTTTTTTTTTTTTTTTTTTTTTTTTTTTTGAAAGAGTAATGGAGTGAAGCATATTTCTCTCCAAATCCAGTTAGAGTTCAAGAAAATGCATATTGCAGTTTTATTGGAAATTATCTTAGCAATACAATAATACAAACTTTTTAATTTATTCTTATTTGAAATGTGATAGAATTTTATCACCATTCATAATGAGTTTGCATATCGAAAATTGCTGGGTATATCAAATATTTACCCAATATTTTAAGCAGCAGTTTTTTTTTTTTTTTTCTTTCTGTTTTTTAATCTATTTAACATAAATATGCTTAATTGTGTTTGCGATAGAATTTACTTGCTTTTATTAATTGAAATAAAACATGAGAATATTAATTATATAATTTGTTGATGTGTTTTATCGCAGATCTTATGTATTTCAAATATCTTCTTGCAATAATGGAATCTGGAGTGCATCTATCACACTTCCACAGCCACTGGATGTCCGAAACAAAAGATGACATCAAAGGAACAACAAATGCGATCAAATTTTGAGAACTAGGTTCCAGTTTTGTATTATACCTTTTTATATAATAAATATTTGTATCAGATGTGGATTTGCTTTACTTTTTTCTTACCAGAACTATTCTATTCAGGAAACCATTTTGAATTTTTAGGAGACAACAGCGTTTCTCAAAATCATGAGAACAAATATCCCATATGAAAAATTGCATGTCGTAAAGAAAAAACATAAACAAAAAAAAAAATAGAAAAGAAAACTGTTAAACAATACTTGAACAGTTATATATTATTTCACACATTACGTTTAAATCTGTTTATAATGTCTCTTGAAAAAGACAAAAGTTTGCTAGAACAAAATCATTATCGATGTACGAAATCTTTAAATTTGGTGTGTGCCCTATAATATAATTAATTATAACCTTCGTCAGATTCCCTCCACATTCTACTCTAATCCCTCTACGGTCATCATAAACTTGGGCCTACATTCTATATTTAAACAATGTACTTAATGTCAATTAACAAATTTATGAAATGCAAATAAATATTAATTCAAACCTAATGTTTCTGATTACTATTATCAGTAAAAATATTACCAGGCGTAACGCAACGATATATTAAACAACAAGATGAAATTTCTAGTAATAAAGAGCTTTTCTATTGTTTACTCCTTTAGTAAAAGTTTAATTGAAAATAATCTTGCGGTATGTGGCTTGATAGATACTGGAAGTAAAATCTATGTAGACATAACAACGTAATTTTCTTCTCAGAAACTGTCCCGATCTTATGAGAGGAACATGTGAGAATGCTACGTGTTACTGAAGCTAATAATGCTTAAAAACTACCCATTGAGGAGACACTTCATTATACTACAGTCTGTGACAGATGTTATTTCCTTGAAAAGCTTAATTGCTAGTGGGTTGTACTTCAGAAAGACAGTGGTTTGTATTACTGTTCTTCTGGGTTGTAATATCCTAGAGTAACCAGGAAATGTCCTCAAATTTCAGAAATAAGTTACTTAAATTTATTTTCAGTGACAGATGTTACTTCATTTGCGAGGCTGAGCTTTTTCATTACATACAGTGAAAGCAAAATATTTTTTCACCATTTTTAAAGTGTATCTTGATATATTTTATCACTCATTTATCTAAGTATTTAGGAACCTAAGTCTTTAGGAGAATTCTTGGTTTTATGTGAGAAAAGCATTCTTCAGTTTATGTCCTAAAAGTATGAAATTTGGATACTGTAGGAATGTTTTTACATGAATGCAGAGCAGAAGCAACACGCATTACAGTGGAACCTAGGTATACGTCATTAATCCATTTCAGAACCTAGAACATACACCAAACGAACTTTTCCGATAAAATGTAAAAGGAAACTAATTAACCCATCCTTACAAAAAAATTCTATTGCTGTGATTACAACATTGTTGTTATGATTATATCAAGTTGAACGTATTTCAGACCTGGTGTATACCAAATTACCACTTTATTTATCCACATTTCTAAGCAATCACACACAAAAATGAAATTCTAAATTCTTCTCTATTTATTTTACATTTTTCGTTTTTTTTAAGCATTTTGCATTTTTTTAAAAGATGTAAACAAATAATCGAGATTCCTAATGTTATGAAGTTCAACCATATTCCTTCTGTCACACAAAGTTCAGTTTATTGAATCGACAGTCCACCGATAAGAAGCTCGTCTGAGTTAACGTGGCATTTTCTAAGCTTTCCAGAAGCGAAACATCTGCAGACGAAAATACTCTAATGCGCTTTTTAAAACTGCCGTTGCTAGATGCATGATTTTATTTTCCACCGCAAAATAAATATTCTCTGCAAGCAAAATATCTCTAGATTACGACGCATACAATTTTATAAAAATAGCTGTCGTGGGATATTTAAAAGATATTCTATTGTCGAGAGCACAATCTCTAAACTTAAATTTTCTATATTTATATCGGTTCTTATGCGATTTTGTCCTTTGAAATTTGAGAATAAACGAGCTATTTTTTCTCTTTTAAAGTTCGCTTGCTTCAATACGTAGATGAATAGATTAATACTTCGCTAGATCAACTCATATCGGTAGATGAAAAAGTTATATCAGACGGGGGTTGAAACTATCGGGAATTCAGAAAAATTCCCGAGGTACCGATGTCTGTGATGCTGCTTATGAAAAAAGATGAAACATTGATTACAGTTCTAGAATTTACGCAGGAGGGGGTAAGGTTAAATTTTTAGGAAGAAAAACTTTTAATGATATTCTAAAAAAATCTGATGTGGCAAGCACATCAACTCCCGCGAATTCCATTTAAACAGCAACGAATTTTAAGTATTCCTTCCATCTGATCTTTTGTAAACAGAACCTAATTTATTGTTTCATAAATAGAAAGAATGTAATACAAAAATTTTAATAGTGTTTTATTAGGTATATTGGCCATGTGTAAAAGCTTAACTTATATCAATATAATCAAATGATTTGAGTCGTAGAATCGAAATATGGAAAATAAATTGGTATCTGATTTAAGAAAAAGTCCGATTTTGTCCGAAAACACCTATATTAGAAAAATGCTATATATAAATCTAATACATAACCTAAGTATTACATAACCTAAGTAACTATCAAATTTTGAATAACGTAATCCTGCTGCGAATATGGGCATCTGGAAGCCAACATTTGAAATTTGGAATTTGTTTTATTAACGATTACATATTTTGTAAAACTTTGACGAATTTTTGATTACCAAACTCAAGGATTTCAAAGCGAGCAATAGAAACGTTGTACAGAAGAAACATTTTTATCTCCAGGGCGTGAGACTGTGTTTCGGAAATTCTAAAGATATGCTCATTTTAAAATTAATTTGCGATATTGTTCTTGAACTGAATTTTATGGTTTAAGGGCGAAAAACATAATATGTAATAAATAAAGATAACACACAAAATGTAAAAAAAGCGCCTCTTTGGACGTATTTAAAATCTTCAACTTTTTTTTTTCCCTTAATTCTCAGTGTACACATATCCCCGCACTATTTAGGTATGAGTAAACAATGCTGATTTCGTTGTGAACTTACAGCTGAATAATGACTATCGTGCGTTCCTGGATTAATAAAGAGTAAACCAATAAGTGTTTTCGAATTTGCTGTTTGTCCTTGTGCCTCGTCATCATCAACAACGCAAGAGAATAACGCGTATTTTTGGGTTACCGGGCTGCCTTATGAGAGCTTTGAAGATCTGCAAATAAAATGCGGTTATAAAACTCATTTTTTTCGACGGCTTCATATAAATGAATATCATGTCTAGATCTAATAGAAATAATCTTAAAATGTGCTGCATTTTTTTTGGTATTATAGTTATTATATACTTTTCCATGAGAATATCTTAAAAGTTCCAAGTAAAGAGCTACTTTCGGTTTATCATATACATTCAAAATCTAATATGATGTTCTCAGTCACAATTGTATATGCTCCATACATGCATTTAAGAGTTTAAAAATACCAAATCTGAGGAGTTTTGGTTTATATCGTAATATATTTTTTACGAATATCTTTCCAGAGCTTGAAGTAAATTATCACTTCCAGTTTATCAATTTTAGCCAACATCTAACGTGTTGTTTCCTTTGATATAGCCTTAAATATTAAAATTGAAAAGTTTGGGCTTCGCGTAAAATATCGTTTCCGATTGTCCAATTTTGCCTCAATTCTAACTGACTTTTATATAAATACAGAAAGTTTAAATGCAGAAGAAACTTTTTACAGTTTGATGCAAGAGTTATCTTGAATGAAAAATAGTCATAACATACACGTAGGCAGAGACACGGTCATTGCAAAAATAGTAAAAACATGATGTGGGAACCCTAATTCCTACTTATTATTGAAACCCCACTATCAAATTCTTGGACCGAAAACATTAGCTTCCTTACCTGCGCGCAAGGTGGTCATAAGAAAAGCATTGCGGATATATAAACCCCTAGAGGCTAATCCGCTTAATTAATCGAAATGAAATTTTAGATAATCTTTTCTTGAAAATATATGCTGCAGGTAGTGATAATTTCAAACAATAGAGCTCTCGCAATTACGGTTACGGTTAAAACATTTCGAAATTTTCGAATGGCAATTTCAACTTTTTTTTCTGGGCAAATTGATCAGTGCATTGAAAAACCATAACTGGCAATGATACACGTATGATGAAAATTGCTGGCGTAAAACATTGCAAAAGAGCAGACAGCACAAAAGAAGAGAGGCAAAAAATTCTTTTATTAGAATTACAAGTTTTCAACGTGTGCAACGTTTTAAGATAAAGTCATCTCCCATAATTTTGCAGTTTCGTGGATACCGTGATCCCCTGAAATCACTCCGAAGGATTTCTGGTTCTGGGGTTACCTGAAATCGAAGATGTGTCCATCGAATCTCCGAGATTTGTCAGAATTGAAAGATGCCATTATAGACATACAGAATCCTTTTGCAATGTAACGTTCGTTATTGTTATCAACGATCTCTCGCATACACTACCCTTATTGTCTGAAAATGTGGACACGTTGAAATCTTTTGTAATTTCAATAAAAGTATTTTTTTACCTTCTCTTCTTTTGTGTTGGTTATTGGTCTTTTACAATGCTCTTTGCAAATTTTATATTTATTTAAATATCTTGCACTGGCAATTTTCGTCATACGTGGATCGTTCCAATGCCATTCATGATTTTTCAATGAGCTTATCAATTTTCGCAAGAAAAAAATGGGCGTTGCAATTCTAAAACTTCGAAATATTTTCACTATAATCGTAACCTTGAGAGTTGCATTGATTTAAAATCATTACAATCTCGAGCGCATACCTTCAAATCACAATATCTGAAATATGATTTCGATTGGTTGAGCTGATAGGCCACTGGGCGTTCATATATTGGGAAAGTTTATTGTGACCACTCTGTATATAGGTTAAAGAGAGGTAAAAAAAATGACAAAATCATGCTGAGAAATTATGAAAATACCAGTTACAATCATTCTGAATTTCAATGACCCCTAAATTACTATTGTGCACATAATGAGAGCAAGTAAAAGCAATTAGGATTTCCAGGAGATTTTCAATGTATGAAATTCCTAACCTC